TTTGTTTCGTTGACAACAACAGCAGCCATAAACGATTTTTTGTCGCTTGTTTCGTTTCACGTTCCAAACGATTGAATTGTTTCGATTCCATTCGATTATGGAATTATGTAACGAAATGAAAATGAAAATGAATGACTATATATATATATTTTTGTCTGGTTATGATCCAAATGGTTACACAGTTTATTATTTTTTATTATGATGATGATGATGATGATTTATTCCATTGTCTAGTCTAGACATCATCATTATTATTATTATCATGATGATGATTGTTTTTTTTTTTTTTTCAATCCATTTATCCTTTCTTTCTTTTTTTTTCTTTTCGATCAATAATTTATGATTTATAGAAATACATTTCAATAATCAAAATTGCTTCTGCAAAACAATAATGTTTCATGTTTTCAGATTTATTTGATTTTTCTTTTTTTTTTTTATTCTTATAAGAATATTCCATTTCTCTATCAATCTGTCACCACATTTGTATATTCGTACCTAAATTCACTAACCAATTTAATTGATTACTTGATGTCTTGCTAGTCTTATCATCATGGTGATAGATTCAATTGTCGATTATTTTGTCTTTTTTTTTTTTGGTTGTTCTCAATTGTCGATACAGACACACACACACACACACATCGACATTTGTTCAATTGAATCCAATATATAAATTGGTGAAGGTAATAATAATCAAACAAGCACGTTTCACATCACTGTCAATTGCAATTACATTGAGCTGTGGAATTTATTCTTTTTTTTTATTTATTTAATTTACTTCAATTATACTTAATTGAACTTATTATTATTATTATTATTACTCATTCAGTGATGTTTTTTCCAGTCAATTGATGTCGTCCTGTTAAAAAAAAAATGAGACACTATGATGAGAACATGCATGCAGATGTATTAATCATTTACTCCTGGGTCTCTCTAGTATACACGTACAAGTAGTATATCGTTCACTTATTTATATTGATCATAGATTATTGAATGTCACTGTTTTTCTTCTTCTCTTTTTTTTCTTCTTTTTTTTTTTTTTTGATCACATGATGATTATTCATTCTTTTCTTTCTCTATTTTTAAATTTAGACTAATTTATGTTCATTTCCGTTTGTTCCAAATTTTTTTTTTCATTCTGCATCTGTGTGTGTGTGTGTGCATGCAATATAAATTAATAATAATAATAATAACAGTACGGCTGAAAATTTTTCTCGTTAATTCAAAAAACAAACACATGCACACACACACAGAGAAAGAGAGATTTTTTTTTTATTGAATGTGAATCCTGATTGACCATGGTTAATGATGATGATGATGATGATAGGCAAACAGCCCGTTAAATTAGAAATGACAACCTTTTTTTCTCTCTCTCTTGCTTGCTTGCCGCGATTATTTACGTTAATTTACCATATGTTTCATCATTGTCATCATATATATAAAACGTTTAATTAATCATCATTTATTTTGTATGCAAGTGTAAGTTTTTCACGTTGTTTTGTTTTTCGGTCGATTACGGTTGTTATTTTATTTTTTTTTTTAATTAAAACCAAATTTATTGCAAATTTGATAGCAGGTGATGAATACAAAATGATGATTTGCATTGATGAATAAATGATTTGAGCGTTTTTTCTCTTTTGCTTTTTCGGAATCTTTTTTGTGATATAAAATCAATGATGATGATGATGATGACAATATTGTTATTTGGGCAAAAGAACCGAAAAAAATGAATGGGAGAAAAAAAAAAATGCAATTTATTGAATCGGGCCGTCCGGTTTTACTTTTTCACTTTTCTGGTCTGGTAGTGTATGCTTTCGTTGGCAAGAATAATTTGCATTCTTTCCAACAACACATCAACACTCTTGATATGCACACCGCTGATGATGATGATGATGATGATGATGATGATGATGGTGATGCCAAACACTGGATATATTGGATCGGTGTCGAGAATTTCGATCCAGAATATAGCTTAATACTCTACTTTGGGATGGCTATTGTATATTTCATTTATATGCAAACTATGTGTGTGTGTGTGGTCATTGTCTCGGCTTCGTATTATTGTTTGATCATTCACACAATCATTCATTCATCGTCGTAGTTTGAAAACATTAAATAATGTTTGATCGTCATCATCATCATCATCATCATCATCACCATCAATCGTCGTCGTCCATTTTCCATGTGTGTGTGTGCATTTGAAAATTGAAAATTCTTCTTTACAGAATTTTTTTTTCTCATTCAATTTTCTATTTTCTTTTTATTATTATATTCTCTAGAAGATTCTTCTATTGTATTGTGTGTGTGTGTGTGTATGGAATGACCACCATAGTATTGGACCATTATTTATATTTTTATTTTCTTTTTTTTTTGTATTTTCTGTAAACAAATTCATTCATTCATACACCTTCTCTATTGTTCCATTCTGTGTTCAATTTCAAAAAAAAATGAAATTATTCGATTATTTCTGTTCTGTTCTGTGTATTGGTGGTGTGTCGGTGACAAATAAAAGTCAATATATATAGTGCACATAGACCATAGCCAGCAAGTTCACCGTTTCATTTTATATTCTGGATTCTGGATTCTCTTTTTTTTCCTTTCTCTGGTAATGATGGCTCTATGGTGAAAGATGATTTACACATTTTCATTTTTATTATTTTTTTTTTTGCTTTCAAATGACCACCAGTGCTGCTGCTGCTAAATAATAAAAGTTTCTTTATATTATATTCTAAAATTCATTTAATTGATTGCGGATAGAATAGGTTGCAATATTCCATTGAAAAAAGGATATCCTTAATTTATATTTTTGTTTTCTCCATATTTTTCATTGAAAAACAAAAATTTTTTTTTTTCTCTCTTCCTATAATGGATGATGATGATGATGATGATGAAACTGAAATTCAATTTAATCGAGTCTTTCTTTGGTCATAACAAAAACTATATGGATGTGTGCCTGATGTTGTTGTTGTTGGTCTTTCTCGTTTTTCAAATAAAAAAGAAAAATTTCATAAATGGCAGCCACCACCATCATCACCACCACCACCAACAACATTTAAACGGCTGTCATCAACACGTGTGTCTCCATTATTTCTGTTATTGTTGTTGTTACACATACACACACGTTTGGAAAAAAAAAAAAAAAAGAAATCATCGGTTCCCTTTGTCTAGAAATATTTATTATAAATGGCCTTCTACCTATTTCTTTACATTTTTTCATCAATGATGAAACATACAATCATTTGCTTCTCGGTATGATTTTTTTTGTTCATCAGTATGTGTGTGTGTGTGTGTATAATTAATAACCGAATCGATCATGACCAGGATCATCATCATCATTGGGTTGGCTAGTAGCTGAATATCACATTTCAATTACATTGATCGAGTAAAAAAAAAATCATCATCATCATCATCATCAATAGGTCTATTCAGATTAATCGTTGTGGCGTTATTAAAACGATTTAGTCCAGGATTCTTTTCATCAACGTTTTTTACTTGACGAAAAAAAAAAAAAAATTTTACGATTCAGATTCAAGTCTTTTGTAACAAGAAAAAAAATAGGTATCAATCATAACCAGTAAGCGAATGTGAATTTCTTTGAATTCAGTAATCAATAGCAGCAGCAGCAGTAGGATGTCTAAGATTTTGGGTGTCTAATTTCATTTCATTTCATTTCATTTTTTTTAAAGATATCTGGTGAATGTAAGATAAGCTTCGTATATACATTTGAATCAATTGATTGTATGTGTGAAATGAAATGTCTTGAAAATGAATAAAACGAATGAATTCAGTGATATATTTTATGTGTGTGTGCGGAATATTCTTCTCGCTAATGTTCATTTAATTCTAATTCTTAAAAATAAAAATAAATTTGTGAAATGAAATGGAATAAAAATTGCCATGATTATCATTTTGAATGTTTTACGATTCGTGTGTGTGTGTTTGTGTGTGTATCGGTATCTCTATAATTAAAGGCAACCATTTTTTGGATTTTAAAGCAAAAATAGGAAATATTTTTTGTAACACGAATGATGATTTACAGTCATGAATCTGGTTCTAATAATTTTTTTTTGTAAAGATAAGCTAAACTTGTGTATGTGTGTCTTGTTACTGATAAATCAAAGATTGATTTGGATCATTTTATTTGGTTTTTGTTTATTTGTTTCATATCAAATGAATATATATAAAAAAACGAGTACACTCGGTATCATCTTTTTTTTTGGCTGAAAAAGGTTTTATAGGGTCATTTGTAATGCTAATTTCTTTCTTTATATATATGGATCTAATTTTGATTGTTTATCGTCGTTAATGTTATTTTTTTTTGTTTTTGTTTCGGTGAAATAAAAAATAAACCGTTAGACGGTTATATGAAAAATGTGAACGGGATTTATCTATCTATACATCGATAAATTTGTTTTTTTTTTGGCCAAAAATAAAAAGGAAGCGAACCAAAAAAAAAAATCTTCATTTGTCTTGTGAATTTAACACATTTACTTTTGATATTTTTCACTTTTTTTTCGTTTTGTTTTGAAACACACTCGGCAAGACAAATTGTTTTTACCTCGCTTTGCTTTTTTTTTTTTTATTTATTATTTTTCGGCAAAGTACATATATATATATATACCGATATTATCATCATGGTGGCTGGCTCATTTTTCTTATTTCCTCTTTTTTTTCCCAATATGAATGAATGGTTATATGTTTTATATTTGACAGTTTTTTTTTCTTTTTGGTTGAAATTTATGAACAAGAAAAGAAAAACTTTGAATTTTTCCACTATGAAACAGTTTTCTAAGTAGCTCATAAAAAGATCACTGCAATGTGAATGATGGTGATGAGATTGATAAATTGTTTTTTTTTCTGTTTTTTTCAACTTTCGAGTTCGATTAAAATTCATATATATTATTATATATATAAACACAGAATGAAAATAAACTGATCGAATTTTATTTATTTATTTATTTATTCCAAATTTTTTTTTTTCATTTTTATTATTATTTTGTTAGCCGATTTACCAACAACAACAACAACAACAACGACGACGACGACAACACAATTGGACGTTTCACGTTGTACACATTGTGGCAAGCTGTTTCGTGGACCACGTTCATCAATTTCATTACAGGAACATATAACCAATATTCACGCTGCCGTTGCACCAATTTCATCATTGGCAGGCAAATATTCCAATAGTAACAATAACAAAGCTACATCACCATCATCATCATCATCAACGATGCCATCATCGATTAGGCCATCATCATTATTTACTAGTACGGCAAATGGTGAATTGGTCAATGATAATACTACTGGTGGTGATGGAAACATTAATAACGATGATACTCAATCCTGTTGTAACAAATGTTCGATTACTTTTGAAAATCGTGAAGATTTTGAAAGACATCAACTTTTACATGCCAATAAATCTGCTCACGTATGTTTTGTTTAATATAATCCATTGATAACTGGATTGGTTAATCATTCTAAAAATTATTTCATTTTATTTTCATTTTCATTTAGACCAATGATGATGGCCAAGTATTGCGAAAATTTAAATGTCAAGAATGTTTTAAAGCATTCAAATTCAAGGTATTTTGTTATATTGAATGAATGACAATCAATGCATACGATTGATATAATAATTTTTTTTTGTTTATTAAATATATCACACAGCATCATTTAAAAGAACACATCCGTATACATAGTGGCGAAAAACCATTTGAATGTGCAAATTGTGGCAAAAGATTCTCTCATTCAGGCTCGTATTCATCACATATGACCAGCAAAAAGTGCCTAATTGTTAATTTAAAAGTAATAAAATTCTTTTTTTTTGCAATTTTCGATTTACTTAATTTAATTTTAAAATCCATTTTTATCCACACAAAGGTGCGAAAATCTGATCAAATTGGACGTACTTCTTCTCGTTCATCATCTAATCGTTCTTCGAATCATCAAACAAATGGTGCTGCAGCAAATTCGAATGGCATTCTTGGAAGCCTTAATGAATCGATGAATGAAAGTGAAAAGAATCTATCATTTTTTCCGAATGTATTGGATTCACAAAATGTTAAGAATATGTCACCATTTAATACATTCAATAATTCTACAGCTTATTTTCCGAATGGCCCTGGTGGTAATGGTGGTGGTGGTGGCGGCGTCGCAGGTTTTCCATCTAATTTGATTGGCCTGAATTCATTTCTAAATGTTACAGCACCGAATCTTGAATTATTTAATTATTTACTTGAATCACAAATGGAATATAAAGGTTTTAAAAATTTACCGCCACATTTTTTCGCCAACCTTAACAACAATAATGGTGGCCAATTGAATGTAGAAGAATTTGAGAAACAATTGAAAAAAGAATTCATTGAAAACGCTGATATTGCCTCCATAAGACGTTTGTTACAAATCGCTCAAGCTGCTGCTGTATCTAAAGTGCAAGACGAAATCAATTCAGCTCATTTGATTGCAAATCTTCGTAATGATACTAATCTGTCCAATTCATTTTGAATCTAACGAAAATGGCACATCTAGATTCGAATCTAAGTAAATCTAGTGATGATATTGATTCTAATCGAAAATCATCTTCGACACCTACGAAAATTTGTCCAAGTTTTTCGGATTTCAAAACTGATCTTAATGGTAAAACACTAAATGAAGGCAGCAATCTTAAAATGGAAAGTGATGAAGAATCACAACGAGATTCTAGTTCGTTGGATGATGAAATGCTCATGTCAGATGGTAAAAAGGTTCGAGTACGTTCGGTTTTGAGTGAAGAAACTTTACGAATACTTCGTGCTCAATATGCAGTCAATCAACGACCAAAAAAACAAGAGATTAATCGTTTAGCCGATCTGGTTAACTATACTCCACGTGTGGTTCAAGTTTGGTTCCAAAATATGAGGTATGTTTTATACTGTTTGAGAACCTATTTCGTTGTTCATTTGGCACTCACTCATATCCTTTGCACATTTTTCTTTTCAATTTATTCTTTATCTTTATTTCAATCACAACAATTTTGTCTTGATATCACTACCATTCCCTGGTTGTAAAATGCACACACTAATTAACACCACCTGTAGAGCTCGTGATAGACGTCTAGGTCGTCCAATACAAAGCATGAATGAATCAATTAACACTACGACCTCTAGTTTGGGCACGATAAACATTGGTACCGCCGGTGGCCAAAATAGTTTGAATTATCCATCCAATGACCAAATTACCAATATGAACATCAATCAACAGCAATCTGGACAATTAATGTCACAATCCGCTGCACATTCCGGGCCCAATCCATTAGTAGCGGCGGTTCCAACAACAGCACTAGCCGCTGCAGGCATTCCTTCTCCTTCACCTTTCAAATCCACCACAACTTCCTCTGTAGCTCCCATTGTTTCATTTGGTCAGCACAATAATTTCATCAATAATAATGGCACATCATATTCATCATCATCGTCATCATCACTATCACCATCGCTCGTTGTTGGTCAGAATCGTCATTGTAATGATTCTGGTAGTAGTTTTAGTTCTTATTTGAATCCAACAAACAATCAGCACACACAAAAACCATTAATTTCAATTACACAACCAACAGCAGCAGCAACAACATTGTTTCAAAAGACCGATGCACAGATTCAAGCCAAATTATTTGTCAATAACCTGTTTGACAATTCTGATACAATTTCTTCGAATCATGATGAACCTTTAGATCTTTCATTCAAATCAAAATCATTGAATTCAAGTGGTGGTTCATCGACGATAGCTGACGATTCATTAGAAGATGAAGTATTAAATCTAAGTCTCAAATCCACTAGTAATAATCGTGCTATAGTTCCGTCTGCATGTCTGGATGTCAATAACAGTCTGCACAGTAAAGACAATGCTTCAATGGTCAACACAGCCGTCCAACCAAATGTATCGTTGACAATGCTCCAGCAGCAGCAACAACAGCAACAACAACAACAACATGATCTTGATACTGATAATCTTCGTTCAGTTTTGCTTAACACTTCAACTTTTGGTAAATCCTGTAACGAAACCGGTAGTAATAGCAGTAACAACAATAGTCCACGATCGATTCGTGGTCGAAAACGAATTGTTCCCGAATTGGATATGAACACAAATAGTTCGAATGATTCCAACAACAATATTATGCGTACAACTAATAATTCATCACCAAAAAAAGAGATGAAACTCAACGGTTCATTGAGTAGTCAGAATTCTCCCGATAACAATCAAAGTGAAGGCTTATTCACGTGTGATCAATGTGATAAAACTTTCAGTAAACCAAGCTCATTGGCTCGACATAAATATGAACATTCGGGTAAGTATTTATTGAGAAAATATCGATAAAATCACATCAATCAATAAAATAAAATAAATTATTAATTAGGTCAACGGCCACATAAATGTGATGTATGCAACAAAGCTTTCAAACATAAACATCACCTGACCGAACATAAGCGCCTTCACAGTGGTGAAAAGGTTTGTTTCATTTTTTTTTCATTATTATTGTTGAATGAATCTCATTGAAATCATTTTTTTTTTCATTAAAATTTTAGCCATTTCAATGTACAAAATGTTTGAAACGATTTTCACATTCTGGTTCATATAGTCAACATATGAATCATCGTTATTCATATTGTAAACCTTATCGTGAATAATCATGATCATGAATGGTCATGTTCATATTTTGAATTTTGGTTAATAATTCACAATTCAGCCCTGTGTTGTCGCCGATGAGCCAGAAAAATAATACAATCAACCAACAACAACAACTACCTATTCTATTTCGATCTTCTATATAAATATTGTTATTGTTTTTTTTTTGATTTCATCAAACACCTACGTCTTCGATTTATCTCAAATTATTATGTGGAAATTATTAGTGTGAGTGTGTGTATGTGTGTGTGTGGTTAACTCCGGTTAAATTATTTCTATTGTCCATATAATAATTTATTTGTAAACGCAACACGTATTTATACCTCTAATTTTACATATTAAAAAAAATGTAACAAATTAAACCAATAAATATACCACACACATATACAAACAAATTGTGTTTTTTTTTCATCAATTTGTGCCAAGAAAAAAAAATTGATTGCTCTACTTGATTACTTTTCGATGCAATTAATTGTTTTCCAATGTCATTCAGTCAAGAGTTAATACTTATAAAAAAAAAACAAATACTTCCTATTATCATCATTGAAATGTTTTTTTTTGTTTGTTTGTTTGATGATAATGATGATGATTAGAAAATTAATTGAATTGAAAAAATTGTTATTGTCTGTCACAATGCAATTAGTGCATCACCTACAACAACACACACACACACTATGTTTCATGATTATAATCCATATAAAAAAACACTTATTATCAATTATTTTATTGATTGACGAATTTTTAAAGAAAAAACAAAAAATTTTGCTTATCTCTCGTCTCAGGATTCTTCTTCACAATGTGTCGAATGGGGAATCTATACACATATATATCTATTATCCACGTTAAATTGTTTGAAATTGTCTCAAACTTTCAGTTATACACACCACAGTGGAATGAATACATTTTTTTTTTTTTTTGATACATTCATTTCATCAAATTATTTACTCGTTCTATTCGCTATTCGAGAGTGTAGAACCTAGTCTCTTCATATAAATGTTTAAAAAACAAGAAAAGATTTTTTGAATTTTGTCCAAAAAAAAAAATTCTTTTTTTTTCGATTGTATATTTTCACCAATTATTTGGTTACACAAACACACCAACAACACAGAAAATTGAAACAAACAGTGGCAACAAAAACAATCCACCACCACCAAGGTCCATCCACTTTGCTGGGAACAATTTGCAATTGATATGATGATCAACACAAATTTTTTTCTCTTCTTCTTCTTCTTTTTCTATCTGTTCCATATATGATATTATTAATAATTATTATATATAAAAATTATAATAGAGCCATTTCAAACAATTTTTCTAAATATAGTTTTCTATATATATATTACTAATTAGTCAATATGATCAATCAAATCGATCGAAATCTATATATATATGCAATCACACCCAAACACCCAACACACACACACACACACACACACACGTAGGAGCATTTTTTTTGCCCCCAAACACTTTTAATAACCGGAACAATTTTATTGTCGTTGTTGATCTTGCCAAACCCTCTCACTAAAAAAAATAAACGATCAAGATGCGTCTGTTGTCTCAGAATCAGAATCCATCCATCGACTCGAACTTTTTTTTTGTCTGTAAATCTTGATGCGTTTGTTTATTATATATTTATATATTTTTTCCGTAGTAATACTGTGTATTTTTTTCGAATGATGATGATGATGATTGATACCAAAAAAAAACTAAATAAAATTAAAGTGCTATTCCAGTGACATTTGAATTGCACTAGAGAACATAATACATTAATATTTTCAATGTAATTTATTCATTGTTTTTTTCATTCAACAAGAAAAAAGATCTTGGTTATCAATTAAGAAATCTGCAAAATTTGATCAATTTATTTTTGTTGTTGTTGTTCAAGCTCTGACAACAGTACATTGGGCAACACCTTTTTGTCGCAGATTAAGTATATCGGCAACTTTAGGAGTTACATCCAAAATTCTTCCTTTAACAAATGGACCACGATCATTGATTCGTACTACTGCATGTCGACTGCCAATGGTCACACGAACTTTAGTGTTGAATGGCAAGGTTTTATGTGCAGCAGTCATGGCATTCGGATCGAATCCTTCACCATTGGCTGTTTTGGCTCCTCTTCGGGCATTGTACCATGAACAAAGGCCTGATTCGGAAACTGTCAATTGGAAACGCATTATTATTTAGAATATTCAGCATTGTAAATAAATTATTAAGGTATCGACTTACCAGCCAATGAAACGGTGGTAGCCAAAACTAAAAACGAAATTAATGTTATACGATGCATTTTGGAACACAGTCAAATGATCTAATGACAACACCATTTATGATGATCTTCTTTTAAATACAATCGATGGAATGCCACTTAAAATTAATCATCAATCATTTGATTGCAATATTTTTTAATGAACAGTTACCATTTTCAATCAAACATTTATTGATTTGATTTTTTAAAAAAAATTGTTAATTAAACGGAAAGGTAAGCTTTTAAAAATATAAATCAAGCACATGGGTGTGTGACGTGTCCAGTTTTGAAACAGATGTTGCCATCTTGTAGACTAAAATAGAACAATTTTTGAAATTTTTTTCTCCGTTTATGGATGGCGTTACTATCAACTACCACCTTCTTTTATAAACTTGTGGTGTTGAAGTTTCCCGGGAAAAAATATAGAAAAAAAAATCTTTTTACTTTTATAAAATTTGTATATAACACATTTTTTGGAATTTAATTCAGAAAAAAAAACTGAAAAATAATAAATCAATCAAAATATTCAATAAATGATTTCATATATAATATATTAATATATAATATAAACATTTAAGAAAATCAAATTTCGTAAACGATTATTAACAAACAAACAAACAAAATAATAATAATTTTATGATGTTGATGAACAAACCAATCGATATATTCGTAGCTACTGCGGATGTATATTCATTCAGGCAATAATAATGTCACAAATGGAACTGAATTGTGTGTGTGTGTTTGTGTGTACGTGTGTCCATATATATCTGAATAATCGACAACAATATCATCAAGTGCTGGTTGATGGTTCATCTGAAATTATCCATCATACGATAATATCATTCAATTTCTGGAATTGAATTACATTTTTCAGCAAGTCTTTGCTATCGAGATCTTCATTATAATGTATAGGTGAGTGAGTTTCCATAGGACTTACAGTTTGATGAAAACGATTGCATCTTTCGTTATTTGATTTACCGAAACTCGATGGATGGCCACCAATAACCGGACCTGAAGTTACAGCATTGATTGATTGATTCAAGACCAGAACATTTTTAAGTGTAGCCACTTCAGAAGCTAACCTCTGCAATTCACTTTTGAGTGCATAATTTTCTGTTTTCAATAAAGAATCAGGTGAACCAGCACTGTCACGATGATGATCACCAAATATGCCTGTCGATTCAGCACTACTACTCAATTGAGCAACCGATGATGAATCACTGCTGGCATCACTATCATTCTGTGTTCCAATATTCGATGTTTCTTGGTTTCGAATTTGGGCTACAACTGAGTTGACATTATTTGAGCTACAATTTCCTTGTGCTTTGTGTCTGAGTTTGAATGGCAATGTTGTTTTGTTACCTGTTAAAACGGAAATCGGTGTGGCTAGGCCAGCCAAACAATTAGTCGGTTGTCCGGTCAATAATGGACAAACATTTGGTGGTGATGAATTGGCAGTCGAACCATGATAGGTGGGAGATGTAGATACATGGACTTCCGATGATGATGATGACTGTGAATTGGGTGACAATGAACACGAATAATTAAATGATGATGTCGATACTGCATTTGCAGATTGGCTGGATATGTTATTCGATCCCTGATGATGATTATTTGAGGTATAATCTGATCCTGTCAAAAACACTGTTTAATTAATCTAGTAATTAATTAAATCGATTTTTAAAAATCGATATTTCAAATAATAATAATAACTTACGATTGACAGATGTGCCGCCCAATATGGAGGAAAAAATCCTTGATCGACGAATTTTGGTAGCATTTTCAGGCAAAGGTATCGTTACAGAATCGGGATCAATAAAATGCTATAAAATAAATTAAAAGTATACGAAGACATTAATATGCATTCAATAGTTTATCATGTTGGTCAGTCAGCTGTTTATTTTGTTTTTTTCCTGGATCATCATGAAATTACAAATTAACTCTTTCACCTTGATGTTCCATGGACAAATCACACACACAACAAACACAAGTTCATAAATGAACATTCATACCTATACAAATTGTTCTTCCTGTTGTGTTGTATTGTACGCGTACGTGTAGGTGATGGCGATCATGGCCATAAATTTGTTAATATAATTTAAATAACTCATGGTCGTGGTGGCATCATATAACAGCATGGTACACATTCACAAAGCAATTATAAACAAACAGTTAAAATATTCGAGGCCACCAACGAATAGTGTATGGTGGAATGTGTGTCTGTGTTCATATATATTCAGCATCATGACAAAAAAAAACATTGATCCACGAATCTAACCACCGTCATTGATATTACCATCTTACCATCATCATCATCAAGCGTACATTGCCATTTCCTTATAATCAAATACATTCTATTATCATCACATCATCCTTAAAATCATTACAACCGCAGCATCACATAAACTACTCTTTTTTTCAATGTTTCATCATTGTCGATTCAATTATATGCATGCGTATAATAATAATAATGATGATGACCATCACATTATCATCGACAGCATTGTTATTTTTTTTTCTTGCATCAATTTCCTTCGAAATTTTCAAATAAAGCTTAAAAGAATTTGTGGCCGTGGTTATTTGATAATGATATGATGATGATGATGATGATGGCCAATGTTTTTATATAAAATAATCACATTTTTTATGTTTATTGCTTGTGTTATATTCATATAAAGACATACAACATGTACATACAGCTGCATATATTTTTTTTTTCTTTTCATTCAAGAGCAAAATCCCGTTCACCTATGTTTTGACGATGATGATGGTATGTGTGTGTGTATGTTTGTGTTTAGTGGTAATGAACATTTCCTTTAACTATTATCAATGCTCAATGCACAGAGTCGAGTACATCATTTGTCGATCAATGGCGTATGTTGTTGTTGTTGTTTTTTAAAGGCCGACTATTATCTATCGATCCACCATCGCCATCACCATCATCATCATCATCATCATGACAACCTTGTCTTGAATCAATGACGCCAAAAATAAAATTCAAATTATTCTAACATTAGCAACAAGATAAATGTAGCTTATAACTAATTCAATGTTGTTGTTGTTGTTGTTGTTGCTTTTAGTAAAAGATGATGATATTTTTAATTTTTAATTTTTTTTAAAGAAAAAAAACTTACTTGATTCTGAGATATTCCAAATTTTTCTTTTATGGCATATAATTCAGCTTTTAGAATGCTATTTTCACGTGTTAATTCAAGTACACGTGTTTCAAGTACCAAATCAGAAATACGTCGTTTTTCTCGAGATCTGAATGAGAAACAAAAAATATATGAATGATTTAGGTAATTAATTAATATAAATAAATTAAAATATAAAAATAATAAAAAAAGGGGTAATATAAAATAAATTACATTACACATCATATTCAGAAAAAAAAGATAAAAATATCATTTGAAAATTTCAATATTCATTGATTCTTTCAATGAAACACATTTTTTTTTATTTGCTCTTGATTGAAATGGCACCTTGATTTTTTGATGATAGGATAAATATTTGACAATGAATGGATAAAAAAAAAAAAAAAAAAAAAAAAACGAAACGCAAAAAACCTTCAAAACATTTGCAAATCGATTATGAATACTACAATACAATGACGATTGATGAAAAAAATTAGTGGGCACCATACACCGATATCACGCCGAGGTCGACGACAATTCATTATGTATCATTCACATACACACACACATATATATTCAATAGAAAAGTCAAAACGGCATTGTACATAATGTTTTTTTTCTTTTTTCATTCTTACTAATCAATATATGAGCCGATGTCATTCAGAAAAAAAATGAAAGGAAAAGAATCAAAAAACACTACGATATTAATGAATCAATCGCCATTATTATCATTTTATCATAATAATAAGGATTATATTCTATCATTAACCAGTCAATGTGTAAATTTTAAAACTCATAGGTTTTTTTTCTCCAAAAGTATTATATGGGAAATTTTCATAAATTCCAATAATTGTGCTACATTGAATATAAATATATTGATAATTATGATTATGATAAGCCCAAAAAAGCATATTAAATCAAATTTAGGTTATGATGATGATGATGATGATGACAATCAATGACAATCATTACTAAAATATTGGGACCATGATTATAATGATGATGATGATCAACAAGTCATGAGCGTTTTTTTTGTTGTTGTTGTTGTTGTTATGCTTGTTTGTTGCCACATACAACAACAACATCATAACCAGATTAGAATAAATTGAATTTAAAATTAAACAATAACAAACAACATAATCAGGCCAGGTTTTTTCTGGAATTGATTTTTTTTCTCTGGTTTTGATCAAATATAACCAAAAATCATTCGTTATCTATCGAGAAAAAAAATAGAATGGATTCAATGGACAACAACAAATATATATAGAGAGAAAAATCCAAAATGAAAAAAGTTACCAGAAAAATAAAAAAAAAAAAAAAAATAGGTCGGTGACTATGGCACCAAAACGAAAACCGAAAAGCAAACAACATTTTAATACAAATCACACACAACTGTTTTAAGCACCTAACCTAGAAACCAGAAAAAAAATCAACAATCGATTATGATGATGATGATGATGATCGGAAAAAATTGAAACCAAAACATTATTTAGGCAAAAAAAATCATATTATAGAAAGACTAATCTATCTTTTTCAACAACAAATCTTTTAAGATTTTATTTCATTTCTTTTGCATGAAATAATAATCGAATGTTATCACACACACACACACACTCACATTCGATTATTGCATCCATATGAAATGTGGATATATATTTTTTTTTATCCTTTTTTAAATAGAGAAAAAAAAAGAAAATTAGTTTCCTGAATGAAACCAAAAAATGTATGCACAAGTACATTGCAATCAATGAACCAATTTTTATGCTATAATCATAATGGTGGTCAAATACAAACACACAAAAAAATATTATTATTATTATACACCCGAAAATTATTATTGCGGATATATATAATACTATATACTACTGATGGTGATGTTGATAACAAAAAAATGAGTCATGTGATAACATATACCAAAAAAAAAAAAAAAATCTATTTGTTGATAAACTTGACAAATATATAAATATGATGATAATGTAATGTAATATATTTCAAAGAAAGAAAGAAAGAAAAAAAATAGCTCCTCTTGCAATTTTTTCTATATATTGTGGTAACCCTGCAAAAAAAAAAACTAAAATAATTACATAAGATTTCTCGTACACAAATCCTGATATGTGTGTGTGTGTGTGTATGTAATAAATGCACACACAAAGTACATACATAGACATTTTTTTCATTTTTTTTTGTGTAATATTTGTATACTTAGTGGAAATCATCATCATCATCATCATCATTGACGTGAAAGTGAAAAAAAAACTTGTGACAGAATATGATGTTGTTCACACATATACACACACACACACACACACACACACACATACCGTTTAGCTGCTTCATTATTGCGTTTTCGACGATCCCAATATGACTCATCTTTTTTTGAATCCGGAATAAATTCTCGTTGTTTTCTTGAATTGGTGACTAAAATTTGATTAGCCGATACGGCCGCTAATGGATTGGTTGGACCTGAAATAAGATTAAGATTAAGATTTGATGATTTTTTAGAAAAATTTTTTTTTCAAAATAAACAATAAGAATTTACCAAATGAAGAATTAATAAATCCACTAGTTGTTAATGAGCTAGCAAATACTGCTGGCATTGATGTTGATGATGTTTGTTGATGCTGCTGCTGCTGTTGTTGTTGTTGTTGTTGTTGTGGCTGTACAATACTATTATTATTGCTAGTCGTAGACATGGTTAATAAATGATGATTATTATTATTATTATTATGATGACTATGATGGTGATGATTATGATTATTATGATGATGATGATGATGATTAGTTGTTGTGGTGGTGGTGGTACTGGTCGCCGTCGTCGTCGTTGTTGTTGTTGTTGTATTTGATGATGACGATGATGATGAACATAATGAAAATGTTGTTGCTGCTTCTACAAGTAGATTATTTGCTGCGATTCTTAAATCCACCGGTGCAACTATCGATGATGATGACGTAATGGTTGTTGAATTATTATTATTATTATTATTAATAGATCCAATTCCGGAACGGCTTGAAAAAGAAGCAGCCGATTTTAATAATGATAATGCAATTGCCGAATTACTTCTTTGTCTATTATTATTAGCTGCTGTTGCCACAATCGATGATAATGTTGATGATGTTGCTGCTGCCGATGTTGCTGTTGCTGTTTCCGTTTTAATTATCGTCTCAGCTGTATCATCCTGTCCACTATCTTCCGGTTCCGGGCTATTATTATTATTGTTTCGATTATTTTTTATTGTTATATCCATTGTTTGGTTTTTCGGATTATTATTATTTTGGCAATGAAATAACTAATGATGATGATGATGATGATATCAAACTATTATGAAGATATCTTACAAAACACAAACAAACAAATATAAACCATCAACATCTGAATATGAATAATCTTATATTTGAATAATGAAGAAAACAAGATTGAAAAAAAAGAAACATTAAGAATTATAAAACAAATATATATATAAATGGTGCATGCACAAAAGGGGTAAAACTAATGAAACGAAAAGGAAATCGAAAAAAAATGAAAAAAAATTAAAAAAAATTAATGCAAAGGTACACATGTTGATTCAAATTGAATTAATGATGAACACATCGGTGTGTGGTGATTTTCATTTTTTTTTCTTGAGAGTGGTGTGGTTGATTATTTGTTTCCTATTTTTTTTTACAAATTCATTCAAAAATACATGAGACAAAAAAAAATATGCATATGCATTCCATCATCATCATCATTGATGTTGTTTTAATATATATTTTGATATTATTTTCTTAACATTTCATGTTCTATATATTTTTTTTGCAGTTGTTTTGTTTGCTGATTTACCTTGGATTTGGATAGATTTTTTTTTGCAATTTTTTTTTCGTTCAATTTTTTTTTGCCTGTCTTTTGTACAATGTGAGCGTGCTATTTTTTTTTTTTTTTTTTTGCTAATTTCTAACTAAAACACACACTCACACACACACACACACACACATGTTATGATTATTTTGTCGATGATGATGGTGATGATGAGGATATGTTGAATGAATGAGTTTTTTTTCCATTTAATTTTCATCATCCGTTTTTTTTTCGTTATTGTTGCATCTTATTAAAGAAACAAAATAATATCACAGAATGGCATAATTTTAATTTTTTTTTCGTCATATTGTCGTCGTTGTTAAAGAATGTAATGTTGTGCGATAATGACATCAACAACAACAACATATATCATATAACATATAACTAAAAAAAAAAAATTCTGCCGTCATCATCCAGAATTTAGCATTATCATCATCAACATATATTATTTTTATTTATTATTATTCTAAAGTTCTAGATTTACAATATTCACTACTAGCTAGTGATGGTAATGATGATGATGATGATAATGATAATTATTTAGATAAACTAAAAAAACTAAATCAGGTCATATGTTATTTTCAAATAAAATCATTGAGATTTTTTTCCCCAGTACGTGGATAAATTAGATCATTTTTTTGTTTGTTTGTTTGTTAATTCAAGAAAAAAAGCACCGAATTTCGGTCAAAGAATTGAGAGAGAGAGAGAGAGAGAGAGAATAGAAAAAAACTCACCGAATCAAAATTTTTTGTTACTAAAGAATCAATACTGGAAAAACAAATTGTATTGCACATACACAAATAAATAAAAAAAAAAAAATAGATGCAATTGTTCCCAAGATGATCAATGTGATGAAAAAAATATTTACGAAAGGTAAAATTGTTGAAGAATAATTCAAAATAATACTCAACGAAAAAAAAATGCTGCACAAAGAAAGTTATTCAAATCAAAGAGAAACAATTCCGAATGAATTTCGTTATTATTCTCGATGATGATGCAAATGATGACGGAAAAAAATGGGTTCAAAAAAAAAATTTACACTTGTTATTAGCTCTTTTTATATTGCATTTTTGATAATGAAAATGAATATATGAATATATGAATGTATGATATATTTTGATGGATGGTCTATTGATGAATGATTATTGTTGTTGTTGATTGTTAATCGATGAGGAATTTTTTTTTTTTTTTTTGAAATTTATTGCGGTTGATTGTTATATTCTCAAAAAAAAAAAAAAAAATGAAAATACAAATACCTTGCGATAAGAAAAAAAAATTGCACAAAATAAAAAAAAATGGCAATTTTTTTTTAGTTTGTCACACACACACACACACACACAATACAGACGACATAGACAAACACACACACAATATATATATATATAGATAGATATCGAATCTGATAACGAAATCAAAAAAATGTTATTTTGTTGGAAGATTTTTTTTTTTTTTTTTGGATAAATCATTTATAAAAAAAATGATGATGATGAATGTGATAATGATGATCAGAAACACATAATAATAATCGATATTTTGTTATAACACACATATAATTATAAAAAAGGGTTTTTTTTTTGGTTGATTTGGTTGTTTTGAAACAAAAAAAAAACCAAAAAACTATAGTGATGGCTGGTATGTGGAACGTGCTATCGTCAATGATTTTTTTTTTCGGGGCCAGTTTTTTATTATTATTATTATTATTATCAAATTCATTTGATATTTTGTTGAGGTTTTTTTTATGAACCTTTCAAAATGAATGAATTACATATATTTAGATAGATTATCATCATCAATGCCAAAATAACGACATATTACATACAACAATATATTGGTGAAAGACAAAATAAACAATTTTGTTTTTTGTTTTTCGGGTGTCCTGGTGTGTGTGTGTGTATATAAAAAAAAAAAACACATTATAGATTGCATATTATCAAGGACGAACATCCACATATCTATATCCACACATTATCGCGCGCCATATCATCATAATCATTATAGCCGGAATTGCACGGCTCACTAAATAAAAGATGTTATGATGATGATGATGATGAAATGATGTTATGATGATGAAGAATATAAATAAATAGAAACAAAAAAGTAAACTCAAAAGTGTACTTCTTGTTGTTTTGCACACGAAGAATTGTTCGAGAAATGAGTGTCACGTTTTTTTTTTTCTTCTTCTTCTTCTTCTTTCCAATTCGATTATTGGGCATCTGGTGGCATCGGGTGCATACAGACACACAAACACACACACACACAAACACGCTACAAGTGTGTCAGTAGATTAGAGCAAAAGAACGGCAAACAAGAATCGCAATTCGTTTTTTTTTTGTCTTCGTTCACCGAAATACTGGATAATACCGAACAGAAATGTTTTTCACAGGCATATTTTTTTTTCGCACACACTATATGATGGATTCTATTATGTGGATTCATGTGCCTTGCGCAAATCAGGATTATTATGAGAAAAAAAAACACAGGATGATCATTTTATTCGATGATACACCAGATTCTGAATTGAGGTTGTTGTCGTTATGGAATAACCAGAAGAATTTATTGAAAATAATCGAAAAAATCTATTATATTGTTGTTGTATAATAAACATCTAAATCAATTGATGGTTAAGAAGATATTGTTGTTGCTGTTTTTCTTTTTTTTTTTTTTTGGTTTTGATTTTGATTTTTGTTTGTTGGTAAATATCATTGATGATGATGATGATGATAATAATCGATGAGTATTATTATTTTCTACGATGATAATTTTTATTTTTTTTTCGACAATTTTTTTTTAAACTGCTAAACACCGGTGTTTGCGTTTATTTGTTGGTTTGAGTGTAAGTGACTGTGACCTAAATATCACCGTTATGATGATGATGATATTGATGTTGCTTGGTGGTGGTGGTGGTGGTGGTGTTGCGGTGTGTGTGTGTGTGTGTGTGTGTGTGTGCATATGATGATGATGATGATGATCACTGACAACGAATGAAAATTGAGTGAAAGTAAAAAAAAAAAAAATTATGTATTGACTATCCACAATGATGATGATGATAATGTGAAAAGCTCAATGTCTGGTGTTAAAATAGTTGTTGTTGTTGTTGTTGTGGATATGATGATGATGATGATGATGAGATTTATATATATTTATTATTATCAAAAATAATAATCAATCACGGAAAAAAAACACATGGAAAACATACACACACACACAAACATATATATAGCGTTTCACCTAATTGGTGGTTGTGTTAGAATAGAAAAATTTTTTTTTTTGTGATTAATTTTTAGTGTTATGATGATCATGATCATGATGATCATGGATGCTGATTACATACAAACAAAACAAAACAAAAAAAAAGATGATAATCATCAATGTAAATCAGTCGGGTAAATCAGTTGAAAACGGTTAATAAGAAAAGAAAAAAAAAATAAGAAATGGATGACCATGAAACAAATAAACCTAACCTAGTAATACCCATTAAATTTTTTTTTTAAAAATAGAACCGGAAGTAAAAAATTTTTTTAATTCTTTAACTGCTACAAGATGTTTGATCGTTTTGTCTGAACGAGATCAAATAAGAAAATGACACAAAAGGATCATACACACACACACACACACACACATACAAAAACACAATGATGCTGTTGGCCGATAGTCATGTGTGGTAAATGGTAATTTGGTGTGACTCCAGTATGGCAAACAAAAAACAAAAAGGAAATATCATCAAACCATACAGACATATATTGAAACAGAACTAAATTAAAACACAACAACATCAACAACAACAACAACAACACCATCATCATCATCAATATTATCGTCAACAACAACAACAACAACAACAACAACAACGACGACGACGACGACGACGAAAAAACATAAACACACGTGACACAAATGGGATTTTTTTTTTACTTTTTTTTCTTTGTATATAACAACAATATATTCTTCCCATCTATATTCTCAAATATTTTTTTTTCTTTTTAAAAAAAATATTTGCTTTCAAAGAGTAAAAAAAAATGAAATGAAATGAAATGAAACATGTTGCACATATAATAAAAATATAATATAATACACACATCCTATGACATCCTATCATTTCATTCAACAAGTTTCTATTATTATGGTTTATATCATTTTTTTTTCAGAGTCATTTTGAATTTCAATATCATGCCATCATTATCATCATCATCATCATGAGCGAACTTGATTTCTTCCTCTTCCTCTTTTTTTTCAAATTTCTTCCTATTTGTGTGTGTGTGTTCCAAAAAAAACGAAGGAGAACGATAAATAGATAGATGATAATGAATTGAATATTGAATGGCATTGTTGCATGACACACACACACACACACACACACATGGCCTTTTTTTTTGATTCAAAAACGTCCATGGATGATGGTCGTGGACATTTATGACTTGTTGAAATGTTGTTACTATTTTGGAGTATTATTTTATCCTTACTCAATTTTGATGGCCAAATATAATAGATATATTTATGTGGAAAAAAAACTGAAAAACTCTATTCTTGTCTCTCTATCTCTCTCTCTCACTCAAACCATGTATATATAAAAAAAAATACATAACTTGCGCGCCTAAATAAATAGAAAAATTACTATTGTACAACAACAAAATACAATTGAATACGGTACAAAAAAAAAAAAAAAAAAAATAAGTAACGTTGAGCTATTTTATTTGGAACTACTACTAGCAATTTTAAAAGTACTTGTTATTATCATAACAAACAAACCGAAATCAAAAAAAAAAAAAAAAAACGGTGTAACAAACATGCAACAAATATAGAAAATACACAAGTGAAAGTGAGAGAAAGAGATAATGCAATTTTTTTTTCTTTTAATAGGAAATGCTAAAAAAAAGAGAAAGGATAGGAAAAAAATGAGGTCATGGGAGGAAAAATCGCTAAGTCGGTTAAGGTTATATATATATACAGACAGACAGATAGACAAGCCTGTTTTTGGCGTCAAGATGATGATGATGCTGAACAGATGATGATTATTATTACACTACCATACACACATAAACACTCCCACCACATTAATAAAAATATAAAACGAAAAAAAAGAGAAACTTTCCATTCATTAAAAGAAAAGAGAAGAGAAAAAAAAAAAATTAACGCATAAAAGGAAATGAATGAATGAATGAAATTCTTATTCTTCAAGTGTGTGTGTGCGAGATGTTTGAGAGGAAGTTTGTGGATCCAAACGGTTCGTTGAAAAAAAAAATTATTCTCAAAAGTAAAAAAAGAAAACTTACAAAAAAGGTCCTTGAACGCGGAAGCTATAAAAAAAAGATGACAATCGATTATCAATAGATCGATAGATCGATGTTTTTGTGCATCGATTGGATAATGACAATTTTTTTAAATTTAATTGGTGATCATCAATGTATATATTGAACAATAATATATATAACTGGTTAATGAGCTATTATTAGCATCATATACAGTAAGGAAAACAAAAATGGTACAAAATCATTCATCAAACAACATCATTGGTAGCCTAGGCAGCAAAAATAGTTTGTGGTGTTTTTTTTTTGTTATTGCATTTTGTGTTACGTGATTATTTATCAATGTATTATGATGACGATCAAATAGAACATTGGTACTACTGCACACACACACACACACACATACAAACACACAGTTAATCAACGATTTAGATTTACCTAAATCTAAAATTTTTAAATCTGTTGATAATTTTGTTACAATTTCTTTTTTTTTCTGGGTTACCATTATACTTGTTGCTATTTTTCAATCATCAATTTAATTAATTGAAAAATATTCACACTGGTTAATCATAATCATCATCATCATCATTATTTAGAAAAAAATTTTTTTTCTGGTTCAATGACAAATAATGATGATGATCAACAAGTGGTTTTTTGTTTAAAAAAAATCATTCATTCATTATTTAGCTAAAAAAAAACAGACAAAAAACAGCAAATCCTTCTATTCGAATGGATAATTATAATGAAATATTTATCCGATTGTCGACCTTCTCCTTCTTCTTCTTCGTTTCTTATCAATTCACACACACACACGCAGACACCAATTATTATCAATGACCACCACATTGGTGATTTTTTTTACTTCAAGATCATCTATACAGAACACTTTTATTTTTCTTATTTATAACTATCTTCCTTTTTTTTTCTAAAAAAAAAAGAAAGAAAGAAAGAAAAATAGCAACCTTTTAGGAGGACATTATCGTCATCATTAAATTATTATATGATGAATATATGGATATGATAGATTGATCGTATAATTCTTATTTTGCTATACAAATTTGATAACGTTATTATATTGATATTGATGAAACATTGAAAATAATCAAATAGCATTGATAATAAACATTCAATGAACAAAATAGTGGACTTTTCTCTTTCTCTTTTTTCTCAATCTCATTCACACTGTAAATTGATAAAAATCAAAAGGTCCTTGAATTTTGGTCGTTTGTATAATAATCATCATAGTATGCTGTTTTTTTCTGAATAAGATAAATTTAGGAAAATAAAATACAAACACACACACACGCAAACACACATGACCATCAAATACCATCACCACCACCACCAACACCACAATAACCACAATGATCAAACAATTTTTGTTGTTCAATGACACACAAACACACACGCATTTTTACACGTGTTCGAAAATGGACACACAAAACAAACACAATACGAAAATGTTTGTTGGTTGATTCAATGATAAAATGGTATAATATAATAGATAATGATGGTATGATTATATACTGGTCATTGCCATCATATATACAATATACAATAATAATTTCATTAACACAATTATGGAATGGATTCGATTCTTCTTCGATTATCAATCATTTGAATGCAAAATATTGTGAGGGTAGACACTTACCTTTCTTGATCATTTTTTTTCTTCGTCCAGTTCGTTTTTTTTGTGTGTTTTACGAAACATCACCATCATTTCCATGTAATCACCTTGTAATGTTTATCTTGAAGAGAAAAAAATGCTATAAATTATAGTGTAAAGAAACCACACACACACACACAAAATTGTGGAAATGATGAAGTAAGCTATGAATGATATTAGTAAAATGAAAAAAAACGAAAAATTCAAGGATACAAACCGATAATGATGATGATTATTATTGCCAAAATTCAATTTGGAATGATAAATGTGTGTGTGTGTGTGGAAAGGGGGGATGTGGCCTTTCTCATTTATCATATTGATAATCTTGATTACACATCATCATTCATTCAATCGTTCAATGTTACGACCACCATTTTATCATTTTTGGTATGATCGTAAATAAACACACACACACACACACACAACAAAAAAAAAATATTAAAAATGAAAAATTTTAATTTTGAAAAAAATTTTTCGAATCACATGAAAAAAAAATAAAATCTAAAACACTGACGCCATCTATTTGACAGTTGACGTAACTGGTCATTATCATCATAACGTTTATGAATGGATCATTTTTTTTTCTTTATTAATGTTGAGACACACAGTGAACGATGATGATGTTTTCCCTCCACTTTGTTGTTTGATACATGCTGCTGCTACTGGCATTGTTTTCGCTTCACTCAAATCGTCATTATTATTATTTTAGATTTTTAATTTTAAAATCTTTAAAATTTTATATTTCCTGAAATTCGATTTTTTATCGATACAAATCTAAAAGAAAAGTATGTATTTGAATCAATATCTGTATTGAGAAATTTTCATTTTTTTTAATTTTCATTTTCAGTGTCATTTGAATTTAATGCATTTGAAAATTATGTAACAGATTCGAATGAATGTGTCCGATTCAAATTGGTCACCTGTATCGATGATCTGATTGAAGATTTTGATGATACTAAAGTTTTGGGCCATAAACAAGATGGTGAATCAAAGAAACTGGTATCATCATCATGTCGTATAGCTCCTTTTAAGCCGGACATGACGTATCAATTTTTTGGCGAAAATGAAAATATATTCGGCTACAAAGATCTTACCGTTAAAGTTTATTATTCATGTGCACAGTTAAACATTTATCTATGTCTCAAATATGCTGATCGTTTGACAAAACAACAGACAGATGGTATAGAACCGGATGATGTATTGAAAATCATTGCATCCAAATACGAAACAAAAGTATGCTATAATTTGAATGAATTCAGTGCTAATTTATCGAAAGAACAATCGTTTATGCCATATGGTGAATTGATGGAAGAATTTGAAATTGAAACAAAACCAACCGATGATCATCAACAAGCCCAGAAACGACATTTTTGTCTATTTAAAGCTAACAATTCGGTACCCGGTTTTGTTGCCTATCATGAACGAATGCAAACATTTTTAATGTGGTTCATTGAAGGCGCTTCCTATATTGAAATCGATGATGATCATTGGGATTTTTTTGTTTTATACGAGAAACTCCCATTCATTGGCTCCCAATCGTCGAAACCATTGTTGAAGGAATATCAATATTGTTTTGTTGGATATTCTACAGTCTATCGATATTATGCTTATCCACAGAATGTTCGACCACGAATCTCACAATTTCTTATATTACCATCATTTCAAAGAATTGGTCTTGGCAGTAAATTATTGGCATCAATCTATACGAATTATAATAATAAATCAATTGTTGACATAACTGTGGAAGATCCATCCGATGATTTCCAACGAATGCGTGACATATATGATTGTAAATTATCCATTCAATTAAACTGGTATAAGACACTTGCACCAAATACCGTTTGGTCCAACGAAATGGCACGTGAAGCACAGATGAAATTTAAATTGAATCCCAAACAAACTCGAAGAGTTTTCGAAATTCTTAAATTAAAATTAACCAATCGAAATGATCCTGAACAATATCGCCAATATAGAATGGGTATTAAACAACGATTGAATGCACCATATAAAAAACAAATCAATGATATTGAACGTTTACGACAACGTAAAGCAATCAGTGAAACCAATTATACATTATTGATGAAAACCAATCAAATACCAAGAGAATATCGAATCAAAAATCTAAACAAACAATATGAAGAAATTGAATCAGAATATTTGCAAATTATAGAAAAATTAGGCTAATCTTAATTTATCTCGTTCTTTTTTTTCTTGCTTGCATCTAGAAGTTGTGAATTTTTTTTTTATAAGAAAAAAACTTTAACAAATATAATAATAATGATGATAATAATAATTCCACAGAATTTGAAATTTTATATTTATATGTGTGTATATGTTTTTTTTTATGTTTTACTTTTCAATTTCCATTTTTTTTCTTTAAAAAAAAATTTTAATCTATACACAAAAAAAATGCAAATATCAAGATCATCATCATCATCATCGTTCTTAGAATATGAAAAAAAGAAACACTATTAGAGAGCCTTCTGTACATTTATATATTTTGATGTTTGAAAAAAAGCAAAGTAATTAATGATAAAAAGCGTTACATTTTATCTTTGCAAAATTCGCCTTGGCAATGATGATGATGATGATGATAATGATGACAATGGTCAATCTGAAGGAAAATAATGGAAAAAGAACGATGACGATAATGAGAATTATTCCGTTAAATCTGAATAATATTATATAATTATGATGATGATTTCATTGATTATTATCTACATGATGATGTATTTTATGAATATATATGAAACAACAATCGTTATTTAGGGAGAGACAGAGACCGAGAAAAAAGTAGCTAAACAAAATTTTTTTTTTAAAAATATATAAAGAGAAATGACAAGCAAATATTAGCTAAGTTTTGGAGATGGTTTCCATTCTGGATCATCTTCATTGGCCACAATGTCATTGCTATGATGATGATGATGATGATGACTATTAGTACCAGTACCAGTATTAGTACCACCAACACCACCACCACCACCAACAATCGAACTATTTCGACCACTACGTTTATTTGAGTTTGAAATTTTAGTGGGCGTACGGGTGGTAATCAATTCGTCATTATCCTCTTCATCATCGACATCATTGTCATCGTCATCATCGTCGTCATCATCATTATTTAATTCTTCCTCATCGATTTCTTCATCTGCATCATCATCATCATCTTCAATAGTTGGTGGCGATATTTTATCATCATCAGCATCCATTGAATCATCGTAATCGACATCAATTTTTGCTGACGAACGTGATGAACGTTGATGCTGTTCTTCCATCTCCTTTTGTTGTTTATTCGTTTCTTCGACCATATTTTCATATAGCCAATCTGCAAGGGGAAATTTTCTAGGTTCATATGGGGAAACGGTTTCCTGTTGTTCACCCCACCAATCGAATGGTGAAACTTCATCTCGACTTGTATTTTTTGACAATGAAGTCTGACGTTTACGTGCCGATGATGATGAATCACTATAATCATTATTATTCAATGCCGATGATTTTGATTTATATTTACTGTTGTTATGTGTCGTAGTGGCCGTTGTATTGTTGTTAAACGAATCCTGGCTTGTCTGATCCAATGAATCAGATTTACTACTCGATTCAAATCGTACACGTTGTGGACCTTTATTTCGGATACTTTGATTCTTTTGATTTTTACCATAATAATTGAGTATTCGTTGACGTTCAGTTTGTTCACATTTCAAATGTCGAATTTGGAACGCTGCATCAGAAACATCTTCGTCGATCGGATTTTTTGCTTGGCCATTGTTAACGTTTTTGTTTTCATTTTCTTGAACGTTCAATTTTTCAAGCTTTACATTCTCCGGTGGTGGTATGGCATATTCTTCAATCAAACGCCATTTAGGTGTGACAATCTCTTTGTATTGTAACCGCTCAACTCGAGTGGTCGCAGCAATACTATATGGTATGACAATATTATTTATATCGAATGCATGTTGTTCACTACGTCGTCGACGATTCATTTGTGTCATTGATGATGAATACGATGTATTCGTTGGTGTGGACACTGAACCGACACTAGCATCCGATGGTGATGGCGAAGGAACAGGTGAATCGGCACGTGAACTACAACCACTAGATAAACGATCACGTTGATGGGATCGTTTAACTGAATCCGTACTTAATCGTCGCTTCTTGCTTTTATTAATCTTTGTTTGTTGTTTCTTGGATTCTATAATCAAAAAAAAAAAAAAATTTAATACTTTGCTATATTGATTTAAAAATTCATTTTCATACTTGATAACGATGTATTCGATGGTATTTTTTTACCTGATTTCTCCAATCGTTGTTCATTGCTTACAGTAGATGTCTTTTTTCTATTATGAATGAAATGTTAAAATTAAATTCAAAATAAAATAAAAATAAAATTATCCATTTACTTTTTGCTTCGAGTTGTCGATGCCGTTTTGTTTATGTCGAATATTTCACGTTTTAGATAATTTGCAAAATGTAGTCCAAGAGGTACATCTAAGAGATGATAATAATAATAATAATTAATGACAAATCCATTAATTGTAGAAAAATAAAATCAAATAATTACCATTGGGTATACATAGGTTTGGATGACAGGATGGATCAAGTAAAGATACTCTTTCATGATATGGCATCAAATCTGTGTCGATACTATGCATATAGCTATATCGGCCATTACAAATGACACAAGAAGCCACATGAGATGGATAAATATTACATGAACATTGAACTGATGAATATTTAACCGCCTTTTTTGTCGATGCTAATGACAAATTTGGTTCGGCAAATATCAATTTCCTCCGTTTCATGCTGATGAATGGCATCGTTCTCATACACTGTTCAGGTTCCGGTTCTGAATTGGTTTGTTGTAGATCTTTTGTCATATCTTCATGTTTTTGACTATCTAAACCGATTTGATTCATTGATGATGACGATGATGAATTGCTCCCCGATACAGATGATAATAAACCCTGTTGATGATGATGATGATGAGAATGTGAATTCTGAGGTCCAGGTTGTTGCTGATGGCTTGTATGATGATTGATAATTGTGATCGATGGCGATGGTGATGGCAATTGCCTTTGAACCACTTCATTGTCACCGAAATTGATTGTACCTTTCGTAGTTCGAATATGACGAAACAGATCTGTCTGTTGTCTTAATTTGGTTTCCAGATCCAATATATGTGCTTGTAGCCATGACCATTGTGATGCTATTTGGCTACGTTCATTGCACCATTTCCAGCTCAAACGATTACGCCTGTCAATAATAAAAAGAATGATGATGATCCATGATTCATAATCACCAAATTGAATTCAACTTACAGTGAAGTTCGATGTTTAGCAATAGCAGCAGATTGTTGTTGATGAATTGTCGGCCACGTATGTGACGAAAGAGGCGATGGTAAAATCGTCGTTGTTGAATAAGTAGAATTTGCCATTATAGATTTACTATCAATGACAATATCATCAAATGATTCCGATTCATCACAGCTCTCACCTCCCGAACTACTTTCTGTCGCATCGGAATCATATTTTGATTCAAGATGTCGTACATTGTAACGCCAAGAATCGATTGTCGTTAATAGTTTATCTCGATTCTGACTAATTAATCGTGGAGATCTTGTCTGTGGACTCAAGTTAGATGACGATGAAGATTCTTTAGGCTGGAAATGCATTTGTTGTTGTGCTGCTGCTGCTGTTGAACATCAATATTCGATACTTGATTGGAAAGGATGAGGTCAGATTGCAATCGGTTAGTTTGTCTATTAATGGTCGTTTGTTGAAAAGACGATGAATCGGAAAAATTTTGATTACTACCAGCTTGCTTTAGGTCTGATTTGGAAGGTTGTATAGGTAAATGATCTGATTTTATTTTCAGTTCATTTTGCGATGGATGCGACAGCATAAATGGCGATTGATGTTGTTGTTGATGATGATGATGATTATGATGAGAATCTAAAGATAAAACACCCGACATTGTCGTTGGTCCAGCTATGCCATAATCAAGATTCATGAAATTAGTGAAATCCAATTCAAATCGTTGGCAATGGACCGCGTTTAATCGTTGATTTTCAGCAATAAATTGTTTCATTTGTTTGGATAAATTTTTATGCGTATATTGTAATTGCAATCGTCGGATTCTATGTTTCATATCAGCAGTGATTTTTTGCATATTTTGCTGTCTGCTCAAGAGATCATTACAAATCGATTTTTGTTTTTCAAATTGTTGTTGCTCAAGTGCTTTTATTTCCTCTTCTTTCTTTTGTACAATTATCGGCAACATTACATGATTGCTTGAAGAATTAATGTCAAAATCGTCCAATAATGACTGTGGTGATGATGGTGGAGCTGAATTAGCCAATGTAGTTCCCAAAAGTTCGATTGTATGATCACCATCAACATCACATTTGTTGGATGACTTATGATGATGATCATCATTATCGATAGACATTATGTCACCATCAAGAACAGCACTAGGAAAACATGATATCGATTGTTGTTGTGTTGGCTGATTTGAAGATAATGCTGATGACGATGATGATGTACATTGAATTTTCGAATCACAAGAATTTTGAACTAGACTATTTTCATTATTAGTATTGTTGTTGCATTTAATCATTGTTAAACAATTGTTTGTTGTGGTCATGGATTCCATACTTGTAGCAGGAATTTGGTCTGTCCTTAAGGCGTTACTATCGATTGTTTTATGATTTGTTGTTGTTGTTGTTGTTGTTGTTGATGATGTTAACGAAATTGTCGTAGTAATCTGAGGTAGAGTATGACTTTCATTGTTGTCACTGTTGGTTAGATTGGACAATTTCGGACAATTTTTATCATTTGATAACTGATCAACGGATAAAGTATTCATCGTACTGGTCCAATCTTGTTGACTGGATGTTGTCGAATCTACTTCATCACTACCATCACCATTCTCTAGAATCTTAAAATCTGATGATCCATCACGACGTGCATGTGGAAATAGAAGAAAATTTGAATTTTCCGGGCTACTTAGGATTCCCATTGCTGTTGTCGACAAAGATGTTGATGATGATGATGATATAACCGGCAAACCGGTAGTCGTTGTAGACGTATTGGTTGCTGTTGTTGTTGATGTTGTCGTTGTTGGATCAAAGTCAAGATTTAGTCGATGATCGTGACCGTTCGAAAGCCCGTTATTCATATTAGTGCCTAGATTGCTCAATGTTTGGATCGAAGAAGAATCCGATGCTGATGCTTCCTTATTGATCTTGTTGGTCACTGTCAAATCGTTTTTGAAGATTTGAATATTTTCGACCAATGTTACACAGCTATTTGATTGATCTAATTTTGTTAATGATTGATTTGTGGGCGATATTTTCGTTTGTGAATGATGAAGAAATGATGTGGTTGACGTGTTCGTTGTAGTCGTTGTATTATCTTTTATTTTATCCACAGTGTTTATATTCAATAATTCATGATTTTGAATAGGAAAATTGAATGATATAATTGCGCTCGAACACGTCATTGCAACAATGTTGATATTTTGATGTTTCAATATTCATCAATCAATATATGTAAATTTACTGTATTTCATCATTTTTTATTAAGTCAAAACAAATAAAAAAAAAGAATTTATCAATGAATCGAAAAGAAAATCTTAATCATCAACAAGACAACTCACCAAATGGATAAAGAATATGACATGACAATATATTGGTCATCATCATCATTAAATGATGGATTATTGGAATTTAGTAATCATGCATTTTTTTTGCATGTATATTCCAAATAAATTGACAACACCATCATCATCATCACCATCATAAATGATGATGACGATGACTAGAGTAAAGGGTTATTCCGATTATTAGATGATGATGAATATGATGAAATCAATTCTATAAAATGATGAAATTACAGGCAATAGTGTGTTCGAATGATCAGTATTGAAAAATGAATTATTTAAACGGCAAATAACATTTCTGTCAATGATTCTGATCATTGAATATACGAAATACGAAATCGTGTTTGGAACGGGCTGTTTTTCATAATCATACCCACCCACACACACACACGCGGATACTGGTTTTAATATAATACGAATGAAGGGGGTGGTTTTATACGATCACAATATAAACAAACGCAACAATTCGTTGTCAAAATTCGTTGAATCAAAAAAAAAAAAAAAAAAAGAATCAAGATATTATCGACAGGAATTATGAAGAGGAAACCACACTTTTATGAAAAAAATGATGATGATGATGAAATAATACACCAACGAACCATTCAATTAATTCAACAGCAAATAAACGATGATAATATTCACCATTAATTTTTTTTTACACACACTGACGGTAGTCGTGATAATAAATTTATTATTACAACAAACAAAAATGTGATACAATAAACGATAAACGGGTATAAGGAATCAAAAAAAAAACTTAAACCGAAACGTATAGGCCAAAATTTAAGCGGCGTTGTTGGTGTTGGTTATTTTTTTTGTGTGTGTGTGTGGTTGGTGGTGTCTTGTTCTTCAAAAGTTTTTCTTTTCTTTTCTTTCTTTGTCGTCACATCACACATACACACATAGTATTTGGAGAAAAAGTAAGTTTTTGGTGAGCGAAACTTAAAAAAGAAGCATTAGAATCCTCGATTATCGTTTGATGATGGTTTCATATATGAAACACCGATGATGATGATGATGATCGCCCATAATGTTGAACGAATAGAAAAGAGACGAGATGAGAAGAAAAAAAAAAATTTTTGATGAAATGGAGGTGGGGGATGAACTGTTACAGACAAAAATGAATGAATAATATGGACGCGCTAGCGATAGAGGGAACGAGAAGAAAAAAAAAAATCTCAAAGCACAATAAACACTGAAATGAATAAGCAAACAAGAGAGAAAAAAAAACGCCATTAACTCAAATGAAAAACGCTGCCATGATAATAGAGTTTCGACTCCACATACAAACACACACACACACACACACACCGAATCACCGAAAATATACACAGTGAAAAATAGGATATATAGGATTTTAATTCATTCGATTTGTCAATAGGTGGCCAAAGTAGTAGTGGTAGTCGTAGTAGTAGTAGTAGTAGTAGTAATGGTATAAGTATATCGATATTTGATAGAGGGCGTGTTCTTTCATTTTGTATAATTGTCGTTAATTGTTTGTTGTTAGCAACAGCAACAACAGTGGTAGTAGTAGTAGTAGTGGTAGTAGTCAATTGTGTGTGTGTCTACCACCATATTCACCCAAATGGAGAATTTTTTTTTTCGATAGTAATGACATCTGTTATTATTCATAGATAATAAAACCGGTATTGATTTTTTTGGAAAAAAATTTCAATTTAATTTTGTTTTCAAAAGAAAATTTTAAATTTTTTTTTTCATAAAAATTCATACCTTTGTTATACAGGTAATTTTAATATCGGAAAAAAATTTCATTTATATATGGATTTTAAATCGTAAAAAAAAATTTGATAATTTGAATTATTAGTTGAATATGTGGCTATTTACACCCAAATGGTGATAGAATTATTCAGCGAAAGAGAAATGAAAAAAAAAATTCTGACCTCATGTGTTTTTGGATTTAGTAATTCATTTCATTCAATTCATATGTATGATAATTATATTAGTTGAATTAATCATTTTCTTTGTTTATTGTTTGGAATTTGGGAGCAAAATTATTTTTCCCTATTTATCCATTTTACAATGTCTAACATCTTATAAAGAGAGTTTGTTTGCGACAAACTTTTTTTATTATTATTGTCGGTTTTTGTAATTCACACATTTCATCATCACTCATCATCATCATCATAATCATCGGATTAAGATACAACACTCGATTATTCTACAATATAAATGATCAAATAGATTAAAATATGAGTTTTAATGTTGCATTTCCATCATTAACGAATCTAAATTCACAAGTAAGATTTATGAAAATTTTTTCCTTTCAGCAAACAATTTTTTTCATTCAATTTGAAATATTTACAGGTTTTACCGTCGATTACACACATTTCATCTTTATTGAAATGTAAAATACAATCATCACCACCATTAGGTGCGCAAAAACAGAAAAATATTGCTATAACCACAAATAGCAATAAATTATCTACAAGCTGTGAATCAATTTTGGTAACCAATGATAAACCGACGTCAACAACAACAACAACAACAAGAGCTTCTGATGTCATTGCGAAAATCATCGATGAAAAACAAATTGATTTTGTGATTGAAAAATTTTTCCAACCATCAATCAATGCAAAAAGTAATCGAGTTAAAATTGATTTCATAGCCAATTTACTTTCATCATCTTCATCGAACGATTCTCATAATGGATTGGAACATTTATTGTTACAACCATATAGGATAGTTTACAATTCAAAAAAAGATACACTACGCATAAATAATCATCGATTCAAATTGTTCGCTAGCCAGACGGTGGATATTCTCAATAATGTTGATTGTAAACAACAACAAAGACGATATTTCAATACAAAAACGCATTCACATCGTTATACAGGAATTGGCAGCTCACTCAATCGAAGATATTTGGACAATAGAAATTCTTTTAATCTAAAACTTGGCTCAATATTCAAAAAAGATGTACCACTTGAAACGGAAAAGTTAAAAACATTATTTAATGATGAAAAATTAACCGAAGAAGAACGACAACGTATCAAGGTTGGTTCGATATGAAAATCGCTTACTATTTAGACATTGATGATGATAATCATAATCATAGATTGCATTTGCTGAAGGATATTCGGCTGCCGATCCAAAACATTCACAATCACGAAAACTTCGTGTTTTCAATGTATTCAGAGATTTATTGGGCATAATCCTCATATTGGCTATACTTGTATCATTTATGGGTGAGACATTCGGTATTCATTTATGTTTGGTTGCCGCATGCTATTATTTTTTCCTCTTTTTGTTTTGTTTTGTTTTACTTACCGTTTTGGTTTTTTTCTCAATGTCTAACATTTCGACTTTCTCATTAAAATAATAGGTGGTACGTTTCGTCGAGTATTGTTTGGTGATACTAATGAAGTTTTACAAGAAGAAATCGATGTTACATTCAATGATGTTAAAGGTGTCGATGAAGCTAAGCAAGAATTACAAGAAATTGTTGAATTTCTCAAGAATCCTGAAAAATTCTCATCGCTTGGTGGTAAATTGCCCAAAGGTGTTTTGTTAGTTGGACCACCAGGTACTGGCAAAACATTGCTTGCACGTGCAGTTGCTGGTGAAGCTGGTGTTCCATTTTTTCATGCTGCAGGTCCAGAATTTGATGAGATACTTGTCGGTCAAGGTGCCAAACGTGTACGAGATTTGTTTGCAACAGCCAAACAAAAAGCACCGTGTGTCATTTTTATTGATGAAATAGATTCTGTTGGCGCCAAACGTACAAATTCAGTGTTGCATCCATACGCTAACCAGACCATAAATCAGTTGTTGACCGAAATGGATGGATTTCGACAAAACGAAGGTGTCATTGTATTAGGTGCTACAAATCGTCGTGACGATCTTGATAAAGCACTTATTCGACCTGGTCGCTTCGACGTTGAGATTCAAGTTTCTTTGCCAGATTTTGAAGGACGAAAAGAAATAATCCAATTGTATTTGGGAAAAATCAAATATTCTTCGGATGTCGATTTGGACGTACTGGCTCGTGGAACTGTTGGCTTTACCGGTGCTGATTTGGAGAATTTAATCAATCAAGCTGCATTGCGAGCAGTTATCGATGGTTTGAATGATGTGCCCATGGAATATATTGAAAATTCTCGCGATAAAGTTCTGATGGGTCCAGAAAAGAAGCATCGAATTCCAGATGAAGAAGCAAATAAAATAACCGCTTATCATGAAGCTGGTCATGCTCTTGTTTCCTATTATACTAAAGATTCACATCCATTACATAAAGTGACCATTATACCTCGAGGTCCATCGCTTGGTCATACGGCATATATTCCAGAGAAAGAATCCTATCATGTAACACGAAATCAAATGTTGGCCACAATGGACACATTAATGGGTGGTCGTGTGGCTGAAGAACTGATTTTTGGTCCAGATCGTATCACTACAGGTGCATCTAGTGATTTGAAAAAGGCAACCAAAATGGCAACCAGTATGGTCAAAGATTTAGGAATGTCCGAAAAGGTAAGGCAATCAATTTTTATAACTTTTGAATTCAGATTCCTATTTTCCTATTGCTGCCATATAGGTTGGATTACGTACTTTTGATGATGACCATAATTCATTGGTGGTTGTCAATGAATTATCTAATTTAACATCTGAACTGATTGACAATGAAATCAAACGAATTTTACAGGTAAGTTTCAATTTTTTTTATAGTTTAATAAAAATTATACATTTGATTTAATAATGATAATAATAATAATAATATAAATCTACAAAAAAAAAATACAGGAATCATATGATCGAGCCAAGAACATATTGAAATCTCATAGTCAACAACATGCAAAATTAGCCGAAGCCCTGTTAAAACATGAAACATTGAATGCAGAGGAAATTAAACAATTATTGGCCAATTAAAAGTCTCATCTCTAATAATAATAATATTATTATAATAGCAAGGAAAAGGAGCAATAGAAGAAAAAAAAAACAAATCACAATTTTGATTGATTTCCTTTATGTATGTTGTTTCACAAGTAATAAATTGTGTAAATTGTATAATTTTGTGATATAAAAAAAAAATGAAGGGAAGATGAAAAATTTTATGGGCTCCAATAATTGATTGATGATGAGGATATTTATAATAATAAAAATGAAATGAAATGAAATAAAATTTTTAACAAATTGATCACAATTTTTACGTTCTCGTTTGATTGATTGTTAGTTTTTTTGTTTTGTTTTGTTTTGTTTTTTTTTTTTGGTCTTGTGAATTAAAAATTTTTTTTTCTATAGTTGTGTGGTGATTTTAGTTTACATATTTGTATAATTATTTTTTTCGATTAAGTACCATATCGCATAACGTAAGCAATGCCTGTTTTTCTGGTGTATCACGTAAATTGGATATTTGACGTGCAGCTTCATCGGCATGTTGTTGTGCTAACATTCGTGTATGATTTAGACCATCGCTCTAATTATTTAAATAAGTGATGATATATAATTAATTAATATTGAAAAGAAAGACACAATGAAATAAAATCGGTATTACCTTCATTACAGCATCATATGTTTTTTCAACATCACCTGGTTCAGAAAATCGACGTATAATCATTTCATTTAGTTCAGGAAATTTTTCACATGCAAATAAAACCGGTGCCGTAGCTAGGCCAAGTTTCAAATCATTTGCTGCCGGTTTACCTAATTCATCTTTGCTTGATACAAAATCTAATAGATCATCGACCAATTGGAATGCAATACCAAGATTCTTGCCATATTCGAATGCTGCTTCCTGCAATCCATGATCGGTTGTAGCCAGATAGGTCACTGCTCTACAGGTGTATGCAATAAGACTGGCAGTCTTTTTGAATGTTTTCTGTATATAATGTGAAAAACGTTCTTTTTCATCCTTTTTTGATCCCATTTGCATGAATTCACCTAAAACTAGGTCAATGATTGCCTATGTTTGGATATGGACGAATCATTTTCCATTGTCAAAATAGAATCAAAAAAAAAAAAAAAATTAAAAATAAAAACTTACCTCGGACAATATTGATACAAGCACTGGGCTATTCAAACGAGCCAACATTTGTGAACCTTTGGATATGACAAAATCGCCGGCAAAAATTGATTTTTTCTGACCCCAAAGTACATTGACCGATGGTTTACCACGGCGGGTATCAGCCGAATCGATAACATCATCATGTATTAAGCTAGCTGTATGTATCATTTCGATAATGAGAGCAACTCGTTTTTGTGAATTGAGCAGATCCGAATTACTAGTCATATGAAAATTCATTGCACGTGCAATCAATATAACTATCAATGGTCGTATTGCTTTGCCTTGGCCATCAAAATAATAAGTAGATATTTGTTCTAATTCTGGCATTTCACTCTTTAATTCATTTTTAATTTCCGTATATAGGTTATCAAGATCATTTTGAACCAATTTGAATGGGTCAACTTTTCTATTGGCCAAAGGTTGCTGTTGTTGTTGTTGTTGTTGAGTAGTATCTAGCTGCTGCTGTTGTGATGATAATGGCATACAATTGGTGAATAAGGTTCGATGTACATTTTGATGATGATGATAATGATGATGATGATGATGATGACATAATAAATTCTGAACCAATTAAAAAAGAATAAAAATGAATTGAATGTAATGAATAAATTTTGGTCATCATATTAATCAAGATTGATCGGGCGACCGACCGACCGACCGACATAGTTTTTCTTCCATCCTTTCTTACACAACTCTATCGATTCGGTTGATGCCTCGGGTCATTGCAATTTAGGTAATCATCAACGATCAAACATAATGGTCATATACAGTTGGATAATGGAAAAAGCGGTTCGACTACTTTTTTTCTCATAACTATTATCATAATACCAAGATGGTGATATGGCGATTTCGGGCAACAATGTTTCACGCACACACACACACACACACAAAAAGAAAACATAACTATGTCAGAAAACTTGTTCGACAAATGCAGGTAAAAGTTATATAACTTAATGTCCAAATGTTGATTTCATTTGATTTGTCAATGATTAGTATGGATTGGTACAAAAGCAAATTCAGAATTCTAATTTTACTCCATTTAAAAAAAAATATTTAAAAAGTCTCAAAGAATCGAATGGTATGAGACTTACCGAATGATTGATGGTTAATCGTAGTTTAGTGGTGGTGATTGTTGAAAATGGACGATTCAAATGGCCAATTATTCGAGAACATCGAATGGTTTTTAATAATATTGGCCACATATATTGATGAATACGATGATGGTAATGAAATGCCATTCTACAATGATGATGATGATTATGGAACAAAATTTTTCTTGATATTCTCCAAACGCAAAAAAAATTATCAATAAAATAGATGACCAGGTTTAATGATTTACTTCATCGTCATCAACAATCAATGGAACAGAGTTTACCCGGCTAAAATTATTCACACAAACAAACAGACCAAACATATGAAATGGATTTGGATGAAAACGCAATGAAAACAAAACTTTAATTTAAACGCAAGATGGCGTTTGTCGATGAATTTTTTATTTTCGAATGTGAATTCTTGTGATTCTTTTGTGAAACTTGGATACTAGAAGACAATTTTGTCAATGTTTTTTTTTCTTTTGATTGTGATTGAAATTAGTGATCCGAAGATTTTGAGTTGAAAAAACCTACTGGACTGGTGAATAAAAAATAACATTTTTCTCTTTATATCATCTCTTTTGGACAGGATATTTTTTTTTGTTGTTTGTTCAATCATTTCGAGTTTGTACGACCACGACGACGACGACGACCACCACCACCATTACATTTATATTCATATTCATTATCTCTTAAATATTTCTTTTTTTAAAAAAATCGACTATTCCAGGTAATGTAAGAAAAAAAAAACATGTACAGCTAAAGACTAACGAGAGTGCCCACCTAAACAATTTCCAGATAGCCGAAAGTGACCAGTTTTCTCTTTTTTGTTACTTGGATAGTAACCATCATCATCATTATCCGAATAATGTAATGGTACATCAATGAGAAATGAGGTGGCCATCATTTATCGATAATGATATAGGGTTAAAAATAATTTTCACTTCAATCAATCAATCATATCATTAAGGGCAAAGAACAACAACAACAACAACAACAACAACAACAACAACGAGAACCTCAATCGAAAAAAATGGCATTTTCGATCGAAAAAAAATCTTTATTCATTAAAAAAAAAAAATAAATGATGATGAAAACAAATCAATTTCATTCATCTTGTGTATGTATTATGCAGTCTGTTGTAGAACATCATTTAATTATTGGGATTCAGTTTAACGAATGGTGAGCTTTTATCATTGGTGACTATGGGTGGATAATGAAAAACAAACAAACAAATTTCCGTGAGATTTCGAACAAACAAACACTACTTATTGTACTTACCGAATCACAATGACAAATTTCACCACCATATGATGGATGTTTCCAGCAAATATAATGGCAATATTTTTTCAAATCATCCATACTATCGAATTTTATTATACTGGTTTCAGAATTTATTATGGATTTAGATTCTGATTGTATTGGAGCTTGATGGCTTGTATGAACATTGATTAACAATACCAATATGATGATAATGTTGACCAAACACAGTAATTTATGACACTGTGTGGTGAATAATGAATAACGATAATGTTTAAAACATTTGTAATTTGGTAATAAGAATTGTCACTTTTAACTAACTAATAATTCTTTTGCTCAATGACAGCACAAATAGAACTTAAGATGGTATATATTGTATTTATACATCATAATTTTACCTGTTTTAAAGCAAACACTTAATGAACACTTGAAAATGACAGATGAAAACAAAAAACCTTGATTTTGACATCGATATCATCAATCAATCAATCAAGATCTATCGACAATGTTGATAAAATCTGGCAAAAAAAATTATCTATAAGAAATGGGATTATTCCATTTTGCATGATTCTACACAACACACACACATTGAGTGAATCAATTGGTGCCAAATGAAACAAAAAACAATGATTGAGGAATATACAGATATCCTGTATTCATTATGGTAAAATTTTGATCGAAAATTAGATTGATTTATAATGATCAGATTTCAAGTGTTTGATTGACAAATCTGATGCAAAACAAACAGCAGTATAGTAGAGTAAAATGCGATAGCCACAAATCAGTTATTCCATTTCATCAAAAGGAAAATTCCCAACAACACTAATCATTCGCAACAACAAAAAAAAAAAAAAAAAAAAAATCGTTTTATTTTTTTTTTTGACCAATTAGACAATAATCCAGGTACATCCATCAACAACAACAAAAACAGATAACAGGCCCTTTTAGGACATCAAAACAAAACAATATAACAAGCAACTTGTTGCACATGTATGTGTGTGTGTGTGTGTGTGTTAGTAAATCGGGGCCCAAAACACAATAATAATCAAAGTCCATGAAATCAAATCAATGATTATCAATCAAGTTATTTTTTTTTTTTGTTTCTTTCTTTGTTATTGTTGTTGCTGTGTGCTGTAATGATGATGATGATAACCAAAACAAGACACACACACATATATAAAATCAACACAATATAACAAAACAAGGATACAACAACAACAACAACAACAACAACAACAAAAAAAAACAATTTCAGATACTTATTGGGGATAATTAAAGAAAGATTATTAGAATAATAATAAACGGTGTTTTTTTAGTATTCGAAATGGTGATGCATGTGTTTTGTGTTTTTTTTTTTTTTTTTTGAAAATGACAATGGAGATACACAAGAGTTGACATAAAAATGCATGTAAGGTTAAGGCTCAAAATAATGATGATGATGACGATTATGATTATGATTATGATGATGAGAGCTGATGAATGATGATTCCAAATAAAAAGGCCATTTCTTTTCTTTTCTATATAAATATAAGCCACATTGCCAATTTGTTTTGTCATTTTAACTTTTCGCTGGTAAACAATCATACAGAATCTGTCTAGTAGGTTCATTTAAATGATCAGGAAATTTTATATCGAAATTGACAATTAAATCACCACGTTTATTGGTATCTTTTTGAAATGGTAAACCTTCACCAGGAATACGTTTCTGTGTTGTAGGTTTAATCACGTCTTTCATCTGTATGGGTATCGTAACACCAGAAAGTGTTGGAACTTTAATTTTACATCCACATAATGCCTGTAATAATAGTAGAGAATATTAAAAATGACGAAAATTTACAACAACAAAAATAAAATTCAATCACTTACATCACGAAGATAAACTTTAGCCGTATAGATGATATTGGAACCATCACGTTTAAAATGTGGATGTGGTTTATCTCGAATTATAAAGACAATATCGGCTGGAATCGATGATGATGAATGATCACCTTCACGTTGAAATGTTACTTTCGTACCAGCTTTCCAGCCAGGCATCACATTGATGGTTAATACTTTATCCTCTTTTTTGTATGTTTTTCCATCCTGTTGCAAAATTTTACGACTAATTTTCATTTTTTTCACACAACCATTCAATATTTCTTCTAACGATAAATAAAGATCATGTTCGATTGGTGGATCCTGTTTACGTGGCTGTTTTCTTTCATTACCAGGTGAACCATGTGTAAATGATTGTGAACGAAATGCATTCGAACTACGGCCAGGTCCACCACCAAATGAAAAGAATGAATCATCCATATCATCGAATCCATTGAAAAATGAAAATCCAGGACCTATGAATGAAGATGGATGATGATGATGATGGTGATGAACTTTTGAATTGAATTCAATAAATCAATAGCATAATTTGCATTAGTTAAAAGCGAAAAATAAAAGCAGAGGAAAAAAAAATTTATCAATTAATCGGATAATAATCAACACTCATCGAACGTAAATGGGCGTGCAATGTTATTATAAAATTTCTATTTTTTTTTTTTGTTATCCAGCCAATCAAAATCTAATTCTCTATTCAATCATTCATTTATATATATTCACTCCTTGTTTTGATTTTATTAATAATAACAACCTCGATTACATATGCTGTATATAAATGAAAAAAAGAGAGAGAGAGAGAATCCTTATATTGCCACATTGTCGTTTGTCACTGTTGATAATTCAAAAATTTTCAAGAATAACAAATACGGCATTTATGCGCCGGAATTCAAATTCATCATCATCATCATCATCATCATCTATGATGATGAACCTCGACAACAAAAAAAAGAAAAGATTATATTTAGCCTATTCATATTTTTAAGCATGTATCAATGGAAGTGACATCAATTTAGTGCAATACTGAATTGAATTTATAGCGAAGGTTTTTTTTTTTTTTGCTTGCTTCTGTGTTTTGCATTTCTTTGGCTATATGCATTGGCAAAAAATTTCTTTGCTACGTATCAATGTTAATGGGAAAAAAATTTGAATCAGAATTCATGGTTACTGGAACATTTGGAACATAAATTACAAACCAGTTTTTACAACCAGAAAAAAGCCACAAAAAAAGCAAACAAATAAAAATACGAACCTGAATGACTATTTCCACCAAGACCACCAAAATTAAAGAATATATCAAACGGATTATCTGTGCCAAAGAATTGAGCAAATGTTGCTCGTGGATCACCATGGAACGTATAGGTGAAATTATTGGCTGCATTACCATTCGAATTGAAACCACCGCTTGAACTCATACCGCCATCATTACGAAGACCTTCTTCACCGAATTGATCATAAATGTCACGTTTCTTTTTATCCGACAACACTTCATATGCTTCAGCAATCAATTTAAATTTTTCTTCAGCTTCCGGTGATTTATTCTTATCTGGATGATATTTTAATGCTAATTTACGATAAGCCTTTTTAATTTCATCATCTGTAGCACCACGATTGATCTGTAGAATGGCATAATAATCTTTACCCATTTTTATTCAATGGGATATTATGGATGATTTACACACCTACACACACACGAACTAATAATCGAATAACACACACGAACTAATAATCAAATAAAACAATTGTTGTTGTTGTTGTTATTGTTGTTGGAACACGAGGTTTGGTTTGATAAAATCTTTTACAATGGATGGAATTTCAATAATAAACAAACACACCATAGATTGAAACCGACATAATTTGTTATAAGATAGCTGCTCGTTTGGCTTATAGAATATTCACAAGTTGATGACGATGACATTGAATGAAAAAAAAAGAAAAAGAACTAGAAGCAGTCAAAGGAATTGTTGATGAAGATGTAGAATTCAACAACAGTGTTTAGTGAAGAAGATAATTGTTGGTGGTTGTGGTTGAAAGTGACTAGACTACTAACAACAACGCATTTTTTTTTTTTTTTTTTTTTGCTATAAACGATGATGATGATGATGACGAAATATCGACCAGAAGAACATCAATCACAAAACATATATGAATAAAAATGAAAGGAATTTTAAAAAAAACTACCACCACCACCACCACCACGATCATACACACACACACACACATACAATCACAAAATGGTGCTCGATGATTAAAACATCTTTTGTTTCTGTTTATTTCTGCAATTTTGTGTGGTTGAGTTTTTTTTTTACAAAACTGCATACAGAAATGGATGATATCGTTTTTTTCTGAAATTGGAATCCGAAAATTATTCAACACCCATGGAATCGATTCTTGGTGTTGTTTGATCCATTAAAAAAGGTTTGGTTCATTGGGTGTCCAGTTTTTTTTTGGTGTTGAATAGTAGAATATAGTATAGTTCTCCTGTAGTTGCTACAAAACTTGTGTAAATAAAATCGAACGTTCATTTGTAAACAAAAAACAACAGTGACAAAAATTAAAGACATGCGTCTTTAATTTTTTAACGAGCAAAATCAAAGATTCAATTCCATTTCCATCCATCCAATGAATCATGAATCTTGGAACAACGACCAATTTTGTTTACTGTATAATAATCTGAAATAATTTTTGTGAATGCACACACAGAGAGAGAGAGACAGAGACAAAATGTGATGAAAAATCATCTGTCAAATGATAATAAAAATTAAAGTTCATAGGACCACAATTATACAACATGATGATGATGATGATGTTTATTGAACAAAAAAAAATTAATGGACTGCTTGTGTATCATCCTCTTTGTATGTAATAATCGCCCACTTTCTACTTGTGTCTGTTTGTGTGTCATTATATTGTTTTGGCCATCAAAATAAAAATGTTTAGTAAACAACAACAACAACAAAAGTTTGAGTTATATGTGGTAACACCTGTTCCCAAAATTAGTTAATTTAGATTGACTTATTGAGGATAGATGAATGAATGAATGAATGAATGATTCATGGAACAGGCAATAACAAATCTTGCCATGCCCAAAAAAAAAAAAAAAAAATCATTTTATGCAATTCTAATAATTCATCGTCATTAAATTGACCAAAAATGGTTCTGAAAACCCCAATTCATTGTTGAATCCAAAAAAACATTCGATATAGTCTAATTATGGTCACCGTAACGAAATCTTTATCAGAATGAATGTAATTCAATTGACATCCATTTCAAAACAAAAAGAAACCATTCGTTCATCCATCATTCGATTGACGACATTGACAATGATGTGATTAGATTAATTTTTTTTTTTTTGACTGTAAAGAAAGAGAAAAAAATATTGTCAGTCGATATTTTTGTTGTTTCTAAAAATTAGGTACACACACACACACATAGAGAGATACATAATCATTTCACCGATTCGTCAATCATCATCATCATCATCATTCGATTCGAATAAAATTGGACGATATTGGGCGACATATAATTTTCTGCATATACACACCATTGTGTGTGTGTGTGTGTCTCTGATACATAGTCATCATTGTGTATGATTACGAACGAGTTTGCTCAACTCAATTGAACACGACATTTAATAATGCAAACAAACAAACAAACAAAAAAAACTCTCACCGAAGCCATAACAAACACATGAATATTAGCGTATATACCAGTAATTTGTTTTTTTTTTTTAATTTTTTTTCCTCGTCACTATATTATTGTCGATGATTATTATTATTGAATGCTCATATATCGACCGACAATATATTTTGGTTGGCCAACGGCAAAATATTGATTGGCACACGTACACACACACACACACACACACACATGAACATTGTCGTCATCAATTTTTTTTTCTTCAAAATTTATTTACCAAGTCTAATGTGAATTTGTGTTCATTATATTATTCCAATGATAAATTCATACAGGTTTTTTTCCTTTCCTTTCCATAATAGCAAGTAATCCATCCATTCATTTGTGTGTACCCTGAATATAAACCACCACTGTGTGTGTGTGTGTGTGTCCACAATTATATTTCATTTATTCGAATTTTGATCAAAAAAAAAATTGAATTCGAATTAAGAAAAAAAAAAAAGAATAATGGAGATCGATATACTTAAACCTGGTTCTGAAACAAAAATATTGACATTAAAAGATGTAAAAGCTACGGCAACCATTAAAGAGATTAAATCATTAATCTATCGTGAAAGTAAGAAAAATGAAGATAATTTATTTGTTTTGTCATTGATCATTTTTTTCAATTTTTTTTTTGCTTAGAACGATCATTGTATCCGGAACGTCAATCACTTCGATTGGATTCAAGTGAGTTTTTATTGTTTTGTTTTGTTTGTTTATTTGTCCGTATTTACTACTACTAAATCTTTTTCATGTGTAGAGGGAAAATCTTTGGATGATAAAGCTACACTTGATTCATTAAGTTTGAATCGTGGCCGTGTTCTTTATTTAAAAGATTTGGGACCACAAATTGGTTGGAAAACAGTATTTTTGGCTGAATATGCTGGACCATTGGTCTGTTATATGATTCCATTCTTTCGGCCATATTTGATTTATGGTCATAATGCTGATTTACCTATGAGTTATGTTGTTAAGTAAGTAAATAATCGATCAAATAATAACAAGATAATTTATTTGTAAATGCGTTGTAATTGTTTAGAATCGCTGCATTCTGTTGGACATTGCATTATGTTAAACGTTTATTGGAGACAATATTTGTACATCGATTCTCTCATTCAACCATGCCGATTATGAATTTATTCAAAAATTGTTCTTACTATTGGGGTTTTGCATTTTTCATTGGTTATTACGTCAATCATCCATTGTATACTGAACCATCATTTGGTACAATTCAAGTGTATACTGGTTTGATTTTGTTTCTGGTAAATTTATTTATTTATTGAATTGAATTTTAATTTGATTATTATTAATCATCAATCTAATCACAATTGTTTTTCCAGCTAAGCGAATATGGCAATTATTCTATACATTGTGCTCTTCGTGATTTACGACCACCCGGTACAACTGAACGTAAAATTCCATTGCCTACAAAGAATCCGTTCACATTTCTATTCAATTATGTATCTTGTCCAAATTATGCTTATGAATGGTATGCATGGGCATCATTTTCCATTATGACACAATGTCTTCCGGCCGCAATGTTTACCGTCGCTGGTTTCTATCAAATGGCCATCTGGGCATTAGGCAAACATCGTAATTATAAAAAAGAATTTCCAAACTATCCACGACGTCGTAAAGCGATCGTTCCATTTTTACTTTAGATTGATTAATTGATTGTGTGTGTTGTATGCACAATTTTTTTTATTGTCAAGAAAAACAAAAACAAAAACTTAATCCATACATTGATAATTATGAACAATTTTATTTAAAAATTTTACTTTTCATTCATGGCTCTGTGATAAATCGGATGATTCATCCTGAGTAATACTGTCGTCGACATAGAAATTCGGATGAACAGCAACGATATGTCGATATAATGATGTGTGACTGCGAAATTCATTGCTGCAGCAATTTGCCGAAGAAATTTCGCCGCTGTTGAGGGCATGCAATGATCTCACAATGCCATTATTCTTGTCCAATTTTCTTTTCAGTTTTGACTAAGTAAGAAAAATTATAATTACATATAATCGAAATTTGAAGCATTTACCTCTGAAAAACTCACAGCAAGTTCATTCGCACGATCAAATTTGGATCTCAACTGTTCTTTGATCAATGATGAAATTTCTGGTGAGTTGATCAAAGCTTCCACTTTTTGCACGGCGTTAAACTTGTAGTGTTCCGTTGAGTAAGATCCATACATCTCCACAAATTTGACAAGTTTGTCGACATATTCTTCGTAGTTCCGGATGAAATACAAATCGTATCCGGCATCGATCGATGCGAACAAATTTCGTAAATGGTGTCGCAACGAATCGATTTTTTTCTTGGTCATATCTGAAAAATGATAAAATAGAAAGGATCAAGAAATTTATGAGCGATGAAAATTTTAGTTACGGTTATGAAATTCGATTGATTCAAAATTGATTGTCGACAATATTGAAAATTGAAAATTCAATGTCTCTTTATAGACAATCAGTTTGTCGAGCTACTACGTTTTTTTTAAAAATTTATACATTCAAACATTCGACTTGAGAAAAAAAAACGCTTTTACACAATGCAAGTATAACTAATTTAACACTGTGTGTATAAACTAGGCATTAATTTTTCAGCTGATTAGACGATGAGTCATCCGAATAAATTATTAACATACAAACGATTTATTTATGTCTTTTTATTTGGTGTTGCCTTGTTTGCATTCAATCATCATCATCGTCATTTAAAATGATACAAGCACACACACACTAACATACATAATATATTTTCATATTTGAATCCTAAATTGTTTCCAAAATTTTTCAATTATTTCAGAAGTTATCATCAATCAATTTAGATTTACATTGATTAAAAATGTCGTGCAATGAAGATATACGGCGTTTAAAAAATAAACTATCATTAGATTTTAATCAGCCACGATCATCTAAAAAACAGAAAGCATGTCAATTGACCACACCAGGTAAGTGAAATAATTGTCTCAATGTTCCATGATGATTCATTCATTTATTATTCATATTGTTATTGTAGATTTAGATAAATTAGCCCTGTCAACGCCTCAAATGGCTGAATATTTGAAAACTATTCCAACAATCGGACCGTTACCAACATTTACACGGAATGTAAATGCTGATGATGAAGAGAAACAAAGAATGTTAGAAATGTGGTCAAATCAAGCACAAATGAATTTCGCTACAACAAATAATGAAATCGAAACTAATACGTCCACAGCAACCAATATTGGTAGTGATCATAAATCTAAAAATATAAAAAAAGGTAAATACTAAATATATGATGATGAAGAATTCGGACTAATTTCTCCATACAGAATCTGAATCAACTGCTGGTAAAAATAATGCCAAAAACAATAAAGGATTTCAACCAATCAACATGGAAGATCAGGAACAAGCTAAATTGGAAAGAAAACGACTTCGTAATCGAATTGCAGCATCGAAATGTCGACAACGAAAATTGGAACGTATACATTGTTTGCAGAAAAAAGTGGATGAATATAATAACAAGATCAATGCATTGCAACGATTTGAAACTTTATTGAAAGATGTCAATAATCAATTGTCCGTACAGATTACAAAACATCGTGATCTAGGTTGTAATCTAAGATGATGATAGCAATGTGGATAAATAATGTAATCGAATCGGTAATAATTTCGCAACATGTACATATAGATTATTATTTATATATGAAAAATTTTAAAATTCATTATTATTTTTTGATAAATGCAATAAAAATTTTATTATTCTCATATTCTGATAACCAATATGATGATGATGATTGATGAGATCGTTAATGAATGATTTCTTTTTTTTATACATAAAGTGATGAAATCTATTTACTATATATTACAAAATTACGTTTGAATTTGTGGTCGTCGTTGATTGATTTATGAAACTGTGAAAATGGAATCTTGAACATCATACATCTGTCCATATCACAGAATATTGGTTGATTAATCATGGCCCCAGTCAATTGAAATTGAATTTTGTGCATATTATAGATTCTGTAATAATGAAATAAATTGTTCCCATTTTTTTGTATGTATGTGGCTATTTTTAAATAATACTGGCTGGCAGTTTGTTGAAATTTTCAATATAATTTAAATTCAATGCTATATTTTCATTATTGTTACTATTTTGATGATTAATGTTATTCATCATAGCATTTTGTTGACCAGATAATGTTGTCGGTTGATTATTATTATCAGGCTGATTAGAATTGGAATTTTGTTGATTTAATAATTCTTCAATTTCTTTATGGCCGGCAATTTTGGCATAAAACAATGCCGTTTTGCTTTCATTGTCCATTGCTTTTTCATTGACATTATTCTAATAGGATGATTAAACATGGATTTAATATTAATACTGGAAAATTAGAATTCGAAATACTTACCCAAATAAGAAGCTGTGTTATTTCCAAACATCCACGGCTTGCCGCTAAATGTAATAAAGTTTTCTTATCTTTCGTTAGAATTTGTGACAAATTCACATTCTGAAAAGATGCATGTGCCAATAAATGGACCAATTGTTTCATGTCCATTTTCATGACACTATTGATAAGTTGGGTTTGAATAGGTGTTTTCTGATCTTCGAGAGGTGCCAAAAATTCACGCCGTTCGTATTTGGCTCGAATAAAACGTTCTTTTTCTTCATGTCTCGAGGTAGGTGTTGGTTTTGTTTTACCATTAAGTTGGTGTTCCCAGATTTCATTTGCGGCTGTATTGCCTAAGCCTAACATAACACTGACGTGACTAGACCTGAAAAAAATTGAATGAAAATGAATTGAATATAACAATATAAGCCAAACGAAATCCAAATCAAAAGAACTTACGGCCAAACATCGAGTCCAAGTGATCGAACTTTAGATATATGTGTGCCAAGATTTCGATGTATGCCCGAACATTCTATACAAATGAGTGAGCCAAGATTTAGTGATGCCCAATCTGGATCTATCGAAAAAAAAATTGTTTCAAATAAAATTGTCATCATTATGTAATGATGATGCTGATAACTTACTTGGCGCTTCACAATCAACACAATATTTATTACCAGGTACGGTACGAATCGTATGAATAGCTGAATCATCAACACTATTTACATTATGCAATTTAGATTTATCATATTCAGAATTCTGTAGACTAGACAATATTTGTTGTTCGATAGCCGTTATCCATTCTTCACGTTCATCATTATTGTTTGCATTAAAATGCCATTGTTTATTGTCCAATGATACAATGACAAATTCATTGCCATCCGAATTATCATCACCAATATCACCATTTTTTGTTCCAGGAGTTTTTATTTTTCGGCTTCGTTTTTTACCACTACCGGGATCATATTTTGGATTAGTGCTAGGTATTCGACGTTCACCATAACCTGTTGAAAGATTTACTGTTTTTTAATATCAGCTGATCAAGAAAAACAAAAATCACATACTTTGATTCGAATCGACATTATTTAAAGCGGCTGGTGAATTAGCTGAAGATGGCCGAGCACCACATCGTGGTTTTTGTCCAGGTATCTTTACCGTTGTATGTTTAAGGGGGATATTTTTGCCATGAACATCGTCCATATAATCATGTAATGTTGGATGATAAGTTAGACAGCCATCGGTGGTCAATGTGACATATTTCTTTTTCCAATCTTTATTTAATGTTTTTTTGCTCTTTTTGTAGAGATAACCTTGTTTGATCTTTAAAAATAAAATGTGAGGAAATCAAAAACAAATTATCCAAAATTATTTTCAACCAACCGGAATAGTACGACCACTGCCAACTTCTCCATTTTTATATTTATCATCATTTTTTGTTTTGTTCGACAACGGCGTAAAAAGATTAGATTTTCGTCGATTTTTACGAGTTGTATTTGGTGTCTGTTGAGTGGCCATTTGTTGATTTTTAAATGGTGCTTCAAGCATCGATGTTGCTGGTGATGGTGGCATAGTTGGTGTTGGTGAATCAGGTACCTTGAATTCATTATCGTTATTATTATTATATTTAAGCGATATATTGCGTTTCGGTACGATTGGTTGAGGTTTTGTTGTTTTTTCTGCCGTCGTCGAATGACTACTATTGTACAATGCAGTCAACTTTGGTTTCTCACCAATGATGGCCGGTTTTTTCATCACAAGATTATGCAATACACTTGACGATGCAATCGATGATTTAATATGATCAAGATTACTGTCATTATTATTCGTTTCCGCTGATGTTGATTCTGATTGAGATGGTTGAAATTTTCCATTCACTAAATTCAAACTAACCGATGTTAACGGTGGAGATATTGCTCCGGTCTGCGTGGATGGTTGTATTTTATTTTGATATGAAGATTGCTGTGGTGTGGAAAAATTTTTATTTCCAAACGTATTTATAACAGGTGTCTGTTGAGTGGCCGGTGTTGTCGGGCGACTATTAATGTTTTCAGAATTTCGATTCTGTATGATTCGATGACAAGCTATTTTAATTCAGAAAAAAAATTCAATTGAATGGCAAAATTTGAAAATGAATAAAAACCTACCATTTTGAAATATTTTATCCACATTTGAACCATACGTGGCACATGCTTCATAATAGACGCAACGTTTCAATTCATGAGCCAATTTTCTTGCTCTGGATTCATCAACAACTCTAGGATTCGTATCACTGATGGCATCTTGAGTACCGACCAATAAAATCGGTATATCATTATTTGATCTTAGATGAAACATTCGTGTATAATAATTCATTATGGCTTGAAAACTGTTTTCATTCTCTAGGCTAAATACAAAAATGACGGCATCGACCCAGCAGCTTAGCTAAATGGAATGAAAATGAAAACCAGAAAATGAAAAATTTGCTTCATCATTCAATTGACAAAAACATAAGAGAAACCGATCGTAAATAAGATCAAGTCTTAATGAATGGAAATCAAGATCGAAGCTTAAAATAAACATCAAAGAAAAAAAACCGATGACTGGACTTTACTAACCTGTATTTCAGGTGGACCACCTTCATCACGTATCAATAGTAGATAACTTTGACCATCGATAATTACTTCTTTTTTAAATCGTCCACCTTCAGGCGATTCATCCTGTAAATATGATCCAGTAAGATATCTATGGACTAGTGCAGATTTTCCAGAAGAATAAGTGCCAACAACACCGATACGTAAATCTGGAACCGAACGACTCAATGTCCATTCTTGGCTATTGACAAATGAATCTGTTTAGCAGTGGAAAAAAAATGGGGAAAAAAATTAGTGTCAATGAAAAAAATTTTTTCTAAAAAAAAAATATTCATATTTAGTACAAAGAATGCAATCGAAATTAGTCGTTGATGTCGTAGTGGTAACCGGTGAAATTAATGGCAATCTGAACATTGAACCAAAACCAATGCCAATTCGTTTGCCTAAATTGTTTGAAGAGATTTTTTTTTTTGGTTTTAAAAATTTTCATCACAATGAAACATGAAACAAATTGACTAATGAACATAGACCATTTCAAAGGACAAAAAAAATGACAAAATTCACATGTATGATCATCGGAAATATTCACAAAAATACCAACCATAATTATGATATTGTTGTTGTTGTTGTTGTTGAAATTGTGAAAGTTTCCATTTTTTCGAACGTCTTGACAAACGAAATGAACGTCGATTGAATGCGAACGGTGATGAAAGTGGCATTTGTAAATGATGGTGGTGGTGGTGGTGGTGGCAAAAGTCAATTCAAACGATTAAAAATCGATTGGTTAGTTTTAGCTCGAAAAAATGGTGATGTTGATCAACACATCATCATCAAAAAAACACATCATTTGATGACGACAAAAAGCAAAAATCATCACATTGGAAAACCAAAAACGAATATTTGATTCAAATTTCAAACAAACAAAAAAAAAATTAAGATTTTTTTTCACGCTTGTTACTTGGGTGTTCAATATTGAAATGAAAAATTTTTTTTTTTTTTTTTGGAAATCTGACACCACCAGCGACAACAACAACAACAACAGCAAAAAAAGATACATAAAACAATCAATCAATCAAATTCAATTCCATGCCTGTTTACTTGTCGTAATTTGATTGATAATGATAATAAATAATAGATTTTGGGGAATTTATATCTTGATGAAAATGATATATATTGATATAAATTTGATATATGAAAAATCATTCAAGGAAGATGTGTTCAATGTTCAAAATTTCATCTGATCTGATACATCATCATCATCATCATTATTAATAGAAATTAAAAAACGTCATTGTGCGACCAACTAACACACACACACACACACAAACAAACAAACTAGGAAGACCGAAAGATCATTGAAAAAAAGCATGTTAAACACGTTGATTTTTTTTTATTCATATGTTCCAAAAAAAAATATACGCTGCTATCATTTATTGGCAGCAATACAGACAGACTATAGTATAGTAGAGTAGAAGACCCACGGTCCAAATGGAACCATGGGTTTGGTACAATCAGAGCGCGTTTCATCTTATTCATCTCAGTCAACACAATTGAATGAATTTCATCATTTTAGCATAGCAGTGAGATGAAAAAACAAAAGGAAACGAGTTACCCAGAAAAAAAAAAATAAATGCCCAATGAAGAAGAAAAAATATTTGGCACGCGATAGACATTTCAAAAAAAAAAAAAAATCGATCAGTTGACGTGTGTGTGTGTGTGTGCGTTGGTTCACATTCATTTTCGAATGAAAATGAAACAAAAACAAAAAAAAACGACTGTGAGATAATAATCGATCATCAGAGAGAAAATTAGTCGTTTGTTTTTTTTGCCTTTGAATTTTTTTTTCTTTTTCATTTGGATCGAATTACCATATATATGATGTTTGATGAAATTTACGCATCAATGAATTCCATATTTCAACCAACTGTAAGAACTATAGTTAGGTAGTAGTAGTAGTCATTAGTAATTTATCATCAATTGACTAACGATAATCATTGATATATCACACACACACACACACTGTGGTGATATAAAAAAAACAGATATCAGACAGTGTGTGTGTGTGTGTGTGTGTAATTATGATTATTATAAAATATAATAATAATTCCTGGTTGTTTATATCAGAACAAAAAAACGTAGATACCAAATGGACCAGAAACATCAGTGGATATAATGGGAGGAGGTGGTGGTGTAAAAAAAATTAAGTTCGTTATCAAATTCGTACCAAAACACGTGTGTGTGTGTGCGCGTTTTTATGAAGAGAAAGCTTGCTGGTCATCATCATTATATAAATTATCAAAATGGCTTCGATCGAATCACACAGACTTACACTGAGAAAGTGAAAAGACAATCAATTTGTTCAAATGAATGAATGAATTGTAAATTTTTTAAATGTAAATGATGAAAATGTCACCTGCCACATTGCGTGCATATCATTAAAATAACAACAACAACGACGACGACGACAAACAAACAAATTAACCTTGCTAATTATTAATTTCTTTCTTTTTTGGTTGACATCTGGTTACCATCAGATTCACACATAAATTAAATTTCATATAATAAATGTCAAGATCATAATTTACAACCTTCTCTCTCTTTTTTTCACCGGAAATAAATCAAAAGATTCATTCATTAAAATAGATTAATTTATGGATCATTATTCATTCATACATAACATACCTTCAATACAAACAACATGATCACGAACACGTTGTGCAATTAGTTGACCATCAGCACCGCCAATTAATTCAAGAAGATCATAAATAGCATAAATGGATGGATGAACACTTTCGAAACGTTGTATTTCTTGTCTTATGGCTAAAGAATTATTATAATAACATGTTGTCGTTGTTGTTGTTGTTGATGATGATGTTAAAGATTGTGGACCACAACCACCAAATGATGATGATGATACAATACTTGTACTTGATGATGGTCGTGTCTGATGATGATGATGATGATGATTAGATGTGGATGTTGGAATATTCTCATCCAATGATTCTCGACTCATTGTTTCACGATCTATTATATTTGATTCCATTGAACAACAATAATGATTGATGGTGGTGGTGGTGGTGGTGATGAGAAAAAGGCAGTCGAATTTGGATAGATTTGATTTCACTTATTTAGCTTTTTCAATAAGCTTTTTGTTGTTGTTTGCACAAACACACACACACAACAACAACAACAACAGCAACAACCACAAATTGGTACAGGTGTGCATTGATTATTATCATAATTTGACAAAACCAGCACTACAAATAAATAAGATAACCAGAGATAAAAGAAAAAGAGGTAGACAAAAATCAATTTCCAATAATGTTGTTGATGATGACGGATATATATATAGGAAATCAATTGATCAATTGATGGCCAAATCGATTATCCGATCATTCATGATGATTTATGGCCAAAAAATTCATCATCCATCACTGTGTGTGTTTTTTTTTGATTTTCGAATTTTTGAAATTCATTTTTTATATTTCATAATGTGGATAATAAAATTGAGTCGTCGTTTTATTTTATTTTTTGTTGTTGGGAAATTGTTTTATTTGTTGTGGTAAAAATCAGAAAACAAATAGATATCCATCAATTCCAATAAGTTGTTTTTGTTTGTTTGTATGTATGTCTGTCTGTCTGTCCATCTATCGGTCTGTCTGTCTGTTGTGTGTATTTAGTTTTCTGGATTCATATATAATATATATATAGCACTCACCAATACCATGGTGTTCTGAGACAATCCATCCATCTCTATCTCGCTCCATTATAATTGTGTGTGCTCAATTTTTTTTTTTTTTTGAATATGCTCATAGATGATGTAATCCATGTGTTTTTGTTTTGTTTGATTTCAATTTGAATTTGAATTTAAATTTTATTTTTATTTCATCAAACAAAATGGCTACATCATCATCGAAAATGAAATTATCACAACAAGAATTACGACAATTGATGCGTGAAAAAACAATACAGAGTAAAAAATGTACCAGAATTGATTCACCATTGGCCAGATATGATGAACGTGGACAACTTTGGTGTCGTATTTGTAATCAGATTATTAATAATGAACTTTTGTGGTCTACTCATTTGATTGGAAAATCACATAAAAAGGTTTGCAAAATAATGTTATCATGGAATTTATTTTATTTGATGATTTTTTTTCTCCTCACCCCATTAGAAAGTGGAAGAATTGAAACAAAAATCAAAATCTTTAACAACAAAAGAATCATTACCATCATCGAGTGGTCCACTAAAAAGATCTCTAAATGTTGATGAAAAAATGGAAACTATTGTAGCGAATAAAATAAGAAAATCATCTGAAAATAAAGAAGAAGATATCGGCGATAATAAATCAATTCAAACAGCTTCAAACGTCGTTACATTGGATTCATCGTTGCCAGTAGATTTTTTCGACAATGGCAACGAAAAACCTGTAGAAAAACAAACCAATGAATTATTATCATCACAGATACCGAAAGGATTTTTTGATGATCCACAAATTGAACGTAAAGTTCGAAAAACACCATTGGATGAAACGTTGGATAATCAATTTGAATTATTTCGTAAAGAAATTGCCGAACAATCTTTGGTTTCACAGAATCTGATGGACGAAGAATATGAAGATTTGGAAAAAGAAAAAGCACTAACAGAAATTGATGAACAAATTGAAAATTGGGCCAAAGTTGATGAAATTCAAAAGAAAATCGAAGTGATTCATAAAAAACATGATGAAAACATGGAAATGAATGATAATGATGACAATTCTGATAACCAAGATGCTGATGATGATGATGGTGAAATCGATTTTAACGATATGAATTTTTGGCGAAATAAAGATGTATTCCGTTGAAATGATGAATTTTGTAAAATAAAAAATTTATAATTTTTGGATGACTAAATGTAAATAGATGGCGTTACTTTTGGATAAAAAATTCCTCATGATAAAATTTCAGCTGTGTATATTGGAACATAACACATGTAACGAATTTGTGTCAAAATTAAATTTCCAAAATCGATAATAATAATTTGATTGATTGAAATCGTGAAATTTTCCTCCAAATAACGATGTTATTCTTTTCATTCTTCAAAACATTAGTTGGTAAAGATGTTGTCGTTGAACTTAAAAATGATTTGGCCATCGCTGGTACATTACATTCGGTTGATCAATATCTTAATTTCAAATTGACTGATATAACCGTATTGGATAGTCAAAAATATCCATACATGATATCGGTGAAGAATTGTTTCATACGTGGATCAGTAGTACGTTATGTTCAGCTACCATCCGATGATGTTGATGTAACATTGTTACAGGATGCAACGCGTAAAGAAGCTTCGGCTAAATGAGAAACAAAACAACAACAAATGTAATCGAAACATTCGTAAACAATATTGGCTATTTATACTTTTTATTCAAATCAAATTTTTCTTTACTCATCATCGTGTTAAATTCATGCTCATTTTTTTTTAAATAAAAAAAAAATAAAAATAAATAGTGTTTACAATTATTCCCAGATATAATGGTAAATCAAATTTTTTTTTTTTCATTCCATTTTGGTTCCTTGTTTTTTATAATATCTTCGTCGTACATCTTTCAATGAATCGAATGCCAATTTTGAATTGAAATTTTCACCCAAAATATTGGCAATAATACAATCCTGTGCGAAACCTTGCAATTTATGAGCCCAATAACCGTATGTACGTGATTCAATGCCAACCGTTTTTAGGGCATGTTGTACATATGTTTTTGGACTTGGTACCATTAATGATGTTCGTCGAATTTTACTCATTTTTGTTGATACATATGCTGGTAATACACTTTGAATGGTGATACCTTTGTCAGCGTATTCGAATTGTAATGCACGTGAAAGAAAATCGACAAAAATTTTCGATGCATTATAAATCGACAACAATGGCATCGGATATGAAGCGGAATATGATGAAAGATTGATAACAACACCACGACCACGGCGTTCCATTTTTGGCAATACTAATTCCACCATACGCATAACGGACATTATATTACAATTGACAATTGAATTCATTAATTTTTTTGCTTCAGGTATTTTGTTAAAATATTCTGGATATTCATATGAAATACCGACATTATTGACCAGAATATGAATATCATCCAATTCATTGATTTGTTTTTCAATTTCATCATAAATATCCGTACGAACAAAATCAACGGCAATGGTTCGAATTTCTGAACATTTAGGCGATTCACTTTTAATCTCTTCTTTTGTACGATCCAATTTTTCTTTATTACGGCTAATCAAACATACAGAATAACCCATACGAGCAAATTCTTTTGCATATGCCAATCCAATACCATCAGTTGCGCCGGTAATCACAGCCCATGTTGATGGCCCTGGACACCATTTAACACCAAAACCAAATGCCGATCCAAGACAACATGTCCAAATACCTTTGATTATTTTGAACAATAACCATAAAATGATGATAAGTAATGAAATTGAACCAATCATTTCATAGAATGATGCCATGATTGTTGATAATGATGATGATAATGATTGAATGTATATATTCTTGAAGTGGATGGTATATACAAAAAAAAAACAAATTGGAAATAAAAATAAAAACTTTATATCGAGTACAACGAAACAAAATACACACAGTTAAATAACGATGGATGGAATGATTGAATTTTTTTTTTTTTTTTTTTTTGGTAATGATGATGACGTTCATCGGATGAATAATAATCACATCAACACATCAAGACTGGTTTTTGTTTCATTCATTCAATATGACCGAATATATACGTATGTTGAATATGTGTGTGTGTGTTTGTGGAAAAAAATGATGAGTTTTTTTTTTGTTGTTGTCTCTCTCTTTTTTCACAAAACCATTTTGTCGTCACCGTCAATAAAATTATGCTCACACGCACAACCTGATGGTGATCACATCATCATCATCATCATCATCATCAGGTTCGAATGTTTTTTTTTGATTAAGGAAAAAACATTCGATTTGTAAATTGGAAAACAAAAACAAAAATTTTTTTTTTGTTTCTTTCTCTTTTGAATTCATGTAAATCAAGAAATGAAAACGTATTTCGTTTGAATGTAATTGTATTGTAATATGTGTGTATCAAGTATAGCACAAACACAAACACATCAACCAGCCAACATTATTATAATCATAAGGTAGCTATTTTTCAATTTTATAAAAATGTGTATGCACTTTCTAAATGGTGGCCAATGCTATTTCAGATCAATGTCATTTCCTTTTTGTTTGGAATTTTTTTTTGTTTTGTTTTATCAAAAAAACATACATGGCAAATAATTTGAATATATGAACATATATATATAAAAAGGTTGAATGGTGGATATCCCTTTTTTTTCAAAGATAATGCCACGTTTTTGGTGCATAATCTCGAATAATAATAAAAAAAACAATGGATTAGATTAACGACAGTTTTCCTCGTACATTAAAAAAAATGATGATGAAAATATCAATCAGTTTTTTCTTCTTATGATGAAGAAAAATCTATAATCCGATAATTTGTTTCACTTCGTCAATAGTTTTTTCAGCTATTTCAATAGCTTTTGAGCTGCCATCTTTGAGCACCATTTCTAGATGATCACGATTGTTTCTATAATCCATAATTCGTGTTCGTATTGGCCTTAGGTATTCGGCTAATCGATCACCAAGTTCAATTTTAAATTCAAATGTTGATTTTCCATCGAAATGTTGACATACTTGTTCAATGTTCATATCACTAATTAAAGAATAAATCTGTACAAGATTAGAGACACCGGGTCTATTTTCAGGATCATATGTTACTTCGGATTTCATATCTGTGACAGATTTACGGATTTTTCTAACAATATCGTCCGATGTATCAGTTAGATCAATACGAGATTTAGTATCCAACTCAGATTTGGACATTTTTTGTTCAGGTGCTCTTAAACTTTTGATACGTCCAGCACCACTTTTTGATATGAGTTCCACTGGAATAGGGAAAACTTTTCGTTTGAACGTATTATTGAATTTGGCGCTTATATGTTTTGTTAGATTGATATGAGCCAATTGATCATCACCGACTGGTATATGTGTCCCTTTATACAAAAGAATGTCGGCCGTTTGTAACACTGGATAAAGAAACAGGCCAGTTGGTGGATCTTTGAAGCTGGCACTTTTTTCCTAAATAATATTAAAATAATTATTGAATTGAAATCCTAAAATTAAATACTAACTTTGAATTGTGGAAAACGATGTAATTGTGGCAATGTAGTCAACGTTGTAAGAATCCAACATAGATATCCATGATAAGGAATAGAAGATTGTTTGAAGATTAAACAACAATTTGGATCAATACCGCATCCAATAAGTACGGCCGTAATTTCAAATATGTTATGTCGCAATTTATCCGGATCATTTGACATTGTCAAAGAATGTAGATCGACAATTTGAAATATTGGCGGTAAATATTTTGGCTTATATTCATTACTATCATCATTCGTTTGTTTTTCTTGTACAATCAAAGAAGGTAATGGTTGTGGTTGTTGTAGATCGATCCATTGTTTTATGGCACCAAAATAATTACCCAAATGAATTGAACCGGTCGGTTGAATACCGGATAAAATTCGATGATCATAATGCAGTCGGATAGATGAAATTTTGAACAAATTTATCATAGTTATCCATGATTGTTGTCGCGATAATAATTTCCATACCATTTGTCTGACAATAAAAGATTTCGTAAATGGTTTTTCCAATATTTTTTTTTGTTTATTTAAATGAAAAAAAAAATTCGAATAACAATTGAATGCATGCATGTGTGTTTGATTCGACTTTGTTCATAGATAATGTATATCATTTGTCCTAAAATTTACACACATCCGTAAATATCATCTGCATGAACTTTACACACACCAGAATTTTCATTTCATAAAAAATTGTTTTCATTGTTTGTCATCTGCGGAAGAATTTCAAATCATATGAAAAGTCATAATGACAAGTTTCTGAAGAAGTCAAAAAAAAAAAAAATTGCCAATAAACATCATAAGATTCGGATAAAACTGGTTGGTTCGATTTTCAAAAATATTATCCAAATATAGCTAAAAAAAAACCAGATACTCTGAACTAATATATATCGGACTAAAAATTGGTATGTATGCAATATTTATATTTCACATTCAAATCAATCAATCAATCAATCAATCGACAACAACAAATAAATTAGATTGATTGTATGAATTATATATCGATCATCTGAATCATATGGTGGCGGCTGTCGTGGTTGACCTTTGTAATATATTTCTCTTTTTATACACGCCAGACGAGGCATTTTTTTTTTTGTTTGGTGAGCTATAGCTTTTTAGTGTATATATGGGAAAAATGCACGCGTGCGTTAAATGTAAAAATAGTACATTCTTTTTCACATTATTAATTTGCTAAAATGTTTGCTTTTTGAGCCAGTGAAAAAATTGAAAAACAACATTTTTTTTTTTGTTATTTTTACTTTTTTTTATGATATAAAAAGATTCGATATTCGTGTTTTTTCAGTTCAGTTTGCATCATCATCATCATTTTGGTGGTTCGATAGCATATTCTCTCAATCACGATCTGTTCAATTTTTTTATTTCTCTGCCACACAAATCACACATTTTGAGCATTCTCTCTTTTTTTTTTGTTTTCATCATTTTTTTTGTTCCAAGTTTTTTTTTGTTTCTATTGGAATTTTAATTTTAAAAAATAGTGCAAAAATCCATCCCAAATGATTCTGAACCGAGCCGGCAATGTTGCTTTTCGAGCTTCGATTGCTACACAAGTAAGTATACATTCGAAAATTTTTTTTTAATTAATTAACAAATTAAAATTATTCCGGTATTTTTTTTCTCTCATTCAAGACAACAAAAACGTCTTCTAATCGAGTATTCATTCCATCAGCCATAATATTGACCATCACAGGATTTGGTGTATCATTATTTGGTCTTCATCGTCTTGATAATTCAAGAAAACATTCATTCTACTTAAATACAAATAAACAATGGAAACAGAATTGACAATGGAATGAAGATAATTTGCCTTCAAAAAATGAAAAGAAAATGCACCAGCAATACATCATCATGGGCCATCATTACCTGTGTGCGTGTTTGTGTATCATCTAGTATTAGCTTAATTTAAAAATGAATCTTTTTTTTCAACTTCTATTGTAATCTAAATAATGATTAATTTTTGTAACAACAGAAAAAAAGAACATTTATTATTATTATAATTATAATCAATAATCAATAATAACAACGATCAGCCATCATAATAATAATTGACATTAAAATTTAAATTTTTTTTTTTCGTTGTAAGCGATTGATGAGCATATTTCATATTTTGAGTTTTGAGCAAAAAAAAAAAAAGACATCTCATGCTATTCTGTTTGTATATAGATAGATAGATAGATTCTGGTATTGGCACTTTGTTGTTTTTTTTTTTGGCTGAAGCCAATCGTTGTTGTTAGATTGTAAATTCCATTCGATTTGATTTTCGGCTAATTTTCACTTGCGATGATGTCGATGATGATAAAAGTTGCTGCTGTTGTTGTGATGTTGATGCATTATGATTTTTAAATACCAAAACTAATGTCTCTTTTCCCGTAAAAATTTGAAATTCAGGTGATATTTCTACAATAGGTCCTTTGGTCACATTATTTTGTATGACCAAATATAGTTTAGTAATCAATTCGATTAAATGTACGGATTCAAATATCAATGCTCGAGTATTAAGAACTTGTTGTTGCTGTTGTTGTTGTTGTTGTTGTTGTTCCTATTAAGATGATAGATTAGTGATTTTAATAACAATGTTTTTCTTATTGATTTGTTGACAAAAATCTAAATTTTATTTGTTTATCTTACCGTTAGAATGTGTATGACAAGTATATTATCCATATACGGACTGGTTGATATCTTATATATTGAATTTAATCGAACATTTTGATTGATTTGCATCGTTTTACCATCCAATACGATAAACGATGTAGTTGTAATAACCACAACTTTTTGAATGAATTGTTCCTATTTGCATGGTGAAAATAACTTGGTTTTTTTTTAATTTCAAGATCACATGATAAGATATTACCTTTCCACATCGTTTAGTTATCTTGCTGACCAGATCGGCAAATACAACATATACATCGCCCAATGTTGGTAGTAATCGTTTCCATTTAACATTTTGCCTTAAACGTATATAATCACCACGAAATGGATGTGAAACTGAACTTAAATATGATGCTTTTCGATTCTTGAACAACATCATTGCCGTGACTTTTTCACGCATTCTATTTCGATTGATTTGATCGAAACAACGTCGATATCGTTGACACTGAAATGTTATAATAATAATTTCAAGTTAAATTATTCAAAAAAAAAAAAAAAATTCATTTGAAAATCGTTATCTCTCACCCTCCATCTATGGTACAATTTTCTGAGCATTTCAGATGTATGTCGCATCGATCTTGGTGCAGGTGGCCATTCATGATTGATCGGTGATGGTGAAGGCAAATGTCGATAAAGCCAAAGTAAATAACGTCGACGCTAATTCATGATACAAGAGAATTTAAATCATAATCGTTTGCAATAGCAGCAATGTGTTACCTACCTTCCAATTTCGGAAACATCGTGATATCTTAATTTGGCCAACAATCATACGATAATATTTTCTTTTCTGTAACCATTTTCGAACATTTTTCTGTATAATCACTGCTATCTCATCTAGTTTGATGATTCGAAGTTCTTCAAGTTCAACAAACTACATGCAATCATGAATGTTATCATTTCCATTTCAATATAGACATTATAAATGTGCAATAAATAACTTACCGTTTTCAGATGTTTGATGAAAATTTTCGTTTTACCAAAATTAAAATCATTTAGGCTATTTGTTTTAAGGGAAGTATTATGTTTAATAAGCGTGACAACACCATTGACAATGGATCCTTTCCAATAAGGCCAAGTCATTGGAGAAAGTATTCGAAAACGTTTGAAGAATGGGCCATATTTTTCACTATAAACATAACCACGACGTAAAAATTCACCATGTTCAATAATGAAATGACTAGACAATTGTTTGTAAACATATTCATCATCGAATATATTGGGCATCTTCAATCGATTAGGTTTAATGCACATTACATAATGGATTTCTTTATTATTTAGTTTAGCAATCATTGATTCGATTGCAATGGAAAATTGATTGGCCAAAGTTATCGGTTTTCGTAGGCTTTTTTTCAATGGATTGCCTTCAGGAAATAATTTCTGTAACATTTGATGATTAGATTTGAAGAAAAATTGTGACCAATTTCGATTTAAATGTTCGGCATTCTTTTCGATAAAACCATTTATACTGTACACAGTCTACAAAGAATTATTATTACGATAGGAAAATAATCAATTTTTTTTTTTTTGATATACAAACATTTTCATTGAAATGATGAATACCAAAACAAAGCTGAGGAACGGATTGAGCTGAAATATCACCGGTAGAAACACGACGACGAAATGGAAGACTATGAAGAAAATATCCATTACCATCATCATCCAAATGTACCGGATTATTGATCTGTATATAATGTAAATCTTCACTACATTGTTCATTCAATTCTTTAATAAAAATTTCTTCACGAAAATAAATTGATTTTGATGATGCTTTATTCAATATAGAAAATATTCCTGTTCGTGGCTTTGAATAAAAAAGAATAATTCATTAGTCTCTCTATATACACTGTATAATAATAATAATTACTCGATCAATAAAACGACAGATTGGATCATTGGTTGAAAGATCCAATTTAGTCCAGCCAATATCTTCACGTAGATATTCTTCTTGTTTTTGACGAAAATTAGTATCGATAAAGATTTGAACAATTTTTTCATCCAAATAATTCACTAGTAATTGTTCGAAAAAATTAATCTGCGATGATATATAATCGTATTAGTGATTAGTAACAATTTTCGAGCCATACACTTACATAATAATTTTCGAAACCAAAAAAATCACACAAAGACAGATTATTTCGTGTTAGATTCAATGATGGTTTAGTCTATTCAAATGGATCAAAAAAATTTACTTTATAAATATCACCACAATCAATCAATATTTATACCTTGATAGATTCATTAATCTTTTCAATGATCCATGTGAATAAACGAAAATATAGGGCTTTACATAATGTATTTCGAATTTTAGTTGCTGAATCAGCCGATAATTCAGTGATGAACACTTCGGATTGATCTTTAACCATTTTATGTGTGAATGATTTAAGAAATATGGCCGAATCCAAATTGAACATATCACATATTTCATGGATTTCTGAAATAAAATTTCAATTATGGTAAATTCTGAGATTTTTTGTTTCATGATGATATATTACCATAATCATTGAAGATGGTACAGCCTTCTGTACTGTCAATGTTGGCTTTTCGTAAAAATTGAACATTTCCAAGTTTCAATATGAATGCTAGTACTTGTAAAATTTCAATAATTTCGTTGGCAGTGAATCCGAGCACTTGTAGTGTTGACTTGTGATTTTTGTTCATTATAGGTTAATGGTCAATTTATGTTTTAATTAATGGTTTTAACTTACTTTGGTCTTTTGGAATTCATTAACATGATTTTGACCATTGTTCACGTGTTGATCCGATGGTCGATCTTTGAGTAGATGATAAGTTTCAATGTTTCGTTTTAATTTAAGGAATTCTTGAAAAATAAATGCAAATGAGTTACAATAAACAACAACAACATTTTCTTACTTAAAAGATTCGATCCGGCACCTCCAATCAATTGGTAAAATATATGAAAATTATAGCCATAAATTTCATGTTTAGCTACACGTGTTTTTTCAATAAAATCTACACGAAAAAAAATCAGATTATCGAATGTAAATTATGTCAATATTCACTTACAATCGTCTATTTGTCCGCCCAATGGATCGCCCAAGAAATCGAAATCAACTTCAAGTGTATAAAACTAATGAAATTGAAAAAAATGCAGATGAGAATTTGAAGAATTAAATTTCAAATCAATCAAACTTACCAAACGAGTTGAATTGCTATTGTTTTCAGTATTGGCATTTCCAAATGCTAATGAAAATCAATGAAAAATTTAAAAAAACACACATTTTTACCAATAGATGGCGTTTGTGATTCAAATATACAAACCTTCAAGAATAATTGGAATCGAATTGAATCGTGTTTTGATTTGATTCAATTCTGAACGTTCACTTGAACCATTGATAAAATAATTTAATGCCAACTTGAAAGATTCTGTTTGTGTGCATATATGTGGGAACATTAAAAAAAAAAAAAGAAAAATGAAATGAAATGAGAGAAACCTGAAAACACAGGTAAATTTAACAACAACAACAGCAACAACAACGAACCTGTCTTTCCAGATCCGGATACTATAACAGGTTAAAAAGGTGAAAACGTTATACCAAGCAAATGCAATGTAAAAAAAAGGAATGTATAGGGAAAAAAGATGCTCACATTAAATCGGAAAAAAATTCGAATATAAAAAAAATGTGGAATGGCCGTCGATCGGTCAAACAACAACAACAACAACAACAACAAACTTACCACCCGAACAAATTATACATTGATCAGTGTTACGTTCTTTGAGACAGTGTAGAACAAATTCACATAATGCATAGCTATGTTTGAAAACAAAAATCAGTTGAGAATTTTGCACATTTCAAATTCAATTTATTGTGAATATAAAGAAAGATAAAAAAAAACTGGTTATTATCTCATATCTCTCTTTTTTGCAGAATTTTATAATAATGCCCACTATTATATGGTTATTGAATATATATCGATAAAAAAAACATTCGATTTGATCTATTTCTACTTACATGTGTGGAGGTAGTGACAATATGTTATGATGTTCATATGCGGCAATCACTTCAGCCGAATATAATGGCAGTGATTCATATGGATTGATTGCTATCACAGTTGATTCGATGCATGTCTATTGATGGTGATTATGATGGTCATGATTATGGAAATTTTGATTATCGTTTTAAATAGATTGATGATGGATAAATGGATGTTTTTTTTTTTTTTTTCAATCAAATCAATAAATGACTTACATAGATTTTTTTATTTAAAAAACGAACTTTAAGATTCTGTAGAAAGGAATCATTGCTGATAAAATCATCTAATTTTGTTGCATCTGGATAACCAATTTCATTGCCAAATAATAGGCTATTATTGCTACTACTACAACGGCTTGATGACCGTTGTTGTTGTTGTTGTTGTTGTTGTTGTTGTTGATGTTGATTCTGTTGTTGATGTTGATTCTGTTGTTGTTGTTGTTGACGACTAGTAGTTGATGATGTTCGTTCAGGTATAATAATTATCTTTTGTAATGGTTGATTTGAATGATTTTGTTGTTGATCAATTTTGATCAGCTTTAATGACATTTCAAATCAATAAAATTTTGTATCAAATCAATCACAATAATTGATTGATTTGATTTTCATATTATATCATCTTGTGATTTTTTTAGGCAGTAGGATAATTGAAATTGAAATTTTTTAAAAAAGGCAATGCACAACTAGATTCAATAAATATTCAATGATTTTGAGCAAATTGGTCAGATTTTTTTTTTTTGTTTTTGACTGATATTAACTTTGGCTCTGGATTTTGGAATGTGTGCATGTAATCAATCTACATATCTCAACAATTTTTTTTCTCATGAAAATGACCAGAATATTCTGAACTAAAGAAAATGAAAATGCAAAAAAAAACTGAATTCACAAATTGAATGATGATAAAATCAAAGGCAAAACAAAAATGTATGTTCAGTACGTGTGTGTGTGTGTGTGTGTATGTTCCGTATGCTTTAATTTTTTTTATCGAATAAAAAAAATCTCATATTCTGTGTGTGTGTGTGTGTGTGTTGCAAAATAATGTTCCAACCGACCGACAGACCGACCGATATTATATCGACCGACGGTCGTAAATAAAGAAGAAGAAAAAAAAAGTTAAACCAACACACACAACATTGGGTTAGTAGGTTATAGTTATTTTTTTATGTCCTTATGCTGCTCATGTCCATATATGTGGAATATATATAGATGATGATGTTCCAGTGTTGCATCCTGATCATCATCATATAGAATCGACGCGCAAAAAAAAAGATGCGGAAAATAAGAATTTTTTTTTCTCTTCCTCAATCGGCGATGTTTTCACTATGACACACACACACACACACAGAGATACCACCACTACAACATTCAGGATTCAGGAACCTAGGAGATTCTATTGATCGATCGATTGTCGAGAGAGAGAGAGAGAGAGAGAGAGAGAGAGAAAAAAAAATTCGAAACTTTGTTTCGTTCGAAATACAAAAACAGAGAGAAAAATTTTTTTTTTCGAAGTGGATCTTTTTTTTTGTCTAAAGCAGCAGGTGTTTTTTCTTGGCCAATCCTCGATTTTTTTTGTTGTTGTTGTTGTTGTTTATTTCTAATTCAATTGAATTTTTTTTCTTGAATAAATTGGTTGTCTGTATGGTCGTTCTTTTCTTGATGATGATGAAGATGATGATGATGTCAATTAACAAAAAAAAAAAAATTAATAAAACCGTATAAAACGTGTGTGTGTGTGTGTATGTAAATATAAAATGTTTGTATATCGATGTGTGTGTGTGTCGAATGATATTTCGTGAGTCACGTGAATAATCATTTTGAATGACCAGAATTTTTTTTTTTTAGATTTTTTATTCGAAAACAACACAATCTGACCTTGCGTTGGTGGAATGCAAAAATAAATGAATGATTAGTTCGACGTTTATTTATTTATTTTTTTTTGTCGTTAAATTCAGCTAGAGAGAGAAGAGAGAGAGACGGCTACCAACATCTTTAAATGTCACGCGGTTATCATTTCATATCATCTCGTCGAAACATTATACTCGTCGCCATCGTATTCGTCGACGTCGTTGTTGATTGATTGAATCGTCGGTTCTAAAACATTAAAATAATGATTGGATTATTGGAAAGATTAATTTTCGGTTACTACATCCGAAATATTTCGCAACTTTCGTATAAATTCTTGATCGTGAATACTGAATAAATTCTCATGTTTTTTTTTGTTTTGTTTCGATTGAACAAAATTTCTGTGTTTGAAATACAAGAGAAAAGAACAAGAAAATGAACAAGTTCGAATGGCTCACATATCGTATATATATCAAATATCAATTGACTTTGTGCAGCAAAAAAAAAAAAAAAAAAGAAAGTTTCAATGTCCCTAAATGGACTGTTGTTGGATCCTATTTTTAAAAGGTGTGGTGTTTGTATTATTCGTGTTTATGTGGCCTGAATCAAATTTTTTTTTTTTTTTGTTTTTGTTTTTGTTCTGTGGCATTGTTTCCGTTCATTTTGATCTGATCAAAATTTTGTTGGCAATATGTGGCAATTATAATCATAAACATCTAATATATCTCGTTCACAGCTTTGATTCAATTCGAATCAATCTATATTCTCACCATCCATCCGTCATTATCATCCGTCATCATCGTTGAATTGTGGGTTTGTTGATTTTGGCGCTTTTCAATTCTATAATAAAAAAAAAAATAAATTTTTGTCTACCCTATAATTATTCTTTCAGAAAGATTTTTATCCACAAATTCACATGAACATTATTCAAATAATATCCATTCTTTGATCATATCATTGAATATCATCATCATCAAAAGATTGAAAATAAAAAGATATCACAAAAAGAGGTAATCACCATTATTATATCACATGTAACCTCATCTATGAATGGCGACGTTTTTTTTTATATGTGTGTTTTGCATGTGTTGCATTCATTTTTCAGAATTAATGCATGAGAAGCACAGTTCCTTTTTGTGTGTGTGTGTGCGAGTGTTTCATTCATTTCTTCTTGCTGCTGCTGCTTCTACTGCTCACACATTTATACGAGCTTTTTTTTCGCAATGCTCCCATCATTTTCAGCCGTTTTCCAAATATACACACACACACACACACAAACACACACCAAATCAGCCAAAATATCATTTTTTTTTTTTTTTGCTGCATTCATCACACACACACATCAATAATATAGTAGTGCTATAAGCACATACACAAATACCATTTTGGTGTATACATTTTTTTTTTGGCCTGTCTAATTGTGTGGTGTATCTTTGTGATTTTGTTGAGATAAACCAAAAAAAAAAAATTTTTGATTTGAATGAACAAAAAAAATTCCAACAAAAATCATCAACAACAAATACAAAATTCAATGATTCGATTTTGTTCGAATTGTCATCATCATCATCATCATCATCATCAATGAATTCGATATTTCATTAAGAACATGTATCCACAAGTGCTAATTTTTTGATTCGACTATCATTTTCTTCTTGATATTAAAACAATTTATTTATTTGGACTTTTTTTTTGTTCGAAATAAAGTGTTCAAAAAAAAAAAAAATTGTGATCCTGAATATATTTCAACAAACGACAATCATCAACGAATAATCACGAAAAACAAAACAAACAAAAAAAAATGGCCTCATCGTCGACGCCACCCACAACTCTTGACAATTATCTACCATTACTTTCAAGTCAAGATACAAAGAAAAAATTACAAATTGGTATCGATTTATTAAATTATTTAAACATTGAAGACAATACAATTGAATGTGAACATATTGGTGCATTTATTGATTCAATCATTCATTGGTTAAATAATAGTAATTTTAAGGTTTGTGTTTGAAAACAAAAATTGACCTTTTTTTTCATTTCTGCTTGATTTGAGTTGTTTGTGTGTGTGCAGATTCTTTAATTATTATTCTTGCTCACTCAGCCAACTAAATCCTTTTTTTTTTTCTGATTCATCATACTTGCATTCATTACACTAACCTTCTGTAGTAAGGGTTATTTATAAATTCATAATCAAAACTACCCATACTCTGTTGTTTATTACTTTGCTACTATTTTGATCGATTCTTGATATTTTGTTTTTTATTTCTAATTCTTTTTTTAATAATTCAAAATAGGTTGCCCAAAGTGGTTTAGAAATCTTGGCACATTTAGCCATTCGTATGAAAGAAGATTTAAAACCATATTTATCATCAAGTAAGTGATTTTTGTTCATTATTATTATTATGAATTTACACAACGGTTTTTTTTGTTGTAGTTCTTGGACCGACTGTAGATCGTCTTGGTGATTCAAAAGAATGTGTACGTGAACAAGCCAAAACATTGCTCATTAAATTGATGAGTTTTGTTTCAACACCACAGGTATGTCAAGAATTTTGATGTTTTTTTTCGTTTGTTTTAATGATTCATTCTATTTTTTGTTGTGGATATCTATAGATAATATTGGAAAAATTAATGCCAGCATTCACGCATAAAAATTATAAAGTTCGTGAAGAAATTTGTCTATTTTTTCAAGAATGTTTACTACGTTATGGTGTGTTTGGATCTACAAATGGCCAATTATATGTGTCAAAATTTATTTCACCATTAATAAATTTAATGTCTGATCCAAATTCTCAAGTACGTGATACATCGATGACAACATTGGTTTCTGTATATAAACATGTTGGTGATCGATTAAGAAATGAAATATTACGGAAATATTCGAATCAAATGCCTGCACAAAAGTATGTATTCAACAACGATATAGCAAAATTAATACATTAACCAATCATGACAATGAAAACAATTAAACATCAACAACAACAACAATAACTGAAACTCATTTGTTGATCATAATTCAAATTCATCCAAACCATTATCATTATTGTTTGTGTTTTATTAATAGAATTAGAAAATGTGATGGTTGAATGAATCGTTACCTATAGACACATATACACACACACACACACAGTGTGCCACAGTTGAAGCATATATGTCAATCATGCCTTTGTCATGATAAATTATAGAATTATAATTTGCTAGGAATTATTTATTTTTACACATCAAAAATCATTCAAATCCAAACAACAATAGAATGAGTAGCATCCATTCAAAATATGATAGATCAATTGGTCTATTGTTTTTTTTTCTAAAAAAAAAATTCCTTTTCGGTTGGCTGATTGGTTGGTTGGTGCACGTGTTATCTATAAATGTCCATATTTAAATGAATGATTGTCATTTTTTACATTTTTCTTTTTTTTCCATTTTAGGTTACATACTTTATTGGGTAAATTTGACGACATTGCCAATACAGGCGAATCCATTTCATTGATCAACAGCAACAATAATGGCAATTGTGGTAGCAAAACATCAGCACTAGGTATGTTTCCAAGTTTCATTTAATATCTATTTTAACCAATCCATATCTACAAAACTGTCATTCAAAATTTAATTGTTGAATGCACAATTAGAATGTGTTGATTATTTTTATAGTAGGTGATTATTAGCTTAGTTTGATATAATGACGTCAAATTTAATCATTTTTGATTTTCAAATTGTTGATGAGTGTTTATTATCATCAGGCCTATATTTCAAGTGGATTTAATGATGGTTAACAGTGCAAAAAAAAGTGTCAAGGGCATGCCACTTGAATTTGATAAAAAATTGTTGTTGTTAATGTATTGTGATCATATAATCTAGATGGCGTTTTGCGTGCCATTTATTTACATGTTCATGCAGATAAATTGTCATCGACAGGTGCGTGTGTATGTATTTGTGTACATGAGTTTTCAGGTTTTTTTTCTTTCGAAATCCTGTTATTATTTCGATTGATTATCATCGATTGATCGACTAGTGATGATCATCAGCAAATGTATAATAATAATAATTGTTTTTAATGATAATAATCCTAATCCATATTATTGATATATAAAGATTTGATCCTCCTCATTTTTTATTATTTCACGATATTTGTACTCTAATATAAACTCACATTCAGCTGCTTAGTTGATTTATTTATTAGAATTTTGTTTTCCCAATCTCACGATGTTTAACATCATCATCACTGAAATTATTATCCAATTATTAGTCGAATATAAACATTTATTTACTTTCCGGATGGTGGTAATTTACTTGTCTACTAAATACCATTGATCAAATCATAACAAAATGTCAGTAAGATTATTAGGATTATTCATCATTTTATGATTCATAAGTCAAATAATGATTATGATCCTATCCGCTCCTTGATCATGATCATTTTTTTTTGAATGAAAAAATCTGGTCAATTTTTTGTTGTTGTTGATCTCTATATATATCTGATTTTGGATCCACAAACATTTTTTTCGCAAAGCAATTATAAACATGAAAGAATGGAGAAAAAAATGATTTCAGAATTGTGAAACGATCACAATCTTAAGGTGTTGGCGCTATTCAAATTCAGACACGCGTTTTTCTTTTTCTTGTTTTGTTGTCATGAGATGTAGATGAGCCGTGTTAAGATTGGTGGGAAAAAAAACATACAATTATCCCAAAAAAATTTTTTTTTTTGGGTTTGTTTCATTCATTCATTCATTTCTGTGATGTGTGATAGATGTAAATTGCCACAATCATAATGAAGCCGTTATTCTTAGCTGTTGTCGACAACTATATATATAAGCCATTTATATTGTTTTTATTAGTTGGTTTATTTTGAAAAGATTTTTTTTTCTTCTTTTATGAATAACACACACACACACACACAATAGCCATTCCTTTTGTTGTTGTTGTTGTTGTTTTGTTTTGTTTTTTTCTGGTGAATGTGTTCAACAGGTGATGATGATGATGTCGGTTTTTACTTTTTGTATTAGTTTGGATGTGCCATTGTAATATTTATTGATTTTCAAAATTTTTTATTTCGTTTTCATTATCCATTAAAACAACTTTAACAATTATGTGCCTACCATGTGTGTTCCAAATGTTCAAAAGTTGTTGCTGTATAATGATGGTAATGATGGTTAGTCGGTTGGTTGGTTGATTGTTATTGGTGGAATTGATAGAAAAAAATGGTAATCACACTAGATTTATTCATGTTTTCTAATATATATTAGAATCAATCAATCAATCAGATTGAGCAATGAATGACAATTCAAATTGATTTAAATTTAAATTGTCCTTGAATTGTTTCCAAAAATCGATTCAAAAATCATCTATCTAGTTAGTTATCTATTGTCTAAAATCAATTTAATAGCTATTGTGTCTGTGTGTGTGTATATGTGTGTGGGGTGCCTAAAATTCCAACTATTCATTTCGAATGAAATAAAATTACCTGATTGATTGATTGATTGATTTTGTGTGATTGTTTTATTTAGCCTATCTGTTTGCATGCAAATGATGTTCGTTGATAAAATATACCCACCTGATTAATGTTTAATGTAAATATTGTTTTTTTGCATCATTTTTATTTCTTTCTTGTTATATTTGGTTGATTTTTTTTTTCAATTTAAATCTAAAAATTTTTGTTTATCGTCTTGATTGTTTGATCGTGTGTGTGTCTGGGTGTCTATGCGTTCGGATCCATTATTGATTCGGCTGAATCTCTAGGTTTATTTTTTTTTTCGTCTTGATTGAAGTATAATTACTGTTTAATCGTGCAGGAGGAAATGTAAGATTTTTAAAAAAAAAGTCCAGCATGTTTTTTATTTTATTTTTCTTTTCTATATAAGATTTATGTTTGTGTAAGTGCGTGTGTGTGCTTGTGTGTTTTGAAAAAAAAAACATTTCGTTTTGACCAATTAAATGTTATGTATTCGATGTTTGTATATTTTATTGGATTCATTATCGGCTATCTATATTTTTATTAAATCTCTTGAAATATACATGTGATGATGATTATATTCGTGTCAAATTAAGCAAATCAACAACAACAACAACAAAAAAATCAATTCGGATCTCTACTCTGAATGGGTGGATAAGTTTTTTTTCCTATACACAGCTAACCAATAAATTACTTGCGTGCCACACACACACACACACACAATTTATTCAATACAATGATGATATGAATATAACGTAATTACCCTCATTTGATGATGATGATGATGATGATGATGATGACACTTATTATAATAATGAACATTATCATATATTGAGTTGTTGATGATGATACACCTTATATAACATATATACAATTTAAATTACCTGTCGATGATGATGATGATGATGATGATTATAAAACCTCAATTTCTCACTATATCATTATTGTAAAACATCTTTCTTTCTTTTTATTAAGAACAAAAAAAAATTCTGAAATTTTACATTGATAAGGGGTTCCATTTTTTTATGAAATGAAATTTTTTTTCCTGTGGTTATGGTCACGCAAAGAATCGACCATATTTATGTGTTTCTGTATTGTCTTGTGACCATTTTGGTTTGTTTTTCCCGGAATATTATTATTCATGGAATCATAATATGTGTGTGTGTGTATGTCATTTTTTTCCCATACATGTTTGAATGTCATCATCATATCATCATAATAATAATAATGATGATGGTTACTTTAAACGTTTTTATGAACATTGATGATTATGAAATTTTTATGAAATGAAATAATATATAATACTCGCGCCAAAGTGTCCATTTTTTTCAATTCGTATCTTTCTCTGTGTTTCTCTTTTTTTTTATGAATTCTCTACATTTTCATATTCATTTTTACATTTTATTACTATGCCGTTAGCTTTTCTGGAAAGCTATAGCTAAATTCAAACACAGATACTCCTCTTATCTGCATTATCAGCTGATGTATATAACGGTTTTATGATACTAATACTATGATATATAGTAGTATTCAAGGTGTTTACTTTACTACTGCCATATTATGCGGCAGCCTTTTTCTCTTTCTTTTGCCTCAATATACAGCCGATTTTGGTAGAGTTTTTTTTTCATTCATTCAGTCAGTCAGTCAGTTTGCTAGTCTTTCAATAGTGTTTGTGCGTATTGCTAGTGTGTACATATTATATATTTTTTTGCGGCATCATGAGATATTTTAATGTTCATAATCATCATCATCATTGTTTTAATAGAAAATGATTGTAGATATGAATAACGATTCTATTGTTTGCAATTCTAATGGTGATAATTCTTTCGTTATAATCAATGATTCAAATGTTAATAATGCTACAACCATTAATAAATTGTTCGATACGACCAATAATGATGATAAAATGATGATTAAAAATCATTCTGAAAGTTTTATAACCAACGGTGATGATGATTCAATTTGTATTAGTTCAAATATTGATGATAATGATAAATCTGGTTCACCAATTTGGTCAGCCACATCCACCGATTCAATGTTATCGACCGTTAACAATGAATCCGAATTACAACCGGCAATACTGCCTGAAACATCATTATTATCATCATCATCATCATCATCATCATCATCAACAACTTCAAATTCTTCATCATTAACATTATTAAAAACCAAACGTAACTTTTATAGCCATTCAGCAACCAATAGTCCATATATGAATCGTAAGAATCTAGTCTCAGAAAATGGTTCAATTATTTGGGATTCTGATTGGGATTGGATACAAATGTATGATAAAATGTTACGTATGACTTCAAATCAACGTCGAAAAATTGAACGTCAATGTAGTTGTGCATTACGAAGAAATAACAATAATACAATTACAACTATGATTCTTCTGATCATTTTTGGTCAACATCTACATTTTCATCAACATCTCTGTCTAGTCATCAAAATACTAGCGCTGCCAATCATCGTAAAAATATTCTAGGTATTGTTATCTTGTCATTTCAAGAATATCTTTGATTGGTTATATGTTTCATTTCCAAGTTTTTTTTTTTTTTTTTTTGACATTGATTATTATTAGAAATTTGTCATTGTGTTTTTTTTTTTTTTTGAATTTTTGAGATTGCATTTGTGTATGCACCAGCAAAACACACGGATTTTATTTCCATTCTATTTCATATGCTCGTTTTTCTAAACACGATCAAATTGCAGCCGATGCTCAAGTTCATGGCTCAAACTCATTTGGACTCAACTATCTTGTTTTGGAGTGATATTGAGGACTGTTCCAAAATGTGTTCAAAATATAGGGAGAGAATGTGTGAATGAAAACCGGCCGGTTCCATTACTTATACTCTCATATTGTGGTCACCACATTGAAAATTTTATCTTTGTAAAGATCTAGTAGTTTTTCAAAAAAAAATCTGTACCAACAAACTAGTTTTTTTTAAAAAAAAAATTTTAATCTGTCAATTGTTTTTTTTTGTTTGTTTGCTTGCTTGGATCTTCATCATCATAATTATGATGATTATTGGCAAAAAATATAGTGGCAGCACAATCTTATAATAATAATCATCATCATCATCATCCATGATGATCATTATGGCTGATAACACAGTGATGATGATGATGATGATGAATACGATTAATGTATGTGTGTGTTTTGTTTGATAAAGACATTAACATAGATTTGACTTGTGATGATATAATCATCAGATAATATAGATTTAGATCATCATCATTGTCACGTCAAGTTAAATGTGTGTGTGTGTGTGTGTGTGTGTTTATGTTCAGGTGTCAAAGTTAAACTTGTGTGAATGTGAAAAAGGATTGTGATAAAAATAAGATGATGGTGGTGGTGGTGGTGGCCAAGTTTTGCATTTGTAGTTTTGGAATTTTTTTTCTATTTATTATCATCAACGAATGCCGAAAAAAAAACATCAAGGTTTCTAGCATGCATGTATGTATATATATACATTGCTTGACATTGTCATCGTTTCATTTCCTTTTTTTTTTTTTCCTTCTCTCTCATTCACAGAAAAAAAACAATAATAATAATAATCCTATAATATATTGGTCTATTCATCATCATCATCATCATCATCAGTCGTGGTAGTTGTTTTTTTCCTCATTTTTTTTAGAGATATTACCTGTACTCCATTAGGATGGCATCATATTTTTCTATTGTTTTTTGTCATCTCACAAAATTTTTTTTTTCTTTTTAACATCGAAAAAAAAGAAAGTCAGTTTTTGATGATGATGATGATGATAAAATGTTTTTTTTTATGGCAACTGAGTTGAATTCAATATATATAAATATTGTTGTTGTCCTACTGTACTATCTTGATATTTTTTTTTTGTCCTGGGCAAAAAAAAAACCTTGAAGCTTGGTGACGTTGCGAATTTTTTTTTTTTTTTTATTTCAATAATTTTTCCTGACGCCCCCATTCGCTTGTTGTTATTGTTGCGACATTTTTTTCCTTTTTTTTTGTTTGTTTGTTTGTTTGAAAATTTTCATTTCATCATATGACTACTATCTTATATTGATTGATGAGGAATTTTTGTTTTCTGGTTTAAAATTCTTGATGACTTGACTTGAATAATGTGGTGTTTTTGTAGGTTTTTTCTCTCATTTTTTTTTTGAGATTTATTATTATGAAAAAAAATCACTTTACAGGTTTTCATTTTGTTGTTGTTGTTGTCAATGTTTTCAATTTGTAGGTTTCAATCATTATATATGGGTAAATTTTATTTTTTATTAATCCCAACGAGAGAGAAACCTACTTGTTGTTGTTGTTATATTAGATTGATAGATTGTTTGTGACATATATCATGTGTGTGTGTGTAATAACAACAACAAGTAGTTTGATCACTGCCGACATACAATATATATTCAATCGACAGCGATATTTATGTTGATGATTTATCGGTTTTTTTTTGATTTTGATTTTTTTTTCTTCACTCGGTTTCTCTCTGTGTTTTTTCTTCCGTTATTTTTTTTATGATTCATTGCTGCTGCTTCGGCTGCTGCTGCTGTTTATATATCGAATCAATTTAAATATGCTCTAGATAATTTTAATATAATGGTTTTCATTTTCATTCTTCTTATTTTGGAAACGAAAAAAAAAATTTGAATTTTGTATATGTGTGTGTGTGTGTGGGGTGGACACCTGAAAGGAAGTCAGTTAGTTGCATATATTCAATTCAATTTATATATATATTGACATCATTTATTTCATCATGCATGTATGCGTGTGCGTTTTTTTGTGTGTGTATGTTCCGTTACTTTTTCCTTTTTCATACATTTCTTGTCTTTTGACTTTTATACACACACTTGTTGTTGTCGTTGTTGTTGTTGTTAGCGTAGTTGTAATCACATAATTTCACCTGTTATTTTGTCATCCAAGAAAAAAAAACATTTCCATTAATAAGCTAGCAGCAAATAAGAATGTTGTTCTTTTTTTCCATTTTTTGTTTTTGTTTTGTTTGTTTGTTTGTTTGTTTGTTGTTGTCCATTTATGGAATAAATGTACATTATACACGAATGTCAATAAAAATATATACAGATACAGATTCATTCATTCAAAATATAATTTATCAAAAATCAAATAATAAAACATTGAATGGGAGAAAAAAAAAGATGATGATGAGTTCAATGATTCATTATTTTTGATGCAACAGTTTACAGAGACACAATATGTCATACTATACACTGATTTAAACCTACACACACACACACACACACACAAATTTTATCGATTGTGAGAATGTGTTAAATGATTTCATTAGTTTTGAATTTTTTTTGTTCCGGAACACACACACACACACACATGCACAAATTCGTCATTGAAAGAATTGTCAAAATTGAATTTGATTTTTTTTGAATATAATAAATGGACGTGTTAGTTGAAAAAACAGTTAATAACAAACAGTGAAGGACATATATATTCGAAGGATGCATTACTCATCGAAAATTATTAAAATTTTCAAAATGAAATGGTAGACATTTTTTTTGGTCCATTTTTTCCGTCTGGCTATATAAAGTTGTGCATTTTGTTTCTAAATAATCAAATAATAATTGTGATATATTTATAGTACAATAACATGACACAATCAATTTGAATGATGATGATGGTGGTGGTGGTGGTGGTGGTGAGCCAAATATACAAATTAGGATTATGATGCTGATGATGATGATCCTTTTTTATATATATTAATCATCATCATCATCATTTTTTTTGGGAAAAAGACAGATGGAAAAATAATACCGAAATGCCAAAATCAAAAATGACAATTTGTGTGTGTGTGTATATATTTATGGTGCAATCACAGGTATATTCAATTCAATTTTTGTTGTTGTTGTTGTTGTTGCATTCATATCGATTGTTGAATAAATTATATTTGGGTGAGATCATCAACACACGCAGGCAGCAATTTTTTTTTTTTTTTTTTTGATTTTAGAATGAAAATTTCTCCCAATTTTTTTTCGTTATTGTTGAAAAAAAAAATTTTCATTTCACTTTTTTTTCCATTTCAAATTTTTTTTCCATATATACGTGTATATAATTTATGGTTATCTATCCATCCACCAGTATCAATCATTCAATCAATCAATCAATCAATCCGATTCGATCATTTGAATTCAATTCATTTTTTTATTTTCTCCAAAAGAAATTTTTTTTTTCGATTGTTTGATTGAATGAATCTTGTTCGTTTTTCTCCTTGTGTGTGTGTGTGTGTGTGTTTGTCATTTCTTTGGGTGCTCCTGGTTTTTTTTTCATTGCACCAATACTGTATGTGTGTATGTATGACAATAAGCGTTTTTTTGGTTATGATCATTGTTGATGATGATGATTATAATAAGTACCTTGTGAAGCATTCACATGTGAAACAATTTTTTTGAGAGTTCTGTTGTTGTTGTTCAAATATTTCATTGTTGGTTGGTTCCGATATCATCATCATCATCATCGTCGTCGTCGTCGTCTTGAGAGGAAAGGATATACCCGTTTGATTCTCAAATGACGCTGATGATGATGATGACTGGTTATTATTGTATATATATTACATTTGATTTGTTTTGTTCTGTTCTGTTCTGTTGTTGTTGTTGTTGTTGATTTATTTCATTTTCTTTTTCTTGATATTTATTTTTTTCCCCTATGATGATTTATTTTAATTTTTTTCGTTTGTAAAAAAATGTTTTTCGATGGTGTTTGTGTGGTGCAAAAACTAACAAAAAAAAATCATCAACCATATGTACACCTAAAGTGTGATTGCTATTGCTTGTATAGTAGTATAGTAGTGTCATTATTGTTGTAATGGATACACAGACACACACAGGGTTTAAATGATTAAATATGCTAGTCTGGGAGACAAATGTGGTGTTAACAAGAAAAAAAAATATATATGGTTGAACGAGAGAGAGAAAACATGATTTTAATGATGATGAAAATTGTTCACTTGAATATTATCTATCGGAAATCAATTTTTATTGATTGATTATTATGGATGATGATGATGAATTTATGATTGTTTGTTTTCTATTTTGACACAGAGATTTTTTTTTTGCTGTTTTGTTTTTATTTATTGAATTTTTAAATGTTTTGCATTTTTTTTAATAATAGTTCCTAAAAATCGTTCCAATTTAACACCATCATCATTATCATCATCATCAACAACAACACATAATACGAATAATGGAAATGATAATGATGAAGTTGATTATAAGGTACGTTTTTTTTCTTGATATACCACACTATTGTGATTCATGTGACTAATAAATTTCATTTTTTTATGTGTTTCGTGCAACAACAACAACAACAGAAAGTCAATTCATTCAAAAGAGCAACATCGGCACCACCGGTTAAAAGAAATGCCATTCTTAATAAATTACCACCAAGTAATTCAAGTATGAAATTTTTTTTTCATATTTCATAAATTAATCATTTGAATTATTATTATTATAGAATCTTCTGGAGCAGCTGATGAAGAAATGTTTATGAATGCATTCGAAGATGTTTCTAGGATACAGATATTTTCTGTCAAAGATTTGGAACAAGAATTGAATCGAATAAGAGATATTTGTTCGATTCCAAATATGGAATGGGAAAAACGTATCGAATGTTTAAGAAAATTTCGTTCACTATTAGTGGCTGGCGCAGCTGATTATGAAGAATTTTATCTATATCTGAAACCTCTCGAAGTGCCATTTCAAACATCAGTCAAGGATTTAAGATCACAGGTTGTTCGTGAAGCTTGTATATCAATAGCTTATTTGTCTCAACGTATCGGAAACAAGTTTGTTATTATTTTTCTCAATATCGATCAATTAATCATACATTTGTTGTTTTTCCCATTTATAGATGTGATAGATTTGCTGAAGCACTGCTTCCAACTTTGATCGATTCAATACAAAACAGTGCCAAAATTATGTCAAGCTCAGCTGTGGTCGCTATTCGTTTTGTCATTCAACATACCCATACAAGTCGATTGATTCCAATAATCACATACAATATATCTTCAAAATCAAAAGAAATTCGAAAAGCATGCTGTGAATTTCTCGATCAACTATTACATGCATGGCCACCTCATTGTCTAGAAAAACATGTTGGTGCTTTAAGTGAAGCAATCAAAAAAGGAATGAGCGATGCTGATCCAGAAGCCAGAGCATTGGCTAGGAAAGCATTTTGGGGATTTGCCGATAAATTCAAGGCCGAATCTGATTATCTTCTTAGTTCATTAGATTCAAGTAAACAAAGAATGTTACAAGGTGAACAAATGTCCAATTGGAGTTCAACAAATTCGCTCAATAAAGTTACTACCTATTCACGGCCATTAACAAATCGAACCAATTCTGTATCGACCAATGGTTCAATTGAAAGTATCAATCGTCATTTTAACAATAATTTGATTGCAAAACGTTCGGCTATTCCTGTTCATTCATCAACACCACGAAATAATTCATCATGTAAATATTGACTAAATATTTATTTTTCACATACATATGCAAATCATATTTTTTTAAAACAAAAATAACACACTCAATTCGACACCTAACATTAGACATCTATAGATGTTGATAATAAACTAATAATTCAGATTTAGGTTGATTGTTTTCAATTTTTTTCGTTTTTTTTTTTTTTGTTTTTAATTTTTTTTTTTGTTTCTAACCTTAATCAATTTCATATATCGAAATTTATATATATAGCTTTAAATCGAACGCCCGTAAAAGCAACTAGTGCTATAGATATTGATGCACAACGAAGAGCTAGAGCTAAAGCTAATGTTTATTCAAATTCACATCATCATCATACCAATAATAATAATTACCACCATCAACCAATAATAACAACAACAACAACATCGACAACAACAACAACAACCAAAGCGTTTCTTAATTCAGTAAATAGTTTAAGTATGTAGTTTTGTTTTGTTTTGTTTTGTTTTCCTTTTTTTGTTTGTTTCATCATCATCATTCTTTTAATTTCCTTTCATATGATCAAATAACTTTGTTTGACATTAACATCGATCAATATCTATCTCTGCGTATTTTATTATTACTATTGATGCTATTCACTTTATACTGATTTTTAATTTATTCTTGACTTTTAATGTTTTAATAATGTTTGATTGTTTATTTTGTTTCCTATGCTAGACCATAATGCTAAAAAGAATGATGTCACTGATGGTGGTAGTATTAATTCAGCAATAGTAGCTACAAATATGCGAACATCGGTTCGTCGAAATCGTCAAGTATCGAAATCACAACCTGGAAGTCGTTCAGCATCACCATCATCACGTATGAATACATTTGGTAGTGGTGGATCAGGCACCGGCAATATTATTCAGACTAATTCTCGTTATCAAACACCACCATCGTCGACAAGAACAAAAAGAACAAATATCACTAGCCGTGATCAAAGTCCGGCAAGCCGTACAAATAATAGTAGCCATTCACAACGATTCGAACGAAAATTGAGCTCTAGCTCGACAGCTAGTCGAACGAAAAGTCATCTTACCAGTTCCGATCTGGATCTAGCTCATAACAATAGGATATTACGGCCAAATCAACATGAACAAATGATTGAAAATGCTTTTCTAATGCATTCAACACATAAGAAAAAATTCTTTGATGAACAATCCGATGAAAGTGATGCATCTAGGTATGTATTATGAATTGATTCATTTTATTATCTATAATAGAATTTACTATATTTCCATAAATAGCATCTGTTCTGATACATCGTTTGCAAATTATGGGATTCGTAAAGCCGAAGACATTGGTAAAATAATGGAAAATCTTTCCAGTGCACATTGGTCTGATCGTAAAGATGGTTTACTTGGTCTAAATAATTTTCTCCATTATACGGATGAAAGATTGAATTCTTTTCAATTGAAACGAATCACAGATATTTTTACTAGAATGTTGGTTGATCCTCATACTAAAGTAAGTAATTCGAATTGTAATTGAATATCATCATGTTAGATTTTAATCCGATATTTTTTTCTTAGGCATTTTCATTATTTCTCAATACATTGAACGAATTGATTCATATATACAAGAATGATCTAAATTCCTGGCTCTATATTCTGATGACAAGATTATTTTTAAAAGCCGGTAGTGATACCATTATACGGGTGAAAGATTGAATTCTTTTCAATTGAAACGACACAGATATTTTACGTATCCTCTTAAGTAACGAATTAATTGAAATCATCATGTGTTAGATTTTAATCCGAATCATTATTTTCAACATTGATCATCAATTCAATGTGATTATGCGATTGTTTTAAAAGTGATCAAACACGTACAATACGTGAACATTTCCAATTGATCATCAATTCAAATTATGCGATTGTTTCGTAGGTCAAGATTTCCGTACTACAATATCTTTCGAAGCTTATTTTCCTTATGGATTCTTCTGATTTTACCTATGATCGTCCCAATAACCATGAAATTCAAACGGCATTGGTCAAGATTGTTTCATGGACAGCTGATATAAAAAGTTCTGATTTAAGAAAAATTTCTCAAGATACTATTGTCGATCTATACAATCTTAAATTCGAACGAAATGACCCTATATCTAAATCAACTTCGTAAAACGTAAGTTTCACATTTCATTTATTGGCAAAATTTTACTAATTTGATTTGTTGTCATGTATTTCAAACATTTCAGTTATTATGATGCAGCTATGCAGATCATTCAACATAAACACAAAACCCGTCTCAGTCAATCATCAGCATCGAATATGATGCAAACACCTTATATTGTCAAGAATATCTCGTCTGGTGTTCATCATCATAATCATCATCATCATAACATTAGCGGTGATAAAAATTTCTTTGATTCGAGTGATCACCTTAATCCAGCTGATATTTATGATTCGCTGAAAAAAACTTCTGATGAGATTCAAAAATATAGCTTCAGTTTAGATACTGACCAAATGACATCGTCGACGAATTCATCGACATTTGTCAATAACAATGGACCTGTCAATAGCAATCACAATGGTAATAACGGTGAAAATCACCGACGTATCGATGCCCTTTCGAACGTATCGCTGGATTCAGTAATCAGTCCAAATTCGATTTCGATACAGGATTCGTCATTAGCATTCAAGTCATTTAAACTGGTGGATAGTAGCTTCAACACCAGTATGGTTAATTCACCTAATACTACGGCCAATGGATTTTGTGATTCACCACTTTCAACCTCGATCACTAATGGTCATCAAAACTTTGATAGTTTCGTTGCCAATTTCAACACTTCTTCATCGGATATAAATAATGAAAATTATCAACAGAGTCTTGCGTTAATGACTCAATTTGTCAAAGATTCATCACAAGAAGAAATTACATCGAAATGTAAGGATATCTACCAATCGTTGCTAACACGATTACCAAACGAAAAGAATTCCCAATCCAAAACATCAATGTTAATTTGTATGGGTCAAATTTTGTTCAAAGCAACTAAATCAGCATTTGATGATTCGATCGAACTTTCGTTACAAACATTAATGGAAATCATTTGTAAAGATGAGGATAAAGAAGTGGTAAAAAATGCCGAAGCAACGGCCAATTATGCCATCTATAACTTTGATTCAAGAACAAGTTTTAAAATTTTACAATCATACATTAACCACGAAGAAAGTGCATTGAGTATCATTTCTATTAAATTGTTGACTAAGGTACGTAATCTATCATTGTTTGAAATTGTTTGAATCTCATATGTTACCATTGATCAAATATAGTTGGTAGAACTGAACGAAAAGGAGATTGTTATGGAATTATTACCCGAATTAATGCCACTATTGCTGCAGGTATGTTTTATTAAAAAAAATGCAAATCTTATATATCGATTTTAATTGTTAAAATTTTTTAAACAATAAAAAAAAACCATCAACATATATAGGCCTATGATAATAAAGAAAGTGCCGTAAGAAAAACAGCAGTATTCTGTATGGTGGCAATCTATGGATCGGTTGGTGATCAGATGCAATCATATTTAACCAGTTTAAGCCGTAGCAAAATAAAATTATTAAAACTTTATATCGATCGGTCATTTCAAACATCATCCGGGAATAGTAATGATAATACTATTAATAATAATGTCGGTTATCATGCATAAATTTTGCACCATTCAAATTGATGAATCGCTTTGTAAAAAAAAAAATATTTTTTCCATTGTTTTCATTCATTTTCACATTTATTTTTCATCATTTATATCATTATTATTGATTAATTTTAATTATTGAAAAGCAGCCTTAACAGTAAATTTTTTTTTTGTTGAATAAAAAAAAATTCTTGTATTCTATAACAAAAATACGACATATAGTGATGGACTGGTATTGGTCATGCATGCGTGTGTGTGTGTTGTCAGTGTCTATTGAATATTGATTTTTGGAGGGAAAATGACAATGTGCTTGTATTGCTGAATTCAGAATTGAACTCAGAATTTATACATTTTTTTATAGATCATTTGTGTTTTGTTTTGATAAACAAAAAAAATGCCTCAATCAATTGATAAAAAATATCGAAAAATTGAAAAAATTGGTGAAGGATCATATGGAATTGTGTACAAAGCAATTGATCAAGAAAATGGTGGTCTTGTTGCGTTGAAAAAAATTCGATTAAATTCGTGAGTAATCATAATGTTTTTTGATTGTATACATATGATCATTAATATAATGGTTCAATCAGCGATTCTGAAGGTGCTCCATCGACTGCCATTCGTGAGATATCGTTGCTAAAATCAATTAAACATAAAAATGTTGTCAGGTATTTGTTGTTCATGTTCATGTTCATTCAGTTAAAAATTGATTTTTTTTTTCTTTTCAGTCTTATCGATGTCATCCACTGTGACACTAATCTATATCTGGTTTTTGAATATCTAAATCAAGATCTGAAAAAATTACTTGACAATACATCAACGAATGGTTTACCATCTAAATTGATCAAAAGTTATGTTTGGCAATTATTGCAAGGAATATCTTATTGTCACGCAAATCAAGTCATTCATCGTGATATGAAACCACAAAATCTTCTTATCGACATCGATGGCTATATTAAGATTGGTGATTTTGGTCTTGGACGATCGATTATGATACCTATGCGAATTTATACACATGAAGTGGTTACATTATGGTATCGAGCACCAGAAATTCTTCTCGGTACACAGTATTATGGTTTTTCTGTCGACATATGGAGCATTGGCTGTATATTTGCTGAAATGTCTAGTAAAAAAGCTCTTTTTTCTGGCGATAGTGAAATCGATCAATTGTATAGAATATTTCGAACATTAGGTACGCCTGATGAAAAATTATGGCCCGATGTTGTAAAACTATGTGATTATAAGTCAAATTTTCCTAAATGGAAACGTCAAAATATGAAAGAATTGTTACCAAATCTTGATGATAATGCAATCGATTTATTGAATCGTTTGTTGACATATGATCCAAATCAACGTATACCAGCATTGAAAGCATTGAATCATAAATATTTTCATGATGTATCTAGTTGTTTACCAAAAGATTATGTTAATTTAGAAAATTATTGATTGATTTTATTGATTCTTTAAAAAAAATGCTTACATCAAATCAATTTTTTTTGTTTATGAATAATGATGATGATGATGAATAAAATGTATATTGACTACCTGAATGAATGGATATTTAGTGAGTATTTATGAATTATTTATGTTCAAAGCTATTCGATATAATTTATGGTTTATATGAGTTGATTATATAAAATTGAATGATGATAATATATAGTGATTATAATTATATATAATCATATCATATAATGAATGAAATTTAAAGTTCAGTTTTTCCTGGACTACTTGATGAATGGAACAATCGTGTTATACCAGTTGCATAGCCAAGTGTAAACATGAATGCCAACGATGTAATACCATGTGATAAAACGAAACCAAATGTACGATATTTTGGATGAATGGTATAGCCAACGATGAACAGGATTCGACCAGCGACGAAACAAAAAACCATATATGGAATGAAATACATGTATTCCGAATGAATATAGACAGCCAACGACAATTGACAAATAACATTCATGAATGTCTGTTCAAATGTATTGGTCAATATTCGAACCGATTTTTCAATGTAAGCTTCATGTCCACTCAACGGATTCAATACGGAAGTTTGTAATCGATTCATTATAACATTCAAGACGCAAAAATACATTGGAATCATTGTAAATGGCTGCATTTGTAATGTGTATACCAGGCGGTCTATTGTGACAAATATTTAGAATAGAGATAAATATATTGTGTGGTTAAGGATCGCAATTCTAATAAAATCACTTACCAGTTACCGAAATTAGTTTTGGAGTTTGGACAATCAATTTATGAAATTTGAAAAACGCAAAAGTCATGGCCACAAAAATCAACATACTGACAGTTACATTAATCATGGCAAATTTATTTGGTATTTCATCCGATTGTGATCGACCACCAGCCATTTTTCGGCCTTGCATTCGAGTCATCGGTGGTTTAGCTGAAGACATTTTTTTTTTTACTGAGGAATTTATAATAATCAATTTATTATTATTATTCTGGATAATAATTCAAAAAAAAAAATTGAAACCAGGGACCAAAAATAGAGTCGAAGGGAAACAGAGACACAGAGACAGGGAGATAGAGTGAAAGCTAAACGTTTGGAAACAAAGTCAAGTCCAATTTTCAAACTGACTTAAATATAATGTCGGGTAACATTGTACTCACCACTATCTTTTTCTCTCCAACACCCGCCGTATGTACTATAGTGCAAACACACATATCTGCTGTAAGCATACATGCATGTACCTCCCTCCTCTATCGTGTACATTTTCTGGTTACAACGGTCAAAATTTATTTGGAACCAATGCCACTTGATGGCGGTATTGTCATCTTATATTTCCAAACAAAAACAAAAACAAAAAAAATTTTCTCGGCTTTTTCAAAAAATTTTATTTTTGAATCAATCAATGAAAAAAAAAATTGAAATAAAGTTTTTTCTCCAAATTATCAACCAAGCCATATGTTCTCATGTGTTTAAAAAGTTTTTTTTTTTTTTTTTTTTTTTTGATTATAATCAAACTACTACTAATACTATTGACCAAACTAAAAAAAAAGTTTTTTTTTGCAGATACAAAAAAAAAATTGATTTCATTGAATTGCCAAACAATCAAATGATACCCACAAATTACAGTGATCATTCATTTTTGATTGTTCACGTAATTTGGTTGCCGAAATAGACACGAGCATAAACTTTTTTTTTCTCTCTCTGTTTGATTGTGTCATTTTGTGTTTCATATATGTGAAAAAAAATGGTCGAACCCGATTTGATGAAAAAGCAGAATAAAAATACAAAATATAGTATCTATAGATTGAATTCTCATTCCGAAATAATCAACATTCTACGGTTTAATAAGCTGTTCAATGTCATTATTGAAGTCATTTGTAATGGGATTAAATTGTCCACACACTCTAAACAAGCAATCCGTCTTCCGTGTTTGGATAGAGAGAGAGAGAAAGAGATCACTAGAATTCGAATTGAATATTTGATCAAACATACACACACATATAATGCCAGTTTTAAACGATCCACATCCATTCGATCCATAGTGTACGTGCTCAAGTACATTGAGTTTTGATTCATTTTCTCTCTGCAATTTTAAAAACATCTGATGATGTGAGATAGAGAGAGAGAGAGAGAGACATTTTCAGATGTCTCAATAGCATTCAATCTTCTGGTATTGAATATGCAAATTTATCAACAATAATCTGCATTTTTGTTTTTTGTTTTGTTTTTTTTTTTTTTTTTGGTTTGTCATCTGTAAATTCTTCATGTGATCATCACGAAGAGGATGAAAATTCGATGAAAATCAATGTTTGTCTTATGCGGTCTCTATTCAAATTATGTCATTAATTAAAAGTTATATTATATAGATGACAAGTACAAAATCTGAATAATTTTTCCGATTACCGCCTATTCACCATTTGTCAATTTTAACATACAAATTCTTTTTTTTTTTTATTCTTGAAAATCTAGTTCTCAGTAAAAAAAATGATGATGATGATGATGATGGAACACCCCAACAGATTTCTCGTTCATCTTCGATCTATCATGCATTGATTATCTGACAATCTGTGTCCAATATATAACCATATATATTTGCATTCAATTTTCATTATCATAAGCTGTTTTTTTGATGAATAATTTTCTCAAATTTCGTAAGAATAATAAATTCTGTACGATTCTTATTATTGGAAAAACAACATCCAAAAAATAATTGATAAATAGATTCCGGAATAATGATTACTGTGAATAAAGTGGTAATAATTTCAACATAAACGATTCACATTTGATGCTACTTTGACGTTTGTATGTTTTTTTTCTGTTCATTCTTGTTCGTTCTTTTTCACACAAACACACACACACCCCAAAATAATCCTTGAATGTTAAAGTTGAATTTAAAGAAAAAAAAATGAAATATGAATTCTTTTTTTCTTCATCCTTATCAAATTGGTGGAAATGCCAAACCATCATTATCATGGCCCTTTGCCATTTACCAGAAAAAAAATATGGCCTCATTCTCTCACTTACTTGGTTTTCAAATTACACGCACACACACACACACACACTCGTATTACATTCACACATATTTTCTGGTCAGCATAATGATGGAGGGGTTTTTATAGATTATTACAATGCTGTGATGACGACTATTTTTTTTTTTTTTTTTTTGATGATGTTCATGATGCTATTTTTGGAACATGATCACTCACACACACAAGGTCCATATTGGCCTCGATTATTAATGTCAAACATTTACTTTCTAGGATTCTTCCAAACACACACATACACACATTTTATTATAAACGGGAGTCATTCGATCGGAAGTCACTAGTCAGTGATTTTTTTTTCTTTATGATGACGACTATGAGAAAAAAAACTATTAGCTATCCAACAACAACAACAGAGTAATAGGTTTACAGGCAAGCAAAAAAAAAAAAAAAAAAATCTGGTAAAGATGATGAGATTTCAGAAATCTCATATTATGTGTGCGCATATAACTTTTTCTTTTTTTTGGTTCCAAAACCAAAAAAAGGCGTTGCTTGGCACCATCTTGGCTCGATGTGATTGGCTAATGATTGGTAATGTTGGTAATTTTGGTTGGAACTATGCATTGGAATGATATATACATTTTTATACGTCAATGTTTTTTTTTTCTTTTGTATCATCCCTCAAAAATGCGTACGCGCATTTATTTTTACAAATATTTCTTCATTTTTTCCTATTGCTTTTCACTTTTGACCTTCATATATATGAATCATCATCATCATGGATCGTCGAATTATATAATATCGTCGTTGTGTGTCCATAACATTTCGATTGATGATGATCATTTTTGTTATTCATTCAACGAATATCCACCACCACACACACACACACACACACACATACACACAGACAGACTAATCATAGTCTAGTCGAAGACCGGAATTCATTTTTTTTTTTCGGTCATCGATGAATTTGTTTATTTTTGTTTAGTTTTATCATTTTGTTATTGTTTTTGTTTTTGTTGTTGTTGTTATTATTGTTGTTGATCATTGTCCATAGATTTATCCAATCGTTGAATTGATAAATTTTATCAACAAATATTTAAAGTAAAAAAAAAATAATCCACTACAAATCCATCCGAAGAAATGTTGATTGATACAGAAACCTAAAACTTACCACCAACAATTTATCAGTCTACGAACACAGACGAAAAAAAATCAATCAATCAATCCAATAAAATCAAATCAGTCATCAACATATTGTTCAATATGCAAAATTGTAACAATACAAATTCGGCCAATTTGGTCGATCTAAGTAACATCTATTATACAGGTATGGCGGTATTTTTTTTTTTTTTTTTTTGTTATAACTAGCTATAATTGGCCCTAGATAACAACCCGACACAAGTGATAATGTGTGAACATTTTACACACACACACACACACATTGAATGAACGAGATTAGGTCTAGTGTGATTTAGTTTTTTCGATTTTTTGATTCCCATAAGGGACTCGAAATTCGGAGGTTCATATCGTTCGTTTGCAAATACACATTCATCCATCCTAATGAATGATATTGATTCACGATGATGATCATGATCATGATCATAATAATGGTTATCATCTTACCACACCAGTCGATTTCAAAGCCAACAAAAAAAACTACTTCATAATGTTGTCTATATCTCAATAAATTTCAATTAATCAGATTATTCAATGACAATGATTGTCGTCTATATTTATTTATTTTTTTTCTAGAAATTAATGAATGACCATTGGTTAGTTTAATGATCGTTAGTTTGTTTGTTTTTTTTTTTTTTTTTTGGTTTTGTTCAGTCACTTATAATCAATATATATTACACACAATGACAAATCGATCGATCAGCATATGATTTGTGATTGAAATTGTAGATTTGAGCTACTGCTTTTTGTTTCATTTATTTTTCAATTTCATTTCTCATTTGTAATTTTTCGTGTTTTTTTTCCATTCAATCAGACATTTTTCCAATAAAAGAAAATTCTTCATTATCAACAAGAGAATTTTTACAACGAGTAATCGATATTTGTCTGGAATTTATTGACGAATCAAATGATCGATCTAGGCCAATATTACGTTACAATGATCCAGACGAGATGAAAACCAAGTTTAATTTCAATATCGGTAAAGAGCCAATAAATCTGGAACAAATTGTCCATGATTGTGCACAAGCACTTTACTATCAAGTTCGAACTGGTAAGTTTTTGATTTTTTTTTTTTTGCTTTTTGCTTTTTGCTTTTTGATTTCTTTGTCATTTGATACATACATACATACAAAACAACAATATAATTAGTCCATCATTATGGAATCCATAATTTTTTTTTCTTTTGCTGTTGACTACTATGGTCTGTTTTTGTCATTCTTTTTATTTTTTTTTCTGGCCATCATCATTAGCCAGGCCCCCAATCTAACAAAATGAAAACAACGACTAGAGTGTAAATGTCATATGTTCAGTCAGTAAATGAGAGACATAGAGAAAGATATAATTTGAAATGTTACGATGAAATATATTGATGACGAACGAATAAACGAAACACACAATATAATCTGAATTTGATGATTATAATTTATGTATTGGTGAACAAACAAACAAAAAAATTGTTTTTTCTCTTTATTCACAATGATGATGATGATGATGATGATTTTTCTATCGACCATTGGTTGTTTGATACACACACACACACAGAATATGAGAATTTTGTTCATTTTTATTGTATGGCCATTCTAGTGAAAATTAAATATGATCCATTGAATATGAACGACCATTGCAGCCGCTGTGTGTGTGTGTGTGTTGTGCAAACAGAGATGGATAGAGAGAGAGAGAGAGAGAAAAAAATATCATAACGAAATGTGGCAGCAAGTGTCGACCAATTTCTCGGTGAAATTTTTACCCGATTCCCGAATGCATACACAGATTTTTTCGATTGATGATGCGGCAACTGCTGCTGCTTTGTGCTATTTCTAGCGCGAAAATTGATGAACAATTACACGTTATTTTGAACACATACGCACGTTCGTTCACCAAATGTTGGTTCGTTTCTTTTTTTTTTTTTTGTTTCTCTCTGTTTGATGGTTCGATTCAACGAACCTAGAAAACAAAAAAACAAATTCCGTGGTTATCGACCATAGCAATATTGCTACTAAAATAGTACGTTTTATTCTCATCGTACATACACACACACAAATTGTTCATTCATTTTGGAATTTTGTAGGGACTTTCTCTATCAATTCGGGTAAATGATTTTTTTTTCTTTTTGACTTTTCTATTCTTATGTTCCCAACAGCAGCAGCAGCAGCAGCAGCAGTTTGCTGCTTATGCAATGTTTGTTTGGTATAACAAAGCCGAATTTTTTTTTTTTTATTCTTCTTTGCCACTGTCTGTGTGTTCTCGTAGTTGTTCAAATCTCATCTGATATTGATGTTATTTTCATGTTGTTGTTCATAACATTATTCTCCATTCTGTTGTATATTCATCATCATCATCATTCCAGCAAATCATTCAGCCATCGAAAATTTTTCAATTATAGCCAATTTGTATATCATAGTTGTCGTTGTTTTGTATAAATCCAATAGACAAAACAACAAAAACAATCTAGATATAATCATCATTGTATTATGTTCAGTGTAGTTTATATGATTGTTTTTAGCTGTGTAATAAGCGTTCTCATTTCAAGCGGAAGTTATCCAATATGGATGTTATAGATATGGTTGTGTAAATGTTAAATATATAGGAAACCAAACGAAAACAAAAAAAAAACAATAATAATTATACACTAAATCATTCTAAATCCTGGTACTAGTAAATTCAAAATGATTCGGATTTGGATCATTTTTTTTCTTCTTTTCATTTTGCTTAAAGTTACCAGTAGTGAAAAAAATGAAAATTGGGCGTATACGCGGCCATACCAACAAAACTATCAATTTGAAACTTGAATTCATTCATATCGTATATACAAATAGATTCCAAAAGAGAGTGAGAAAAAAAAGTGGAACAAAATAAAAATGAAAACAAAAATTATAAGCAGCTTATTACATTTTTTTATATGCTTAAGATTTCTGTGCGAAATTTCATCGAATTCATTTTGAGATTTGCTTTGTATCCAAAAAAGAATTTATCTTTGCACCAAAAAAAAAAAAAAATGTAGCAATATCTATGCTGTGTGTGTGTGTGTGTGTTAAATATGAAATTTGATGACTGCTGTTCCAAGAAGAATGAAGAAAGAAAAATCGAATTTCAAACCAAATAAAAAAAATCGAATGAACTGTGCATCAGGCAAGAAAAGCGTCCGTCAAGCGAACAATCATTTTTGCAACCATTCACCACCACCACCTCCTCGTTATATAATGATAGCATATTATTGGAAACAGAGAGAGAGACTTATAGAATCTCAAGTATCATAACTGTATTTCATTCGAGATTTTATTTCAGAATTTTTTTTTTTTTTGTTTCTTCTCACAAATCATCAGCCATCGCCATTCGTGTATCATCAATGGATGATGATTATATGAAATAAAAGAAGAATGATGATGATGAGGATGATGGCTGCAATATGACGCGCCATAAAAAATGGGCCCTGTGAACTGATGATGAAGAATTTGAACGCGTTTTTTTTCACTTCCCCTTCTACTATACAATGAGAATATATATATATAATGAATTATGATACATGTCAAAAACGTGTCAGTAACGAATGAATGAATGAACGATTGAACGTACGTACGGCTACTGCCTGCCATTATCAGTTCACATTTTGGATTGTCGTCGTCGTCGTCGTCGTCGTCGTTGTTGTTGTTGTTGTTATCAAAAAAGAAAAGCCCCAAAAAAAATGTGTGAAATAAAATTAATTTGTCCATGAAATGAATGAATGAAACGTTTTTTTTTACTTTCTTTGGTCGATTATTTTCATACACTATGGCCCTTAACAATGACATTTTCAATCTGTGTGTGTGTGTGTGTGTGTGTGTTCAAATTTCAAAATGTTACTTGATTTATCATTATCATTTCAATCAATGTTTGTTTTATTTTTTTTTTTGGTTTGAATTTGTTTGATTCGATCCATATATAAATGGGCCATATGGTCATATATATAAATGAGCCATTCAGAATTATACGATGATGATGATGATGATGGTATGCATACCGTAGGGTTCAATTGAAAAAAAAGTAACTGTTTTTTCCAGTTGAAACCAACAATATCCCGATACACATACACACACACAGACATTCCATTCATTTTGGAAAATATCCATTTATTTTTATCTTTATTGTATGCCTGATCCAGCAAATTTTTTTTTTTTTTTTGGAGATTCTTTATGCTGTTAAATTCCAGAGAATTGAATATAATGTGTGTATGTGTGTGTAATAGTCATCAAGAATCAAAAGAATTTACATTGTTCTCTTTTCTGGTTAGCTTTGGTCCACATATTTTGTTTTTTGTTGTTGTTGTTTTTTTTTGTTGTTGATCATTGAGATTGGATGCGGCAATGGATGGATGAATGATATGAATGAATGAATGTTGCCAGCCATAATCGATAATTAATTTCTTCAAAAGATTAGACTATCACCGTTCTATAGTAGTCAAAAAAACAAAAACAAAACGTTACAAGATAAATTTTTGAAAAGTTTCTTGTCACAAAAATTTTTTTTCTGCATCAATTCAATTCAAGCATTATGTTGGGATTACCAAACAAACAAACAAACAAAAAACCATCATATAGGTATTTTATTCGCTTCGATGGCTACGTTTTTTATTATGATCATCATCATAAAGTACCATTTGATTGAAATTTATACATTAGACATTTGAATTCTAATCGCTTCGACAATAAACAACAACAACGACAACGAGAAACAAAGTCTCAAATCCTCTAGTCATCATGGAGAACTGATTCCATAGAACTGGGCGTTCTATTTTTTTTTTTTTAATATTCATCTTAGACTTGATATACCATGCACATATACTTTATTAAAATCAAAATTGAAATGACAGAGTGTGTGTGTGTGTGTGCGGTTCACTTATCAAAAATTATTCTTCAAATCAAAGAATAATTTTTTTTTCATCGCACACACACACACACACTTGCAAACCATTTGAATGAATCAAGTTACAAATATTAATTGTGTGAAAAACTCGGAAACGTTACAACACGTTCCAAATGATGACTAAAAAAAAAATTTTTTTTGATTAAATATATGGTGGTTGGTCGGTTTGGTTTGGTTTGGTTTGGTTTTATTTTGCTGTTAAATAATGATTGTACATTGATGATAAGATTTTCATTTTGCAATGATGATGATGATGATGATGAAGTCTATATTGTCATTGTGTGAGCAAGAGAGAGAGAAGATTGGATTATTTTTAAATAAAAACATCAAACATCATCATCGCTATCATAGGAAACCAACGCCAACAACAACAACAACAACAACAATAATAGCTACCGGGCACAATTTTCCAAGTTGTAACACACACACACATTGTATTGTATACAATAATAATAATGGTATACTAAATTCTGGTAACCACACATACTAAACCGGAAATTACGAAAAACAAGTTTTTGAATAGCATCATCATCATCATCATCAGCCGCAACAGCAGCGGTATGAATGCTGAATGAATGGTTTGGTTTTTTTTCGGCTTTACTGATAAGAAATTTACGTGATCCATACACACTGTTCTACACACACAGTTCATTTTTTTTTGTTGTATTGAATTCATCTACTTTTTCCGTTATAAATAATAATTGAATTGAATATACAGCAAAAAAAAACCAACAAAACATAACAAAATGACATTATAATTTTTTTTTTTCATTGTTGGTTAGCCTTTTTTGATTTTGGAAAACATCAAATCAGCAATTCAAAAAGGAAAAAAAAACAGTAGTAGCGGTGATGATCATAATTCTGGAGTGTATGTATGATCTGTGTAATTAGCGAACAAAACAAAAAAAACTAAAACTAAATGTCCATATTTTATGAGAAAACACAGCCCAATAATTTTCACTAATTTTTTTTAACATCTTCTGTGTGTGAGATTTTATTTATATATAGCAAACGATGATTCTAGCGATTCTGTTATGTGTGTATTGTGTGTGTGTGTGTGTATCTCTATAAAATAAAATGCATTGAAAATGAATCTTGCGCCGTTACTTTTCTACATTTACAAAAACAAGCATTTGTGTATATATTTTTCATCATCATCATCATCATTCGAGTTATGGAATTTTGTTGATAAGAAAATGAAATTAAACCGACTGGAACTAGAATATTCTGGTGCATTTTTTTTTAAATGTCACAATATAAATATAATATATAAAATGATGATGAAGAAAAGAAAAATTGATATTCTGAATTATTGATTCAAATTAGAAATATGAGGAATTTTTTTTTCTTTTTTTTTGGTTTTTCTTTTCTTTTCTCAATGATATTTGAGAACGTACACGCGTTTTGAAACAAATGAAGAGAATGAGAGAGAGAGAGAGAGAGAAAGAAACAAAATGTATAGAAAGATTGGTTCGTTGGTTCACTAATTTCCGTAATATGAACAAACGATAATAATGATATAGCTTGCCCCTCAATCACTAGACGCGTGTTTGTATACATTCTCAATGGACAACAACAACAACTAAAACAACATTTAAATCATATCAGTAAACAACAATTACATATACTAAAGGCAGACAGTTTGTGTTTGTGTCTGAATGTGATAGACATTGATTTCGACTTTTTACCCCAAAGGTTAATGCCTGACGCACGTCATTACATAGAAAAAAAATAGATTTTTTTCCCTTCAATGATAAAACTTGGCTTAAGAGATTATACTTTACAACATTCTAGATGATTCTACAACAACAACACAGAGATTCATTCAGATTCAATGTTGTTGAAAATCAATTTTATTTGGAAAAAAAAATACCAATCATTTTTCGATCAATTCGGATTTATTTTTATTTTATTTTTTTTTGCCATTTTCTTTTATTATCTCTTGAACTAGCTCATCCCCATTATTTCAATCAACTATCATGTGGATTAGACATTGTTTCATTGGCCGGTGAATGGTTGACAGCTGCAGCCAATACAAACATGTAAGTTGTTTAGGTTTCAAGTTCATTTTGACTTTTAAAAAATTGATTGTAACTTGTGTCTTTGTTGATGATTAATGAACGATTTGATTTTGATTTTCGTAACGATAGGTTTACCTACGAAATAGCACCGGTATTCATATTAATGGAACATGAAGTGTTGAAAAAAATGCGTCATATCATTGGATTCTATGATGGTGATTCAATTTTAGCACCAGGTTTGTTTGTGAATCTGATTTTTTTTTCGTTGTTGTTTTTAGTTGTTGTTGAAAAAAATTGACATGTCTTTTATTTTTGTGGACAAATTTTCATTTCGTTTGTTTGTTTGACAATCTGAAGGAGGTGCCATCTCCAATCTATACGCTGTAATTGCTGCCCGTCAAAAAATGTTTCCAGAATATAAATCCAAAGGACTGAGAGCATTACCACAGCAGCTGGTGCTCTTCACATCTGAACATGTAAGTCATATTTTTTTTCAGAATCCATAACTTATACACACTTATATGGAATGGATTCTGTTCATATATGTGTGTGTGTTTGTGCAACATACGGACAGAATATATTCTTCATCAATATGGACGACAGCTTGCTATTATTCAATGGCCCGAATTTTTAAAAAAATAGCCAAAACAATACGTGCCAAATTGCCTTCGTTAGCATTATTTTCAAATGATTTAGGATTCAATAAACATACATACACTGTCAGTTTGAGAATAAATATTGTGTTTGGGCTTATTTTTCCGGACAATTATTTTTTTTTTTATTTTTATCAAAACAATAAATGATTGATTCGAAAATCTATTTTTTATTTTTTTTCTCTAACAAATTGAATGAATATAATAGAGTCATTATTCAATCAAAAGTGCTGGAGCTGTATGTGGATTTGGTACGGATAATGTTATTGAAGTACCATGCGATGAAAGAGGTAAAATGATTCCATCGGAATTGGAAAAACTGGTCAAAATTCAATATGAAATGGGAAATCGACCATATTTTGTTAATTGTACCTGTGGTACAACTGTTCTTGGTGCATTTGATCCAATCAATCCGATTGCTGATATTTGTGACAAATATAATCTCTGGCTTCATGTTGATGTAAGTTTTTTTGGCGTTAATTTTTCTATTAATTGCCACACACATAATTTGAAACTAATAGGCAGCCTGGGGTGGTGGATTATTGCTATCATCGAAACAACGACATAAATTAGATCATATAGAACGAGCTCAATCGGTTACCTGGAATCCACATAAATTGATGGGTACATTACTACAATGTTCTACTATTCATTTTAAACAAGATGTATGAATATATTTGTATTTATTATTTAAAATTTCATCATCAAAAACTATTACAGGGATTGTTGCTAGAAACAAATGAAATGTGTGCCGATTATCTTTTTCAACAGGATAAACATTATGATACTAGTTATGATACTGGAGATAAAGTAATTCAATGTGGCCGCCATAATGATATATTTAAATTATGGATTATGTGGCGTTCTAAAGGCGATAAAGGATATGAACGTCATATTGATCATTTATTTGAAATGAGAGAGTATGTAGTTATTATTACCATATTATAAGACATAATTGCTAATCTTCTTCATCTCTTTTCATTTCAGTTACATGCTCAAAGGTATCAAAGCAAGAGGTGATAAATTTCACATGGTACTTGAAAATCCTGAATGTGTTAATGTAAGCTTTTGGTATATTCCATCACGTCTTCGTAATGTTCCACATGATGACGAACGAATCAAAGAATTAGGAAGAGTAAGTGTTGTATGATATTACAATGAAAATAAATAGACTATACTAATACTACAATTCATAAACAGATTACACCCATTCTGAAAGCACGAATGATGCAAAAAGGAACATTGATGATTAGCTATCAACCATTGGGCGATATACCAAATTTTTTTCGCAATATAATATCCAATTCTGGCGTACAGAAAAAAGATGTTGATTTTTTGCTTGACGAATTGGATCGTCTTGGTCATGATCTTTAAAATCATAATATAAATCGATCATTCAACAATCACATCGCACATATAGTTTGATTTATATTTATTTATTATTATAGTTTATAGAAAATTGTCGTGCAAATTGAAACATAAAATAAACTCACCACACCATCATATGTAGTTTTAGTAATCATCATCATCATCATCCTTATCATCATCATAAATCATCATCAAGCTCATCTTTAAAAAGGCAGCAATATTATGCATTAAAGGATTGCATATGTCAATCAAATCTTTCAAAATAAGAATATATAACGAAAGAAATATCCAAACAAAACGACAAAATCACGTCAAGTCTTCCAAAAAAAAACGAATCGAATCGAACAAATTCGAATCATTCGATATTCTTTCGAAAAAAAATCTTCCAAAAATGAAAACAACACACATATCACATCATCACACACACACACACGCTAATCAAACTCATCCTTAGTAAAATCATCAACTCGTACCCTTTTTTTAGAATCAACAAACAAACAACAACAAATATGACCTTGTGCCAAAGAATATGAAAAAACATATCAATTTTCATCGATACCAAAAATAAAAACACCGCTACAAAACCCTTATTTATTTATAGATACTACACGTTCACTTTTTATTTCATGTGTGTCCGATTGAATTCAAATTGCCCTCGCGTTTTGTTTTGTTTTGTTTTTCGTCGATTCTGGATTCTGTTTTCTGACTGATCTGAATATATATATCGATAACTAAAAACACACACACGCTTCAATATTGTTTTCTTTTTCTATGGATTTATTTTTTAAATTTAATGATAATAATTCATCTCTTCATATTCCCGAGCCAGAAATGTTTCATTGATTGTTTGTTTATCCGAATTTAAAAACACAAAACACACACATACATACCAAGCCAGTGAATGAACCCTCATCATTCCCTTACTTACATTCCATCAGTGTGAATTGAGTATTGAAAAATTGTTTTGAAAACATTTAGTTTTTTTTTGATTTCTTTTTTTTTTGAATTGTTGTGATTAGAATGTATTTTTTTGTGTCTTGAATTAAATTAAATAAATAAATAATAATTCGTTTGACCAATTTGTTGTAATGAATATATTCTATAACAATAGTGGTGCTCTCTATGGAGATGGAAACCTGAAAATTGAATTCGAAATTTTATGGTTTTATTTTTTTTGCAACAAGATGGCGCCACCATTGTCAAACTGGATTTATATTCAACCGGTGGTTGTACACACTTGGACAGTATTAATTTTGAAACAAATAAATTTATTAATTAATTAATTTTTTATTTTAGCTTCACAACTTGTAATGAGAAATGATGATGATGATGATATTAAGAATATAAAAAAAAATCTAAACATTATTTATTATATATATGATGACTTAGAATGAAAATCAAATAAACAAACAAATACATATGGATTTTTTTTATGATAATGAAAGAATCGATAACAAACAATAGATTGATGTGTGTGTGTATGTATGTATGTATGAACGATCATTATCGGTGCATATCGGTCATGGATATAAATCAGGCGTTATTGCCATAAATTTTTGTGGAGAAGAATTAGAACATCATAAAAAAATCACAATCACAAAAGAATAGATTCACAAATTATATCATTATATAATGGTTGAATCCTTACAAGTGATATATCACTACTATTAATTGTTATGTAATGGATTGGAACTACCCGTAATTGAAGAATTATCCGTACGTAGTTACAGCAAAAAAAAAAAAAAAAAAATAGCGCTGTTAATCGTTGTTGTAGCATTGTTTATTGAATATTGTTTCACTTGCTGATCTTGTGAATTTGTCGAATTAATTGTAAACATTGCAATGGATCCGGCAAAATATCAGTAGTGGTAACAGAAAAAAAGTAGAATGCCTCGTTGTATCTGATGAGATCATATTTGTTGTTCATGATTTTGTTGGATCGAAATTATCTTGTGACTTTAAATTTTTTGTTGTGTTAATCAACGACGTTGGTAATGATGAACATGATGATAATGAATGTGGTTGTTGTTTATTTTGGTAGATTGTCCAATCGAAATTGAATTTTTCACGAAAAAAATTCAAGAATCGATTCTGTTTTTTTAAAAATCGGAAAAAATATCGATGCTGATGAGTGGAATCGCGATATTTGTTTACATCTTTGATACGAACGATTGGTGGTTGAGGAAATTCACTAGCCACAGCTTCCGTAGGATTGACATGATTTTGCACGAATGGAATCGGCATAGGTGCTGTTGAAGATCGAATCAAAGATCTATTCTCCATTGAATCTAGTACGTTTTGATGTACTATTTCATTGGAATCAAGATTCATATCAATAATAGTGTCGAAATTAATATCGGATTGTTGATGATAAGTTTGATTTTTGAATTTCAATCCTTGTTCAAGAATTTCATCATCATGTTCATCAATTTCATTGATCATTAAGTTACGTTCAAGGCATGGATTACGTGCATGATATGGCTGTAAAGGTAATGTCAATTTATCTGATGATTGATTCGAATTGTTAATGTTTAAATTTTTCTCAACAAAATTTGAAGAATGATGCAAACGTTTAATGTTGTTCAACGATCTTTGCTGCTGATGAAAATAATGTTTATGGTGAGGATGATGTAGAAGATGATGGTGATTATTGAATTTACCATGTAAGGAATTTTCGAATTTATTTATGTAACATATGTTAGCATATTCATTTGGCAAAATGATTGATTTATTGTTGCTATTGTTTTCTATTAGTTGGCCACCACCTGCTACCGTTTTTTTCTTTGATTTAAAATTCCATTGTTGTTGATTCTCTTTATCAGATTCTGTTGATATTTTTTGATTATTAATTCTATTGTCGAAATCCACTTTATTCGAATGTTCTTGTAGGAAAGCTGCAATGACATAACAGCTTGATAATGTCTCCATTTTGTGTCGTTTCCATAATGTTGGCAGTTCGCTGATACGTTCGTCAATACAAAGCGAAGTAAGTCGTGCATCTGGTTCATGATCCCAACATTCCGTGATGGTTTCTTTCAATAATCGAATTGCAAAATTCGAATCTTTCCAAATATCTGGGAAAAGAGGACGTGCCTTATGTTTGTTGACCAACAATCTCATCTGATCCAGAGTAGGTGTAAGACCAATTTCATGTTCATACGGTAATTTATATGATGGTACATCGATTCCCTGATATAGATCGGTACATCTGCTGGCAATTTCCCATAAAATAAGGCCTAAGGAATAAACATCTGCTTGTTTCAACAATGATTCGGTAGGTCGTAAATTGATTGAAGTATCCAATATTTCTGGAGCAAGATATCTAGCTAGACCGGATCGTAATTCATAATCAATCGCTAACGATGGTCGGTGGTGATTAGAATTGGGCAGAAAGTGGACTGCAAATTGAAAATCACAGATCATACAGGTTCCGTCGGCTTTGACAATCACGTTAGCTGAACAAAGATCACAGTGAGCTATACTGGGTTTGTTTTCATTATCGCCATGAATTTCAGTATGAAGATAGGAAAGACCTTGTACTAATGATTTAAATAATTGACACATTCGTATCCAATCGAATGTATGTTCAGACAGATATGTTTGCAATGATCCATAATGGCCATATTCGATAAGTAAACAATGTTCAATCTGTCCATTATCATTGATTCGATCGATGTTTCCAAAAAAATTCGGTAAATTCAAATGATTCATTAATGGTAATGAATAAATCTGCGATTCATTTGTCCATAAATGTTCATATTTTGAATCTGTTGAACATACTTTGATAGCAACAGTAATATCATTGAATTTTCCTTTCCAAATGCTTCCATACTTTCCATGACCAATGCTTTCAATAAAATTCAAGTTTTCTTGATGAGAATCTTTTGATTGAAATGATGATTGGCTATAATGGGCTTTTTGATTCGAAAAAGAATTTGATGATTCAAGCAAACGCAATGAATCATTCGTTATCGTTTTGTTGTTGTTGTTGTTGTTGACGTTGTTTGGTCATTTTTTTGTTAACATAGATTGATTTAAAAAATTTGGCCGATATCATCGTGAATACAAAGAATATTATACAGACGAATATTATCAAAAAGATGAAATGATTCTCGATATCCTTTGAAAAATCGTATTCTAATCATTGTGAAAAATAAGATAAATAAATAAACAATTTGGAACATTAATAATCATAATATATCATTCTTACCATTCAAAGTGTTAGAATCGAGATGCAATAAATCATTATCATCATCATTATCAGAATTAACTAGATCATCATCACCGATAAATTGAATAGAATAATCTATGTTGCACATATCACCCGAACAGCAGCAAAAATTTGTAAAATTATCATCATTATTCAATGAAGTTTCAATGTTTTTCAATGGAAAGATGCATTGTTTGTGATTACAATTAAAAAAATTACGTAAAGATAGTTTATCAGCACATCCTGTCAAAAAAAAAAATATTGAAATTACACAAATGTGAATGACCAAATAATCTATTTGTACATACCACTAGTAATTAATCGATAACGACTGTTGTTTACTAAATCAAATGGATCATAAAACCATAATGCAAAACAATGTGTTGAACAGGAAATAATTGAAACACCATATTCAGTATTATCATTATCACTAATGCTTTCATCATGATGATCAACATCGTCGATAGGTTTATTATTATTTGTCACTAAATGTTTTTGGCCGATGACATTATTTTGTCGTCGAATGTTATCGTAATAATTTTCAAATGGAAAGAATTTATTCAATGTTGATTTCGATAAAGAAGCCGATAAAAATCGCGACTCCAATGATGATGAGGGTTTATAGTATGCACATTTTAAAGCATTTGAGATACCTTTAAAGTGTAATAGTAGTAGCCATCATTGAATTAATTAAAATAAAAAAAAAATTTTTACCTGAAAAGTAATCAAAAAAGATGACTAAATAAATCGTCCAAACTAAATAGACCATAATGTTTATGATGATGATGGTGATGATGATGACCAAGGATGGATAAGTTGACGATGATCATTAATAATAATAACAATTGTTTTCAAACGAATCATCGATGAAATTTTGAATGCTGAAAAATTCTTCTTCTTCTTTTAATTCTGCTTCAATTTTTTTTCGTGTATGGATTTCGAATTTTTTTTGTTTTCTATTTCCAGAATGTCAGTCAGTCATCTATTTTTGAATAAATAAAAAAATGGTAATTAATATAATGATGATGATTGAAGGACTAAAAAGAAGAGAAGAAAAATTCATGAAACACAAAAATCCAGACAGATTGAATGATGATGATGATGATGATGATGATGTTTTAAATCTTAAGATTTATATATATTTACATATTTGACATTCTGTAAAGAGGAAAAAAAATTAATCTCATTTTCCAGGTTGAAAAAAAAGAAAAAACCTAAAATTGCCAGTCATTTGAATAACGATGATAAAAAAAAACCCAAAACAGGTCAATACACTAGCACTACAAATTATAGTGGAAATTTATTTTTGGACTTTCAATGTCAAATATATATTACACACACATGAACATAGGAATTTCCGATCATTAACATATTTTTGACAACAAATTAATCAGATTGAATTTAACCAGATTGCAAATAAATAATTCTAACGGTCATTACCATTTTCCTTGGTTATCACAGTGATGGTGGTTGTTGTTATTGTTGTTGACAAAAACACAAATGAACCAAACAAATTGTGTGTATGACCAAATAGAGAGATAAAGAATGTATTTATCGAAATAAAGATGAAACAGAAACTTTGGAACAAATGATGATGATGATGATGATGATGTTAAATCAAATCACTTATACATTTGTTCAATAATTCATCACAATGAATTCATAAATAAATAAATAAATAAAAAAAATAAACCTCAATGGCAATATATAATACATACAAAGGGAAAAAACTACCAAAAAAAAACCAGTGCATTTAATGAAATTTTGCCATCATCATTTTGGTCGTGAAGTTTGAAGCGATTTGCAAAATAGTGATGCTTGTATTATATGATTATTTGGGTAATAGGCATTCAAGCAGACAGACACACACACATACACACAATCAGTCTGCATTTGAACTAAATATAATATTGGCAAAAAAAAAAACCAGACACCGACATCGATCGATGTCGAGACAAACACATCACATATATATATATATACAAAATTCATACTTTATATACCGCCACTGTGTATTAGCGCACATATACAACATATACTTGGCTTGGTTCGATTTAGCGTCATCATCAATACAATATATATCTGTACAACCAAAAAAAAAAAAACAGACACAGACACAGACAAATAGAAAGATTCGATTCGAATCTTCAGCTGGTCTTCATGTCTCCAATAGGATGGATATTCGTTTGTTCATTCGATCTTTCTTTTTTTTCCAATGTAAAAAAAATTTAGATTCACAAAACTGAATAGAAAAAAAAAATTTTATTAAAAAAAAAAGCTAAACGACAAAGCAAGAATCCTGATTCGGTCGAATCATTCAACATCTCCTACAATAAAAAAACATAATGAATAGCTGCCCAGTAACAGCAGCAGCAGCAGCAGCAGCAGCAGACGAAGCAGCAGCAACAGCAACGATAACAACTGACTTTTTACTCTTTTTCTCTCAACAATTTATACTTTTTGGTATGATCCGGTTGTGAATGTGACCTCCTCTCATTTCACTATTTCTTTGATAATCATCATCATCACCATTACTGGACATTCAAACTGCCTACCTCACCATCACAAACATCGACAAATAGATACATCGAATTCATAGAAAAAAAGAGATTGTTGCCAAGGCCTTGAGATGTCAAGACACCTTTAAAAGAAAAAGAATTTCGAATTCGAGTGTATATCAAGAGCTATAGCAACAACAACAACAACAACAACAACAACAACGACAACAGCAACAAAAATCTTGAAACATGAAAGATCCATTTATATGGTGGTTGGGGGTTGATGGGTGGGATTGGATAATTTTCATCATTCGATTGAATTTCATTTGAATTTGTTATTATTCCAAATAGATGAACGAATAGAATACACATTAGATAGAATTTTTGATCTAATAGAATGGCAAAAAAAACAAAATAGGAAACAGCCATGTTTCATGCGTATGTGTGTGTGTGTGTGTGAGTATCAGGTTCCTTTTGTTTTATATACAGGATTTTAGAATATATAAAAATGAAAACTTACATTTTGTCCGTTCGGTCGGCATCGAAAAACTGTGTGTATCCGGGGGGTAGAGAGAATTATATACCATGCACACAACCACCGTCATCGTCGTCGTCGTCGTAAGCCAGTATTTTATTCTATTTTTTTTTTTTTTGCTTTTGTTTAATTTCATGGAATTATGGATGTATTCCACCGAATCGAGCTTTGGTTCTATAATAATAATAATTTTTTTTGGGTAGAAAAAAAATTTAGTTTTTTTTTGTAGGTCACTTTATATAGGGTGTTATAATAATAAAAAAATAAATTATTATTATTATTATTATCATTATCTTTGTCTATCTTCGGCGCAATCGATAAATGTGAACTAAACTCTAAACACTTACTCAATCTTATACTTGATCTTGACTTGCGGCTGGCTGGCTGGCTGGCTGGCTGGCTGGCTGGCTGGCTGGTTGGCTGGCTGGTTGGCTGGCTGGTTGGCTGGTTAGTTACAACACACAAGCACAATCGAATACAAGACAGACAGAAAGAGAATATCTTTTTTTTTCCACTTTTACACCACCAACACAACACCATTCATTGTCTGATGATGTAATGAGACAGTTCGAGAATAATGGATCATGCGCATTTTTCACTACATACACACAAAAAAAAAAAAAACAAAATGAAATCTCCGGGGGTCATCATCATTATTTCGGACATAATATTTGTGAATGTTGATAACCAATTCGTTTGGTGGTGGTGGTTATGGTGGTGGTGAGGAGGTGGGGAGCTGACGGTTGTCCTTGGAAGCCCAACCATGTCTAGCCAGAAAAAAAATTTTTTTTTATACAGTGGTATCTCGGTTTCAATTAACGATGGTAATTATGCATCCATTGCAAGGCAAAACATGATTTTCCATATATATATATATATATAGGATATAATATTGAAAAAACCAATTCGTTGATAGCATACATAATTCCTTTGAGAACTTTTTAATTTTTTTTTTTCAATTCAATTCAGTTTCATGATCTGAATTATACATGAATCATGTTTTCGATCATCGTTTACCGCATGAATCATGTTTTCGATCATCGTTTACCGAGATATCACTATACATAGCTTGTATAGTACGCATTCTCTTCTTTTCAATATATATAACAGTGGCACCCATAAATGCAACATTTTTTTTTTCATTTTCATTATATATATAATCCTCATATAATATCACAGCAGTAAGCCAATATGGCATTAATTATCACCACATCACCACATTCTATTATATAGAATGTGGTGATAGAACCTCTGTATTCTTTGGTTGGTTGGTTGGTTGGTTGAAAAAACAAGACAAAAAATGATAAACGAACGAACAAACAAACAAAAAAAAACACATGTAGTAGTATATTTTAATCCTTTCTAGACGCGTTTATGTTTTTTTTGTTGTTGTTTCTGAAAAAAAATTGAATGATAAAAAAAAACCTAATTGTTTATGAATGTATTCAAGAAAGAAGGGGTATTTTTTAAACATAAAATTCTTCAAAATTGAATAGAATTTCGACTCTTCGAACATCTCCACCCATTTTATTTATTTGAGAAACACACAGAGACACAGACACAGACATAATATTATTCGAATACACAAGAATTCTGTAATGATGACATCCAAATTCAAAAGCAAATAGACAGAATAGCAATACTGAATCCAAACAACGACAACAACAACAACCCAATAGAAAAAAAAACAAGGAAAAGAATCATTATTTCGGAAGAAAGAAAGAAAAAAAAAAAATTGCCAATGGTGGCTCAATCATGTGAATGTAGAATAATAAAGCCCACCAAAGATGATTGAATCTTTATGATTTTCTTTTTTTTTCTTCTGTCTGTTCGTTGGTCCAAATAATAAAAAAGAAAAAAAAAATCCACAATCAAACAGACAGGGGGAGAGAGAGAGGTAGATTGGTAGACCAAAATATAAATAACCGACAAAACAAAAACTTGATCTAAAAAAACCCCGGGTGTACAATATATGAAATCGACAATTGCTGATGACAATTGATGGACGTCATACACACACAATACAGACAGACACTGATGAAACGAGCTAACAAACAACGGCAATAAACTTTATATAATTCTTTTTTTTCGATTCGAAGAATTTTGAATTAGTTTTTATCGGGTTTATTTTGTTGTTGTTGTCGTCGTCGTCGTCATCTTCGTCATAATTAGTTGGTAAATTGTCTATGCCGAGTTTGAATAGCTCACGCTCACAATCGACATTGATGACCATCATCATCATCATAATCTCATGTGAAAACACAATAAACTTGATGGTCATTGATTTTGGTGATGATGATGGTGGCGACGGCTATTCTTGTTCGGCATTATACAATGCTGACTTTTGTTGTTGTTGTTGTTGTAACAGAAAAAGATTTATTTTTTTTTATAAAATTGATCAACAATTATGAAATTGAGGCCGAAAAATTCCTTTGGCTGAAATGAATTCCATTTCGATGATAATTGATATTCGTTATTACATTATTATTTACTGATTTGGCCAATCATTGTTCGAATTTTTTCCTGCAACATTCGATGATGGCTACTACCACCAATTGATGGTGATGAACATTTTGTTAGAATAAAACTTAGAGCTTCTACATCTTTTTTATCAAAAGCAAATTTAGCTGCATCTTCAAGATTTCTATAATGAAAGTGAGAGAAAAAAAATTATTAGAATGAAAAAAAAAATTCTTGAGATTCTACATACCCAGTTTTTATATAATATTTAATCTTGTTTTCATCACGAATTTTCGGTAAATATTTTTGTGCTTCATAACGATTTTGACGTTGAATACAGACATCGACAAATGGCTAATGACCGAAAAACAAAGGAAAAAATGATGAAAAAAATGAACAAGATATACTAGAATGGACATTACCTCATAACCAATTGGTGATTTTTTTGCTTTCGAAAATCGTTCAAGCTCTAGCCATTCATCCATTTCGGCCATTGTAATCAAACGTAGATAATAATAACGTTTATCGGGTACTTTAAATTCTTTTCTTAGTTCATCACTTAATTTATATTCACCACGTTGTAATAATAATCGCATCGTATCCTGTAGTGAAAGATCAAAAAACTTTAATCCAGTCGGTGTTGTTGATGAAAATTTATCCTCTAATTTCAGTTGATATTTCAATAAACGAGAATATTCATCAGTATGTGTGGTGAGAAAATCATTTCGAGATTTTTTAAATGTATCCAATGCCGAACTAACTAGGCTCATTTTTGATTTTCGTTCATTAGCAGTCAATGATAATGGCTGTGTGATACAACATTGTTCCAAATAGGTAAGACCTTCGGCAATAAGATCATTCTCTTGAAAGTAAATATTTTGTAGTTGATCTTGATCATCTTGTTTACAATACTAAGGGAAAAAACGCAATGATTATCAATAATTAAATGAAAATAATAAATGATTGACCAATACCTTCTGATAAAGACTATAGGCCACTGGATATTCTCGTAAACCGAGATAAAATTGTTCGGAAGTTTGAATTTTTTTAAAACTCAATACAACCATATAAATGAGATTTGTATTACCACTTTCAATTGCACCTTGTAATGCTCGTCGATATTCTTTCAATTTCAGCAACAATGGAACCTGATCAGTTGCTTTCAATTCATAATCAAGTAATCGTATTGCTAAATTTTTTCGACCATATTCAATAGCTTTGTTGGCTATTTCGGCAAACGATACACCGGAATTTGGTGAAATTTTCTGTGCAATTTGATTGGCTATCTTTTCTTCATCAATATCTTGTTGTCGAATCTTGTAGAATGCCCATCTAGTCAATATTTTTATGCTGCCGTCTTCCGGTACTATTTTTAAATATTCAGCCAATTTTAATGCAAGAAAAAAATGATGTCTTTCAGTAAGACGATCGATAAGAGAATCGATTTTTATTTGTTCAAATTGACAATGCGTTAATGGTATACCAACATCAGGTTTTCGTATGGCATTTAATATTCGCAATTCTTGACAAACTCGTACAAATTTATTGTTATCCATATTGGCCGTAAAACATTTTCCAAATGAAGCTGCACGAAGTAACATTTTCTGTGTAGCTACATTGAATTCATGACAAGCCGTTTCCAGACACATATTAACGGCCATTTCCATTTCGTTTTTCTCTTGAATCAATCGAATGTAATCATCCACTTTATGATTCTGTTGATCGAATAGCCGGCTGGCTTCCAAAAGGTTTGAACCACTTGAAACTGAACCAATTTTGAATATATCGACAGCAGCTTTGTCTACTTTGGTGATCATTTCTTGAAATGAATTATCAACAACTCGGATACAATCAATCTCTTGTATCATATGTACATGACCATATGTCGGATATTTGAGCCAATTTCGATCCATATCGACTAGAAATAATAGATTAGCCCAATGAGCAGCCACTACATCGTTACCACACCAAGCCAATTGTTTTGGTTTAGTTTTACTTTCTGTGTCGAACATGCTGTAATGAGTGGAAATATCATTGGCAGTTAGGGCCAAATATAATTTTCCAGTTTCGGTAAATAAAACAATGTGGCTATAATCGAACGATACACGAAGCAAAGTGACAGTTTCTTTGGATTGTTCATCATCGAACGGATTGATTAAAGTACAGCTTAAATCTTGAGATTTAAGAATGATTAGTTCTTTTTCCCGAGAAACAATGAGTTTGGTGTCAGAATCGAACGATATAATATCCCAGCATAAAGGCCGTTCATTCAGATATGGTATCTCGGCAAGACGTCGTAGTTTCAAATGATACAAATTGTTATAAAGATAAAAACTTAACGATTGTGTCAATATGGCAACACCGGTTCGGTTAATTGTTGTAAAGACTTTACATTCGATTATTTTTGAATCACGTATCTCTTGATCCAATGTCAATGTGCTGATATGTTGTCCAAATAGATCGTATAAAGAAATGAATCCATTTGCGTGAACACAGACCAAATCTTCTTGATGTGACCAACCGATGGTGATGATATCCACATCTTTTATGGTCAAAGTGGACAATTGATCACCAAGAGCAGTAAAGATTTCAATCAATCTATAGTTGACCTTTCGCATCGGAAGTTCTTTTCGAAGCAATGCTGATTATAATCGGAATTAAATAACAATTAATTAATTAATAATTTATTTTCAAAATATAGAATTCATTCACCAATAGGGCCACCATAGGAAGCGGCAAAAATATCATATTCATCCAAAGAGATTTTTGCTCCCCATTGTAATTGACAGAATTCTTGTTTTTTAAAAACTTGTTGTCCAAGCGAATCCCAATTGGCAGTGGGCAACGCCATGATCACAGAATAAACTGTTTGTTTTTGGGGGGCCGATTCGTTCTGTGACAGAATAGCTGATGAGAAAGTTTTCAGTTTGTATGCCATAAAGATTCAAGTAATTTTTCGGAAATTTTTTATTTTCAAATAAAAAAAATTTTTTTTTTCAATTTTCAATAATCAAAAATTCATGAATTTTATTTTAAAATTGTAATAAAATGATAGATTTTGTAAAACATTTTTTTTTCGTTATTAATAATTAAAAAGAAAAGATGAAATGGCAATTCTATTATGGCAGCCTTAGGTCTTTGAAATAATCATGATTCAATGCTTGACGGGCACCAATACGTTTTGAAGGACTAAAGATGAGCATTTCCTATAATATAATTTTTGTTTTAATTGAGTTGAATGGTTTGTGAATTAGATAAATAGAAAGATATAAAACAAACTCACTTTGAACAAATCTTTGCCATCAGAACAAACGTCTTTGATAATGTTATCCAGATTTTGTCGTTTAAAATTGGCAAAATTATTCCATGGTATCAATAGATCATTTGGCCATTCGTTTTGATCCGGTGCACCAATGGTGTCGAAAATTTTACACAATTGATCATTCTCTGATTGTCCACAGAACAATGGTTTTTTATTATAAAGTTCAGCAAATATACAGCCACAGCTCCAAATATCGACCGATGTACTATAGCTTGTATTAAGTAAAACTTCTGGAGCACGATACCAAAGTGTGACAACCACTGCTGTCAATTGTTGTGCTTGTTTGTAGATCCTTGCTAAACCAAAATCGGCCAGTTTAACCTGACCACGATTAGTGATCAATATGTTGGCTGGTTTTAGGTCACGATGAACAATTCGATTCGAATGAAGAAAATCGACACCAGTCATAATCTGAAACATTAGATCCTAGTCGATGGAAAAAATAAGAATATTTTAGAGGAAAAAAAGAAAAACATTTTTTTCGCATGCCAAAATTTTACTTTAATTTTGTCCATACTAAGACCAGGAGCAGGACATCTGTGTAGATAGGATGATAGATCTTGTTCAATATGTTCGAATACCAGAAACAGTATGAATTGTTTTTCAAGTTCGAAATTATGGCCATGGCAAATGTCTAAAAGTCTATTATTAATTTGAATTGAAATTTAAATCGGAATTTAAACTGAGCAAAAAAAAATATAACTTTATTTGATGATGAAACCCACTTGACAACATTAGGATGATCAAAAGTTTGCAATTGTTTAAGTACGGAAATTTCACGAAGAATGCTTACTGGTACACCAATTTCGGTCATTGGGATACGAATTTTTTTCAAAGCAACAAATTGACCCTCATTATGACGATCGGTTGCTTTATAAACGGTTCCATAGGCTCCAGAACCGATCAATGCAACTTCTTCGTATTTTTTTTTAACATTATTATTTGAGTTATGCTATCCAGGGATAAATAAATTAATGAATAAATCCAAAATAATAACAACATTTCATACGTTTATATCAGTTCCATAATCATTGTTCGTTTTATTGTCATTGATGGACAAATTTTCTTCATTGACAACTTGTTCTTGTTGTCTTGATTTGATCAGGTTTTCATCTTTTGCTCTTTCCAAATTGTCCATAGATTTTTTTGTTTGATACAATAGAAACAAAATGAAATATAAACATATGTTTCAAATTCAAATGATGACAAACAAAGCTGAAACAAAGAAACATTCAACAAGTTATAGAATGCTTAAAAAGAATATATACTTGGATCACAATAGTGACAACATCATTGGAGTCGAAATAGATTATTAATGATAAATGATGATTGTGATTTTCGCGCGCGTTCTTGAAGAAAAAAAAATTCAAGTTTAAAGACAATTATTATTTTAAATTTGTTAAAAATTATCCATTTAATTTTTTTTTATTATTATACACGATTATAATTACAAATAAATGACAATAATGATATTATTACACAACGAGAAAGAAAAAAAAATTCTGAACCGAATCCAGTCAACTAGTAAGAACAAAAAAAAAAAAAAAAATTCCATGTTTGATAAACAAATGATGCATGAGACAATGATGAGATAAATGAATGATGGCAATAAATGTAATGAGAGCAAAGGAAAACTTCAAATAATAAATTAATCGAATAATTCAATTAATATTTTCGAAACAACAATGTCCAATGCGTGTGTGTGTGTTTCGGGGCGTGTAATTGTGGTTGTATATATGAGAGAGAGAGAGAGAGAGAGAGAGAAAAAAAAAATAATAGACGAGGGGATTGAGAAGTGTAGCTACAAAGTAGATAAATATCACAAGTAGTAAATGAGAGAAGGTTGGATAAAATAAAACAAATCAAACACATCAATCTTCAATAAATTCGTTCGAAAAAAAAATTAGTGGACAAATAAATTGATATCTTCTAAATGATAGAACGATATACAAATTATTAAATTACCATAATGACGCGATCCATGTCATATGAATAAATAAAAGACATTTCCTTCTTTGGTTTTTTTACTTCGTTGTGGAATGTCTATAACGCTCGATTCGTCATCATTTTTTTTCCCCATTATTATATTATATTCATTTCAAGTAACATCAGTTGAATGATGAAGATTATTCGTTGCTGAGCTACTTTGGTTCGAAGTAGCTGTTGTGGTGGTGGTGTTGGTTGTTGTTGTTGCCAATTTTAATTTACATGATGGTAATGGTAATGATGATGACGATGATGATGAAACGTTTTGATATTCTGGTGATGATTGACATTCAAATTTTTTATTATTTGTGGTGGTAGCGGTCACGGTGGTCATTACTGTTGCTGTTCTGGACGGCTCATTCGAAAATTGCTTACTACTATGAATGTTTCTATCACTTTTATTATTTGTATCATTCATTGAATGATTTGGACCATTATTAACATTCACTGTCACTAATAATGATGATGATGAATTTGAATTTTGTTTAAATTGATCAGTGTTCATCATTATTTCATTGCTACATTCGAGACCGTCAAGATCTACATCATCATTATTATCATCCAACAATGATGACATCATCACTGAATTAGAAGTTCTACCGGAAGAATCTTTCAATTCATTCATGTCAAGTGGTCGCTTATCCATTGATGATGAGAGTATTGTTGTAATGGTCGAATCATCTTTATTGTTGTTATCAGTATTGTTTAACAATAAATTAGTTAGATCAACATTTAATGGTTTCACAAATGATGGTGATGAGGAGCATTGATTTTGTTGATGTTCGATTGGTTTTATTTTTCCATTGGATGACTTTGAACACGGTCGATTGTTGATGATTCTTCTATTTGTCATAAAATTTTGAGCTTGTGTTGATCTGTCATTGTTGTAATGATGGTGATTTTCTTTGATGAAATTTGATAAATCACGTTCATTATATTGATATAATTGCCTCTCTAATGACGAATCATCAATATAATGCTTTAATTGATTATTTATAAACATTGAACAATCTTCATCAAAATGTCTCGTATTGAATTCAATTGTAGCATCTTGTTCCACATCTGATTCACCAGAAAAAGGTTTGTAGTGGATCCTGACGATTTTTTTAAATAAAAAAAAAAAACAATAAAAACTTTGAAAAATTACCATCAAGAATTCAACATACCTTTCTTCTTCATCATCACTAAAATCAATATGTGTTTTTATTCTATCGAACTGAATTCTGAAAATCAAAAAAAAAATAAATAAATCATGAAAATTTTATCCATCATTCAGCGTGATATATTTACCTTCCACCCCGACCGATCCGCCTTCTTGTCAGACCGACAGAATATGCTGGACATGATAATGAGGTATAACTAAAACGAAATCGTTTATCTGCTGTACCACCCTCTTCCAGAGATTCCCATGGCCAACCAGAATAGTGATCTAACGGTGCATGGTAGTAACAGCCTTTTTTCCGTTTAAAAGAAAACATTCCATCTGGATTATCAGCTTCATCCGGTTCATTATTCACTTGACTACTTTGGTACATTAAATCACTAGAATTTTCATCTTCAGATGTATAGTATTCACCACCAGCTGCCGACGGAATCATTTCATTGATATTTCTGGTAGATAAAACATCATTCTTTGATCTTTTCGTTCGTTTCTTTCGAGCAACCGGTTCATCTCCCTAAAAAAATACAATACAAATTCAAAGACCAAAGGCCAAAAAAGTGAAATCATCATCATTACCTTTGATTTAGATGTACGATTTAGAGCATCTTTCGTAAGTCTAGATGCCATTAATTCATTGTAGATTTGTGAATTGAAATCTTTGTGTTGATACCTGGATGAAAAAAAATTGGTAAGTAAAACCAATGCCACTAAAAAAAAAAAAAAAAAATCCTCACCTCGTTTCAAAAATTAAGAAATCATTTTTTACAAGTTCATATTTCCTCTTTTCTCGTTCTTTTATCATCGACATTATATTGCTATAAAGTAAAATGTAAAACAAAAATCAATTATAAAAATGAAACGACATTTGACAATTTTAAAATTTCACATACCAAACACTGAAAATATCTTTCTTCAGTTTCAACATTTTTTCATATGAATATTCATCATTCTTGCGATTCTTTCTTGTTTGCATTTTTTCCGTACGTCGCCTAAAAGCGATATATGGATTATTGCCTGATGTACCATCTCGTTTTTCAGTTTTCACCGTTGGTATTAATGATTTTCCGAATTTAAGTTTTTTGGCCAACCAATAATCATAGACGGCAATCTGTAACGATTCATCAACATCTCTAAGCAAAGATTTTGCTTCATTTAATTCGATAACTTTTTGAACACCGGAATTTCTTTCTAAACAATCGATCATTTCTTCGAATTTGGTATGTGGTAAGCCGCATAAATTTGTCGTTGACAGCCATGTTTCATCCTCAGAATCGAGGTCATAATCAGGATAATCCTGTTCAAAAGATGGCAACTGAACATGGATCAATTGGCGAGGTATTTTATATGTAGGAGGATATAAATCGTCATAAGCTTTTTCATTAACTGGAAAAACTTCTGGAGTCGGTATCACATGATCGACTGCTCTTCCGTAGGCTTGTTGTGCCGAAATAGCCCTTTGCAGATGATGTTCCTTCACAATCCATCAACAAACAATTATAATCATTTGATATTATTGCAAACAATGGCAAAAAACTTACACATTCCTCTTCTTTTTCCATACCCGTAGGCATCTGTGGTACCGTACGGTTAATGGTTGTGGCAAAATTATTCAAATCGGGCACATCTTCAGTTTTCAAGACCTGCATCGGCTTGAAATGATCGATGTTCCGTGGCCTGAATGAAAGCTGTTTATTTAAATTTTGAGACATTTTTTATTAACAATTTCTATGAATGAATGAATGATGATAATGATGTAAATATATACAGGTGATGATAAAAAAAAATTAAATAAACAAAATGAGAAAAATAAACGAATAAAAAAAAAATCGCGCCCGTACACACAACACAGACAGACAGACAAACACACACACACACACACACACACACGCCAATGCCACACCGTGCCGTGGGGCACACACAAGTCCGTCCGTGTGTGTGTGCTTCTTGGGACTCTTTTGGCGATTCGTTTTTAAATTCGATTATTATTCTTCAATAATCGATTTTATTCCAAATTAAAATGATAATCATTATGGATGACAAAAAAAACTATGTCGATTCTGAATGAGTAAAAAATAATGGAAAAAAAGAACCCAAAAAAGAATAACGACGGACGAAAAAAAAAATCAAAATATGCTCATTTCAATTCAGAGAGTGGTGGTGGTGAGCATTGGAAAAAAAGAATCACACACACCAACAACAACTCAAACTCAAACTCAAAATACAATCCCTTTCTCTCTCTCTCTCTCTCACTCAACCTCACAAAACACAAAACACATGCTCAATATGGCGTCAAAACATAGTGGTATAGCTTATATGAAACGTTCTTTATCCCAATGTCATCCAATGCCATCTGCAGGTAATAATATTAAATAAACAATAATGACTATTTTCACCATAGGCACACGTCATCCTTATATATAAAAAAAAATAAATATACCTATAAATTGAATACATACATTGTCTGTGCATGGGAATTACGTCATGATAATTGATAATAATTTTTTTTTTTGAATTTTTTTTACATAATTTAACCCGAATAATTAATTAATATATAATTCATTCATAAATCGTTACCATTTTTGTAATCCATTCACTTTTTTTCAGCCAATGTTGATTTCAATTTCAATAGAATTTGAACTTCATCATTGATGATTTTTTTGTCCACTTTATCTGCTTTTAATTTTCGTACTTTATCACCTTGTTCACCAATCATTTGTTCGATTTCTTTATCGGTTTTCAATGTTAAACTTTCAATCAATTTGGCCATTTTAACATCGGTTGCTTCTTTTTCTTTGTCGGCAATGGAACCGCCAAATTTTTTTCGGAATAAGTCCATTTCTTTTTGTTCAAGTTTTTTGAATAATGGTGATGGCTAGAAAAAAAAAGAGAAGGAAATAAAAATTTTAAAAGAAAAATCATTCAAAAGATAAAATACAAACCTTTTTAATTTTATGACCAGATTTAAGTAGACAGACAAATCGATGATTACTAGGTAATAGATTACATTTGAAATTAATCTGTTCTTGTAATTGTCTAGTTGTGTCCGGCATATAAGGTTCCATTAAAATGGACAAAAGTAGACAAATATTGGCGCCTAAACTTAAAACACTGTGAGCACGATCTCGTGTTGATGAATCTTTGATCAAAGTCCATGGTTTTTCCGATTGAATATATTGATTACCAATACGGCTAATATTCAAAATGATTTTGATTCCATCTCGTAATCGAACTTTATTCATTGAATCAATAAACGCTAATAATTCTCGATTTAATTGAACCAATAATTCCTGATCCGTTTTCGACAATTTAATTTGACAGATGGTTGCATCGAAATTGTTGAATAAAAATGTCAATACTCTATTTAGGAAATTTCCGAGATTATTCAATAGCTCGGTATTATTTTTTGCCATCAAATCATTCCAACAAAATGTTGTGTCTTGATTTTCTGGACGTACGTAAAGCAAATAAAATCTCCATATATCGGATGGAATACCTGTTTCACGAACAGAATCACCAAATACACCGATACCACGACTTTTGGAGAATTTACTATCTTCATAATTAAGATATTCGACTGCTGGAATATGTGATACCATTGACCATTTTTCATGTGTGGCTAATAATGTACTGGGAAATATGATTGCATGAAATGTAACGTTGTCTTTAGCAAGAAAATTATATGATTCAACATTTTCCGGATCTTTCCACCATTTTTCCCATTGTGAACAAAGTGCGGCAGTTATTGATATGTAACCGATTGGTGCATCGAACCATACGTAGAAAACTTTATCAGTATAACCATCTAGTGGAACAGGAATACCCCATTTCAAATCTCTTGTAATACATCGTGGTTTAAGACCTTCTTTAAGCCATGAATTTGTTATTACTTTAGCTGTTTGTGACCAATAATTGTCATTTTTCAACGTTTCTTCAATCCATTTTTCCAATTTTGGTTGAATTTTCGGCAAATCAATGAATAAATGACGTGAACTTTTAATAACAGGAGATGATGAACATGTTTTACAGCGAGGCATTTTCAATTCAACTGCATTGATTAATTTTCCACATTTATCACATTGATCACCACGTGCATCTTCATATGTACAGAATGGACATTCACCTTCAACAAAACGATCGGCTAGAAATTTGTTACATTGTTCACAATACAATTGTTCGATTTCTTCTTTGATGATGTAACCATTTGCATATACTTTTTTGAAAATATCTTGAACAACTTGTGTTTGTAATTCCGTAGATGTTCGGCCAAAACGATCAAATTCAATGTTGAACCATTTATAAACTTCATCATGTAAAGCATGATATTTATCACAAATTTCCCTCGGACTTAATTTCTCTTCCTGTGCTTTATTCTCGGTGGCCGTACCATATTCATCGGTACCACAAATATAAAGAACATTATCGCCACGAATTCGACAATAACGAGCAAATACATCACCACTTAATGTGCAGCCAATTATATTACCCAAATGTGGAACATTATTCACATACGGTAAAGCACTAGTGATCAAAGTATTACGTTCACCGGGAATCGGAATTTTATTTGCATCAGATATATTTGATTCTTTCCAATAAACAATATCATCACGTAAAAATTCTCGTAAAGCTTCATTCAAATCATTTTCGTTGATTTCCAACGACATATTTTTCAAGATCAATACACCAATTGATAAAACGGTAAAATAAATCGGTATGTGTGTGTGTGTGCACAACGTGATTGCAAAAAATGAATTAACTGCTGCAATATCCAACTCAACAATTACACGAGGCTATTAAAAAAAAAAAAAAATAAACGCTGAATGGTGATGATGCAAAGGGAAACCGCCGTGTGGCAGAATTAGAAAAAAAAACACACACGACTAATAACTTGCATCGTATAAACTGATGATATGAATTTTTTTTTTTTACTACGTATAAACGGCGATATATTTATTTTTTGATATATTGCTGTAAATAAAATGAAATGATATGTGTTGATTATTATCTTTCAACAATCTGGTTTTTGTTGCACCCGATATAAGATGTGGAACAAAAATTATCAATTTTGATATCGAATAATCGTAAGCAACAAAAAAATAAATAAATAAATGTTGAAATTCATAATTATTGATTCAGAACAAAACGAATGAAATTACTACGGATGGAAATACTGCGAAAAATATTGTTAGTATATTCGATCATTTGTCATTTAGCCGTATCACGATCATCATCATCATCATCATCATCATCGTTATAATCATCATAATTGTACAGTAGCAGTATCATGAATTCAACAACGACAACGTAAAAATCCAATGTATGCTGCTTGTTTGATGCCATCGTTTGTTTGACTTGACTTGATAATTGACTTTCAATAACATCATCTTGAATTTCGAAAACAAAACCTGTACACTATACATTATTGGCCGACTATTGAACGATGACATATTCTTACTCATCTAATCATCAAACAATGACACCGTTCAACATACATGGCGATCATGATGATCTATCTGAAACTGAATTTCTTAAGAATGCAATTGCCACACATAATAAATATGGTAGTACAAATTGTAATTTTGGCCAACAAAATTATCGCTTTATAACTCATTATATTGAACCAACGGATACGTTACAAGGTCTTGCATTGAAATATGGATGTAAGGTAAGCATTGATATTTATAATATTTTTCAAAGATTTCTGAATTTAAATGCCAAACAAATATATTTATGCCCCTGTATACATATAGATCGAGAATATAAAAAAATTTAATAAATTATATTCAGATGATAATAATCATCTTAGGTCACGTTTTTCCATATTGGTACCAATCGAAACTGAAACCAAGATACAATTCGATTCTGATCTATCATCATCGCAATCATCATCATCTAGTCTTGATCCATGTAAAAGAATTTCAAATGATCAATTTAAAAGCCATCCACAGTCTTTAAAAAGTCCTAAATTTGAATGTCGAAATTCATATAGTTTTGACAGCGTTCAAATCATGACGACTAATCGTGATAATAAAGCCAACAAAGATTCGAAATTGACGAATAAATCCATAAGCTTTAGTGATACAAATCATATGAATAATGGTGCCGAAAGTGTTGCCGATTTTCTAATACGAATCGATAGTTCAATAGCTCAAACAAAAAATCAGATGGAAAATCTTTCCAAACGTGTTGCCAGTGATATATCTATCGAAAATGAATTGAATCGTATAAATACAAGAAAATTCAATTCACCATCTCGAATATCGACATCATTTCGATCATCATCAACATCGAATTCAAATTCAAACATATTTGATCAACATCAAGATAACATACCAAATGTGACTGTTAATAATAGTCGTAATAATAAAAAAATTAAATCATCATTAAAACGTTTGGAAAAATCTCAAGAAGAAATTTTCGAATTGTGATTTTCTATTATTTATCATTCATTCATTCATTCAAATGCCAATCATTGCAAATGCTTTTTGGCCACTAATTTCTGTTCTTATGTTTATCATGAAAAATTTTCACAATTTACATGCCTAATTTGTTGTTGATTTGATTGTTCATTCATTTTGATGTGTTTATTTAATAATTTTAATTTGAAAAAATGAAATAAAATTTAAAAAAAATGAAAATGACCACAGTTTTTTATTTCGTGTTTCATTGGCAAAAAAATATGGTAATTTTTAAGAGCGAAAAAAAACTCGTCAATGTTGTGTTATGTGTAAAAATCACAAATTTTTCGTAACATTTTTATCCAATTTCAATTCAATTTCATTGAATGTATTGAGTATTTGTGTTAGAAATGTCAACAATGTTTGATCACGTAAAAATGATTCCATTTCATAATGTAATTGTAACAATTGTGGCCGTAACAATAGTTTAAGAAACGATGGTGTTAATTTATGATCTCTATTATTATTATATATAAAAATATCAAAAAGAAATTAAGAATAAATAAATTCATTGATTAATGATGTATCATAACATACCTGAGTGATATGAATATGAATAATTGAAATTTCATATCTTTACCATATGTATCGGCTTTAGTGGAAATATCATCGATTAATTGGATAAAATCCTGATGATTTGTATCCTTTGAATTCGTTAGTTTCAATTCACATTGTATACGTAGTAGATAATCCCATATGAATGTTTGACGACGAAATGAACGACGATTTTTGAAACCATAATAAAATACTTGCGTAATGATCCATAAAAATTTTCGTTGACCAAAAAACAAGCCAATCATATTTACATTGTTCATTGAATTTTTTGAACATCGATTTATTTTATTCAATGTAAATGATGAATTGGAAATTATTCTTTGTTGATAAATATTGACAGATTTTATGCTTTTATTATTTGGCATGGCAATATCGACAGCATGAGTATGACGATTTTTTTCACTAAAATATAATTTCATTATTTGATTGATTGATTCACCTAATGATGATTGTAAATCTTCAATCGAGTATTTATCTTCTTTGGTATTGTTGGTTTCACCACTACGAGACCAATTACGACCAATCGATGATGATCGTGAATGATTGCCACGTTTAATGTGATCATTGATAGTACCGGAAACCGGTTCACCAATCAACATTCGTTCGATTGAACCATCTTCCATATTTTTGCCCAACCATTTGCCACATTCAAATTTAAACAATGCATTTGTCACATCGTTACGGAGAAAACATTTTTCTATAAACACTTTATGATTAGCTTTGATGGCCACAGACATTGTAAAAATGTAGCCAAAATTTTTATGTCGAAATGTAAAATGTTCATGATTGTTACCATCAATCACAATCTGTTCTTTTGTATGATTAGATAATCCAATAATGGAAATTGATCCAGTAAACGATGATGCACATATAACCAATGTATATGGTAATTTACTTGTTGTAAATGTATTAGTGAAACAGGAAAGATCCACAGCGTTTAATGTCAATAAATGTGTTAGAAATTGTTCCCGTTCATCTTCACAACGTAGAAATGAATATCGTTTATACAATGATTGTAATAAATCTTGATTAAATAATAAAGTTCGTAAATGTTTACTCAATAGTTTTCGCTCTAATGCTAAACGTATGAAAGCTCGACTTTTGCCAACATCGGTTTTAATATCGGTCATATCACAAATTGATTTGTAATCATATGACAATGTCGATGGAATCGATCGATAGTTTGTGGTTGATGATGATGATGATTTACGTTGTGAAGATAAAAATGTACTTTGATCCAATGATAATTGGGACAATGAATCGATACGTTTTTTTATAGATATCCAACCGACTAGACTTTCTTGATCTTCGTTTGCTGATGAATGATCATCATGATATTCAATAGAATCGAGTGTTGCCGAACTGGAATGATTCAATCGATGTGATGATAGTGGCAAAGCTGATGTCGTTTTAATATTGTTTTCATTCATTGAAACCTGGAAATAAGCTGTGATATGAGCCCAAAATGGACATCGATTAGTTTGACTACTGTCCATATTACTGTCTTGTACGCGTGCATGTGACCATATTCGTTCGATTAAATCACAAAGTGCAGCTATCAAAGTATTGTCTTCTGGTGTACTAATAGTCGGACTGTTGATGCTGGTACCGCTTGTTACTGCTGATCCAATTTCATCCGAACCCATTTTCGCTAATAAAATTCGTTTAGTTTTATTTTTGACTTCTTTCAGAAGTGTTTCAACCACTTTCCAATTGGTTGGACCAGTCAATGCAACTGGAATCTGTTTCGATGGTGAAGCTATAACGGAATTTTTCACTACATTTCTTAGATTATTTGCTGAAGATGTTTGCATTCTTTTCTTAAACGGTGAAAATGGAGTTGATGCTCCCGATAGGCAATTATTCTGACTGTTAAGCTCTTCAAGTTCAACTAAGTTTACAATTTGAGCATTTTGATATCGAGCATCAATCAGATTTTGACAATAATCCAATGAATCAGTTTGATCATAATCATCATCGATGCTAAAATAGAATGAATCGGCCATATTCATGGCTTCAGTTTCACATTTTTGTTTCTTCAACGTGGCTTTACTGGCTTCATCAATGAACGAGGCAAACATTTGTGTTTCAACAAAATTCTGTAAAAATGGTCGCATTGATAATGGTTGATCGGACAGATAGGATACGGTGTCGAATTTTACTTGCTCTTTTGGATCAGCAACACACATAATGTAATGTTGATAATTGTTTAGTATACATTTTTTGATTTTGTTAAAGAATAACATACGAATACTTTGATTGAGTTTCACTTCATCTAAACAGGTAAATTCATTGTCAATAACATTGTAACGATGTGCTAATTCCGATACACGTTTCAATGCTTCACTTTTTGGCTGATCCGAATACATAAGACGAGTGTCGCCGGAAAACAAATCTTGTAAATCATTACGTAATTCTTCAACAAATGGTGGTATATGAAATTCATTTGAATCTACATTTAGTTCAAGATTTTTACTATCACAATCAAAATAACAAGCAATACGTTTTGGTTTGATAAAATTTCTTAAACGAGAATTAATACCCATAATGAACGGGGTAGGTGCATCCAAATAATGAAGACCAAGTTTGCTCGGTAGAATCGGTACATAAACGTGTTGCCATTTGAATGGATTCAATAATGCTATCAAACATTCGGAAATTAACATCAGATTGTAATATGAATCACTGACGATTAAAATTTGAAATTCATTCAGTGCACAGCTGAACAATAAAAGTAAATTTTCGAATGTAATGACTTTGGTCAGCAATAAGCGAAATGAATAATCAAATAATGGATATACATTCAGCGGCCGAAATATGATTACAGTGTTGGCGATTTCAAATGTTTTGTCAAATGTTGAGCTGTAATCATCAATGTTTTTCAAACTTTTGAGATTCGGTAGATGAATAATGACGAATCTTCCTTTTTGTGGCAATCGAATATTGGTCAAACATCGAAGCCAACGTGGATTACATCCACCTTCATTGACACACCATTCTAACAATTTTTTCAATTGATCAACCAATGGCCGAATGGTCAATGCGACTAGAGCTCGACTAATGTATACAACTTTATGTTCATCGGTTTCATGACAACGAGCAATTTGTTTCAATCCAAATATATAGCTTCCTCCGTAGATTCTTTGGCCACTTTGAACAGTGATCACAAATGGATGAAAAGTTGGCTTGATTGGATCAGATTTCATAAAAGGACCATCAGGCATAGCCAATAGCGCTAACGAGCTATCATCGACAGATGAGCAATCGTCAATTTTCAAACTGACATTTATTTTACCATCCATTGTTCCATCGAGAATCGTAATCTGTGATAGCATTTTTAGTCTTTCACCTCTGTAAATTTTAAAAAAAAAATTGTATCTTAAAATCAATTGAAAATGTAAAGCAATAACAAAAGAAATACTTTCGATTTGATCGACGAGGACTTGCTGGAATACCCATGTCGGATGTTTTGGGTGACGAAGAATTAGCCATTAATCAACTGTTGTCGAAATTATAAATTCTTTTTTTGATTAAATCTATAAAAACATTATTGAATGATTAAAATGGCAAAAATAATAATAATAATAAAACAATCTGGCAGCATTTTACGGGGCCAATAAATTATATCGAATAATAATAATTTTCGACCAGTCTCTCTCTCTCAGAGCTTTCTACAATTTTTCGTTGTTTTCATCACATTTTTTTTTCTTAGCTTTATTTTGGTTATATATGCAAAAAAAATGCATTAATTTCTTCAAATGTTCCAGCAAACTTTGCTCATAAAGAACGAAACCATACGATGCGCGCGCCTTATTATTTCTCTTTCGTTTGAAATTGTTGAAACTTACATTGTAATTGTATTACCATGGTGACTGGTTTTATTTATTTATTTTTGGTTTTGTTGCATTGTTAATCATCATCATCATCGATAGAAAAAAAAGATTTCCAAAACGTCGATTATTGTTATTAACGAATCAAAATTTATAATTTAAGCATTGAAAAATGGAAACTGTAAAATCGGCACGTCCTTTAACAAGTCGACCTTTAACATCGGCACATCAAAATGTAACCAATACAGGTTTGATTGCACCAAAATCATCCAGAAGTAAAACCGCTTTACGAAGACAGATTCAAGATAAAAGCTATTTTATTGGATTATTACGAATGAAAATAAATGAATTGAATGCCGAAAACAATTCATTGTTACGAGAATGTGAAATTATGACCAAAGAAGAAGCTCGAATAGGTGTCTATAGACAGAAAGCGGAAACATTGGCTCGTGAATTGAACGAATTGACTTTGGAATTAATGACCTACAATGAATTTGTTGATCGTACAAGAATCGATGAAGAAATGTCGGCCGTCAAAGATGATACAAATGAAATTAAACATGAAAATGATGCATTAATTGCTAATGTAAGTATCTCGAAATTTTCTGCGCCAATATTTTCAGACTAAATTTTTTTTTTGTTCTTAAATCATATATAGCTTGAAAATGATTATGCAAAATTACGTGATGTGGAAAATGCGATCAAACGAAATGATGAAAAACTTAAAGAAGTACAAAAACTGATCAATATTGTTCGAAACAAATTCAGTGAAACACAGATAAAAGAATTTGATCTTATGCAAACAATGAACAATGAATTGACTAAAGAATGTCATCTACTTGAACAGGAAATTAGCTTGTGGCGAACAAAAAAGAATGAGATTGAAGAGAAAACCGTCAGGGATGGTAATCTATTGAAAATGGAATTGATCAAAGCAATTTCAAAGCTTAGAAATCTAGAAAAACAAAAGAATAAATTATTGAATGATGAAGATTCAGAAGAAAATAAACGTAAACATTTGTTGGCACAAGTAAAACGTGACAACAATTATATCAATTCATTGACAAACAAAATGGAACAATTGAATGTTAGTCAAAATCAAATCAAAAGTGAAATTGAATTCTACAAGGATGGAGATAAATTACGAAAATTTTCCGATCTACGACAACAGGACAAAATATTCGATGATTTTATGATTGAATATAATAATCGTAAACAAACATTGATTGATGAACTGGAAACGATCAATCATGAAATCAATGATACAACCAATAAATTGTCACGATATCTAAAGTATTTAAATATGATCAAACGAATACGAAACGAAACAAACACTGTTTATGATATGTCGAATGAAATCATCATACAAAAACGAAAACTTGAATTGGAAATCTATAAAAATTCACAGACAAAAGAAAAAGCCGAACAGGAAAAGCAAACATTAACGGCTCGTATCTCGAAATTAAAAGAAGGAATAAATTCCTATTCAGATGTTACTGGATTGAAATCCAAAGTGGAATCGAAACTTGAAACGGTTAAACAGAATTCCGAACGAATACATAATACAATACAGGCATTGAATGTGGATAAAGATAAAATGGCAAGCGAAACAAGAGAAATTCAATTGAAAATGGAAAAGGATGATATTTATCAACAGATTATAAAGTTGGAAAAACAATTAAGCGAAATTTTGACTGTTAATAACAAACTTAAAGAGAATGACAATAGCCAAATGATTGGCGAAATGAAAGCAATGATGTTGGAAAATGTAAAAAAATACAATCAAAGTTTGATAGGATTTTGAATATGATGTGGCAAATAAAACACATGTTTATTATTATTAATTTTTATATTATTTATCAATACAAAAAAAAATTCATTCATTAAATTTTTCATTTCTTTTCTTCTTTTTTGGTTGCCACTTTTTTCGATCTTTCCAGCTTGTACTCCTTGTATTTACGGAGTTTAATTCCCAACAAATTGACTGCTTTGTCCAAAGATTTTTGGTCGACTTTTTCGCCAGCTTTACGACGGCGAAGAATTTCTTTTGCACGTCGTCGTCGTAGATTATTTGCCCGAGCTTGAGTTTTCAAAACCCATGAATATGGATTCAATCGTCGCATGACCAATGGATTTCTAAGCGGATTTCTCTTGACAGAACGTCGAACAACTTTCGTGCTATTTTTTTAGAAATGGAAAAAAACATATTAAAATGTTATAATTAACAATTTAAAATAATTCGGTATTGAAATAAATCAGAAATAAGTAGTAATGGTTATCATATTTGAACATCAAAACCCAGTGGTTACATCATGCATAATGTTGATATATAAATAAAAATGGATAAAAATACTTACATTCGTGGTCGAAGAACACTTTGAATTTCATCGCATTTCAATAAACGAGATAAATCGGTATTGGCCATTTTTGGTTGTGGCAAAGTGTAATCACGTTTTTGTTTTGATTCAGCTTTCCATGTACCATAAATTTCATCTAATTTGCGGAAGGCGCTTTCAGTCCAAATGACAAAACGGCCAACATGTCCACCAGGTGCCAAGCGTAAAAGATTCAATTTTTCAACATTCATCAATTCCACGCCAGGAATATTACGGAAAGCTCGTGTCAATCCACTATCGGTTCCGTAAACAACGACTGGACCAAGTCGTTGAACACGACGACGGTTTCGCATTTTACCTTTACCAGCACGGAAATGTTTTGATCGATAAACACGTTCAATGTCACTCCAGGCTTTGACTTGCTTCAAAAATTCCACAGCTTGTTTGGTTTTGTTCAATTCTTGAACCTTATCCGAAACGACCAATGGAAATTCGGGCACATCATTGACAACATGACCTTTACTCATAACGATGGATGGAACACCTGATGCAGCGATAGCTGAAACGACTGCATATCGACGTTGATTGCGATTAACTTTTCGATACCAACGTCGCCAAACACGGATCGGACCAAACATTCGACCACCACGGCACATGTTGCCGAATGCACCCTGACCGGATCGATGGGTACCACCGCCACGAACACGAGGAATACGAGCTACAGCTCGACCAGTTCCCCAAGATTCAGCGCTGGTTTGATGGCCTAAAATTCGAGAAAAATATCCATTTAGTATTGATTCAATCAAAATATATGATAAATAGAAATGAAAAAACTCAGACAATAACCACAAAGGGCATTTTGATCATTGTATAATTCATAAACACGGACCAAAGTTTTTTCATCACATAAACTGGGATAAATTGAAATGTCGATACAATGAGAAAAAAATTAAATAAATTTACCTGCTTCTCTGGAAACAGCATGAGGTTGGCGACGATTCTTTCGAATGTTCGTATGAACATAGTTAACAATATCGGTACGGATCGGTGCACGAAAAACGGCTGGCAATTTGATTGTCGTACCAGTGCTTTCGTTTTTTTCGTTGTAAACAGAAATTAATGGCCTATATGCTGCTGTAGCCTATGAAATTGTAAATCGAAAAATTAATTATCATCTTGTAGAAAAAAATATTAATTTTTATAAATTAATATCTTACCATTTCGGTTCAAGATCCAAGCGAAAAAACAATACGAAATGAAAAAATCAATGAAAAGGCTACACGTGAGAGTGTGTGTGCAAAAAGGAAGAACAGCGTTTTCGGGAAGTTCGACTACACACACACACACTGCTTAAAGCTGACAGCACAAGAAAAATACACAATTGAAAGCATGATGCGTACGCGCATACAACAATTGTATATTATTCTAATTAGCTGTTCATAAAGGACGTTCCAAACTTTTGTCGAATTTTTTTTTCTTTTAAAATTTCAAATATTTAAAACAACAACAACAACAATAGATAAAAATGTTTCGATTTAATTTTATTCAAATATCGATAATTATCATTATCATCATCATTATAAATGTGTGTATATTATACAACTATTAAATGTCAAAGATTATTATTATTTGATTGTTTTGTTTCATTCACATGAACTTATAAACATGTGCTGTAAATATATATGAAACAAGAATATTTGAAAAAAATGTAAATAAAAAGCAAAGAAGCAAAAAAAATGAAAAAAATACAAAAATAGATAGATTAGGGCGTTCAAATCGTAATTCGCCTTTCCGACATTCTGTTTGGAAAAAGGAAGAACAGCGTTTTCGGGAAGTTCGACTACAACACACACACTGCTTAAAGCTGACAGCACAAAGAAAAATACACAATTGAAAGCATGATGCGTACGCGCATACAACAATTGTATATTATTCTAATTAGCTGTTCATAAAGGACGTTCCAAACTTTTGTCGAATTTTTTTTTCTTTTAAAATTTCAAATATTTAAAACAACAACAACAACAATAGATAAAAATGTTTCGATTTAATTTTATTCAAATATCGATAATTATCATCATCATCATCATTATATGTGTGTGTGTATATGATACAACTATTAAATGTCAAAGATTATTATTATTTGATTGTTTTGTTTCATTCACATGAACTTATAAACATGTGCTGTATATATATATATGAAACAAGAATATTCGAAAAAAATGTAAATAAAAAGCAAAGAAGCAAAAAAAATGAAAAAAAAATACAAAAATAGATAGATTAGGGCGTTCAAATCGTAATTCGCCTTTCCGAATAATTACAAATGGTGTGTATATCGTGCGTGTTGTTTTTTGTCAATTTCATCAAACAAATTCAGGTAGATATATAATAAATACATCGAAAAAAAATTTTAGAAAAGCAGATATATGTACAAACAATTGAAAATCAATGGATGGAAGAACAAAAAAAAATTGAATGTCCAAAAAAAATAATGGTAATAAAAAAAATCGAACAAACAGAAATAAACAGTAAAAATAGCCCTGAATTAGCTGTTGTTGAAAAAAAAAAAAAACAAAAGAAACTTAAACTTGTTTGTGTACAAAATAAAATTGGATTTTGAATGAATAAAAAATGAACACAATATGAATAAATCATCCATTTTATAGAAATGAAGAGAATGGGAAAAAAAACAAAATTATATGATGCGCGTTTTCCGATGGTCAAACGAATTTTTTTTCCTTTTTTTTTTGTTCAACAAGATTCCATTCCATGTATGTTCATAGCATTGTTGTTATATTATTATTCGGTTTCATAGCATTCAAATCTTTCATCAGGTTATCTAGATTGGCCATTTCTTGATGAAGTTCATCAGGATTGTAACTTGCCTATTTTTTTTTTTTGATTGGAAAAAAATGAGAATGAATATGTCAATATATCGACAAAAATATTTACCGAAATTGAATGATCATCCGAGAAATTTGTAGCCGATTTACCATTACTAGCCAATGTAGAATTACTACCACAAATGTTATTATTGGTATTCAGATTATTCGTTGTGGTAAGCAAAAATTTTTTACTAGGACTACCCAAAGACGCTAAGGAAGCTGTATGAATTGAAAAAAAAATCAATTTTTTTAAACAAAAAGATAAATAAAATGATACTTACTATTATAAAAACTATTGTGTGAATTATTCTGTAGCCCACCCAATGTAGCTAATGAAGGCAGCGCTGGTGGTGGTGTAGGTACACCAAAACTTTTAAGTGCTGAATGTGAAACAGCATTACCGGATGCTGCTGTAGGTACCATCATCATCGATGATGATGGTTTCTGTGGTTGACGACTATTCGATAGATATATCGATGTATTTGGTGGACTGGTTGAACTATTCGTCAAGTTTGATGTACCGGTAGATGAATTAGTCAATACAGTGTTGTTCGAAATAACTGAATGTGGTGATGATGAATTACCCGAAGACATGTATGAATTAGATGAATTCACACTGTGAACAAGTTGACTTTCATGTAGATTAGTCAATGCAATATGACCACCAGCACCAGAACCTGGTACTGGATCATAAAGATGATGATGATGATGGTGATGAAAGGGAGCTGCCATTGTACTAGCTGAATCCATTGTATCCATTGGATGTGCAATATTAAATTGATTGGTTTTTGGATACAATGGCCGTGATAGACCAGTTGATGGTTCCATATTCATCATACTCATATTCATTAATGAATGATCCATACAAGTCGATGTTTTTGGCCTTATTGATGATGATCGACGCATTGTTGCCATACCAATATTATCAATAGGTGATGATGGACTTTTGTTGCTATTTATATCATCATATAATGCTGTATTCATACCATAAGTTGAATTAGTTTTTTTAATTTTAGCAAATGGTTGTTCAATATTATTTTTTACTGATAATGCACCACCATTTGAATCATTATCACCATTGTTTTTATCCATTAATTTCATTTCAACTTGTTCACTATGATGAATCCAAAGATCCGGTGGTTTTTCCATCATACCACCACCACCACCAGTGCCAGCATTATTATTACGAATATTATTCATCATACGAGAATTTGTATTTTTACCACCACCACCACCACCAGGACTAGTGGCTGTAGGTATATAACCTTTACGATTTTTTCCCATTGTTTCATTGTTTGTTTTATCATTTTTACATATATAAATTTTCAATATACCAATAAGAAATATGATCGATATACATGAAATAATAATGATGATCAAGCTGAATAGATTTATTTGAATATCTGAACCTAGAAAATTTTAATAAGATGAAAAAAAACAATAAAAATTTTTTTTTTTGTTTTATACCATTCAACTAGAAATTAAAATGACTTACCGTTAGTTGTATGTGTTTTCATTGTGGCTATAAAATCATTAATTATTGAAAAAAAATAGCCAAGATTCCAGAAACATTGACAAATGATGATAGTGATAGTGAAAGTAAATGAATAGAAGAAAGAGAGAGAGAGAGAAAAAAAAATGAAAAAGAAAAAATCATCATTAGTAAATGCACACACACACACACACACACAAATGGCGATTATTGGAAAGCGAAAAAAAAATGAAAAAAAAGAACAATTATGATGAATAATTCATTGTGTAACGACCGATATTTTTATTCCTGAGATCTCACACAAAATGAAAAAAATTTTTAATGTTAATTAGAAAACTTGAAAAGAAAAAAATTTTTTCTTAAAACTCAACTCATCGATTCATTTTCTATGAAGAAATTCAATAACAAAAATGCAAAGTAGTGAAGCTCACATTCGAATTCAAAAAAAACAGCGGCAAACACTATTTCGACATGTTCAAATTACCCATTCGTATATATAGCGTGTGTATAATAACATCTTTAATGATTCTATAAAAAATTCTGATGCCACCAAAGAAAAAAAAAGAAAGTTCAGGAAGGAACGAACGAACGAACAAAAAAAAAATTGCATGGCACTTCATAAATCAAACATCAGTGCATGTGAGAAAAACAATAAATGTTTCTATACATTTCCGATTCTTTAGGAATTGCATTTCTCTTATCGATCGAATCAAAGTTTTTTTTTTGTTGTTGTTGTTGTTTGTTACGCTTCATCATAATAAAGAGAATAATGAGAATATATATAAAGATTCGGATAACAACAACAACAACAACAACAACAAAACATCTACAATCAAAGAACAAATATTAATTGAACGAATCAAGAGAACAACAACAACAAAAAAATGATTCTTGAGATATGAATATAAAAAAATGCAAACATCATCTATAATAACAACAACAACAACAACAACAAAATACAGATGATGACTACACTATTCCTTTGACTTTATCATACATCAGACAATTAATTTGGAATCAAATCAAAGAATGGGCATTGCAAAACGATCCAGAATAAAAAGATCATATCGCACGATTGATTAATTGAATCATAAATAAGTTGTTTTTGTTGTTGTTGTTGTTGTTGCCCTAGATAGAAATTTTCATTCATTTTGATGGGCAAAATGTTAAACTATAACATAAATTGGCCATATTTGTGTGTTTGTTTGTGTGTGTGTGTGTGTGTGTGTGTTTCATTATTTAGATTGCAGCCAAAAAAAATCGATACAATGACAAAAAAAAAGTCAAACACACAACCTAAGAAAATTGAATAGAATTTTTTTTTGTTTGTTTGTTCTGTTATGATAAAAAAAACCTATGATAAATTACCCGGTAATGTACGAAATGAAACTTCAGATGATAACGGTCCATAGCCTTTATTATTTCGGGCTTGTATTTTGAAATAATAAACACTGGATGATTGTAAACCATTTAGCATTGCATTCAATTTGTCGCCAAATATAACTTTTACTATCCAATCACGATCTTCTTGTGTATTGTCCTGTGTATAGAATATAACATAGCCAGTAATCTGACCATTCGGTTGTTTAGGTGGCTGCCAATGAATATTTATTGTTGTTGGATCATCATTTGATGATGGTACAATAGTTAAATCTCTGGGCGGTGTTGATGGTACAGCTTCATGTGTGGTATTCATTACGGTCATACTCCATGTACTATTACGTTTATTTTTGATCACTTTAACGGAAAATTCATATTGTGTTTTTGGTTTTAAATCTTCAACTAGAAATGTACGTTTTGTAGTATTAGCATAACGATATCGTGGTGAATTTGAATGGATAATATTTGTATAACGGATTAGATAAAAACGATTGTCTTGATGTATTGATGACGAAGAATCACGTGAAGCATCTGTCCAATCCAAAACGATAGCCGATGATGATATAACAGTGGTTTTCAGACCAATTGGTGGCAACATTACAAATTGATCATCTTTATCTGGATCAAATGTTATTTTGATTGTTTCATAAATTGGTTGACCTTCACCACGTAGATTATAAGCACGTAAACTAATGACATATTCAGTTGAAATGGTTGCATTTTCTATGGTATATGATCGTTGATCACCACCTTGTACACGCCATGTCCATCGATCTGGTACACCTTCACCCCAACCGATTGTATAGCCACGAACAACAATATTTCGATTTTTAGGCGGTGTCCACGATAAATGTATTGAACTATGATCCTGTTTCAATCGTAATGAACCCGGTTGATCAGGTACTTGTGTTTCATCTAAATCTCGTTGCAATGTTTCCACTGTATACCATTCAGTGAATGGTCCAGTTTCATTACCATAGATTGCAGCCAATTTTATCTGATAGCTAGTTGCTTTTTCTAGATTTTTAAGCTCATGATGATAATTAGATGAATCCAATACAATGGTTTCTTGTTTTTTATTTCCTTTCAAACGAAATTTTATTTTATAACCTTGTGGCTCTTCATATGGTGATTGCCAATGTATCGATATTGATGTCGTCGACATTGATCTTACAGTAACATTCAACGGTTTATTCGTATATGATGGATCAAACATCATATCAAAATCCATTTCATTTTCATTACCACCAAAATTTTGATCAATATCTACATAATGGGAAAAAAGAAAAGAAAAAAAAAAAAAACGAAATTTCAATTAATATTCGATATGATTATTCGTGAATCTCAGAAATAAAAATGATTCGATTAATGCCAAGTTATTTAATTAAGTAAAAATGATGATAACCAACCATATTGCATAGGAAACAAAATATTCCAAGTTTCAATTCAGACATGAACTACTCAACAGCAATAACAACAGTACTTGACAATATAAACGTGCTCAAGAATAAGGAATCGATTCAGAATCGGTTGAAATTTGCAAATAACAAGAATTTTATAATAAACTCAAACGAAACGTTCAAGAACAACTTTCAAGATTGATATATTCAATGTTGAAAATATTGTAATCATCTCAAGCGAATAACAAGAGAAAACATACACAGCCACAGTTGTAAAAGAAATTAAGAATCTGAATAAAATGAGTTTACTGTTTAGAAAATTGAATAAAGAATCAAAATGAAATTATTCATAATGATGATGATGATTAGATGAAATGAAATGAAATGAACATTGAACATTCACATCAATGATGATGATGATATACACTAGGATTCTATTGTAAATATTCATCAGAAAGTATACATAATTATTCGCATGGATGATGAGTTTGATGATGATGACGGGAACAAAAAAAAAATTCAGAATTCAGGAACCTGGAACCGTGAAACTTTTGTGCAAAAAAAATGTCGACAATATCAGTATCAGTATCATCATCATAACTATTATATTTCACACATAATCGGGTCATTTCATTACAAAAAAACAATTCTACTACCATGGTGGAATTATGCACACACACACACACACACACACACACACACATACTGAGCATAAGATAATTAATTAACTGTTAATTTTCATTCAGGCTAAGTATGTGATACAGAATATAAATAGAAGGTAATGATACAAGGAAGAATTTTTGTTTTTTCATTCATTCATTCCACACACACACACACACAGGATAAACACACCATGGTGGTGGGTATTAATAGTGAAAAAAAAGCCATCCATTCATTTGTTGTTTATTGGGTGGTGTTTCATAGATATGAACCAAAAAAAAAAGAAAAGAAAAATCTCATTATCATAAACAACAATAACAACCGTGTGGATATATAATAATGTAAACGATGATTAGAATTCTATCTATCTACGAAAGAGAACCTGCTGGAATCCTGCTGAAATGGACCAAAAAGAATTTATTCATTCATTTGTTCGATCAGTGGTTTAATGTTTAGATCTGGTTGAATGGTTAATGCAATTTATAATCACCACCATCATCATCATTTTTATAGAGATAGAAAAAGAAAGAAAGCGTGAAGAAGATAAATATTTTTTATTATTATTGAACGCGGCAATAAAAAATCATTACACACACACACACAAAAAACTAAAGGAATCGATTCCGTCAATCGATCAACAACAACAACAACAACAACAAACGAACGAAGATGATGGAAATAGAAATAAAAAAAAATCCAAATGGTATTCTGTTCATTGAACCGTTTCATCATCATTTGAAAAGGTTTTCGATTTCGTCGTTTGAAAAAAAAAAAAAAAAATTGAATGAATGATGGTGCATTCCATAACCACATACACACACACACAGAGACGATTCATATGAAAAAAAATGTCGAAGAAATGTCGTTTTGTTACATACACAGACACACAAAACCCTCGGCATAGATCATCCATCCATCCATCTTTTTTTTTATCAAAGTCCATTCATATTCACATGTTATGAGGAAACGAAAAGACATCTTATTATATGAATAATTCAATTTTTTTTTTGTTTTTGATTTTCCAATTTTTTTTTCTTTTTCATCTCTCTATAGATCAGTTTTGGTTCGCTTTCAATTTTCGATCATTTCAATTTCAACAACATTCGAATGATTGAATATTTTGTCTCCACACACACACACACACACACACATACTCAATCAATTGAATTCTGTTTTATTTGTTTGTCTGTGTTTGTTTGTGTTGTTTTCAGTGAGGATTTTCTTTTATTTTTCCATCTGGAACATAAATTTTTTTTTTTTTTTGAATGAAAACAAGCAATGTATGGTTGATGGTCACGGAACATCAACACTGCGGGCAAAAAAAAACGATCATCATCATGACCATTTTGCAGCATTTTTTTTTTTATTACATGATACCCTTGAAATTTTAGTATTCGTGTGTGTGTGTGTATATGTGTTTTAATAATCACATCTCTTCTCGATTCTTATAGCCAAACTTGACTATTTGATGATGATTATATGGTCGATTTAGAAAATTGCTGCAGTTCATCAGGCTATAAAAAAAAATAGGAAATGACTTTTCTTCTCATGTTGTTGTTGTTGTTGCCGGTTTGAAATCAACTTTTTTTTTCTATTCTGTTTTGTGGTTGCTTAGTTTGTAATTCTTGATGCCTATAACCTCAGTATGAGTGGGTGTGCTGAACAAAGAAAAAAAACGATTCTTTTCTATAGTCGTCTATAAAAGTGAGCAGCAGTTTGATAACGGTTCGAAATCATAGAACCAAAAAAAAAAAAGAGAAGAGAAAAGATAAAAAAGAAACCATCACCATCAACGATAATAACAAAAACGTAAATGTAATTAAAATTCAATCGATCAGATACAAGGTGGCTGGCTGGCTGGCTGTATATTTTTATTCTTGTACAAATTTGAATTCAACTGCAGCAGATTCTAATATATACGGAATTATAATACTAAGGAGGGGGTCACATTGGGGTAACATATATTCTTTAAAAAAACGAATCCTGATAAAGGCATGTCATTCAATTTGAAAGATAACATTAATGTATTGAATTTTGAGAAAAAATGAATTGAATTGAATTGAAAAAATTTACAATAAACCTCATCGAATGCACATGACAACAACAACGAACGACTAAGGGCTAGTATATCACATATATACATCTCATTTCATTCATGTATCAACGACCTTACAAACGTTGAACGATAACAATAACAACAACGATAAAAAGAAATTTGCTGACATGAACACAAAAAAAAATAACGAAAAACGAAAATTCGTATCCATATCTATCTCTGTATATATTAAATAGGCCGGTTTCGATACTTGTCGAATTGATTAATAATTAATTGGGCAATTCTAAAACGACAACAACAATAGTATAGTAACAATGATTTAATGCAGATGCAATGACAAGAATCGGACAGAATCAAAAAAAAAGAAAGTCATGCAACACACAGATGAAATAAGAAAACATCATCATCATCATCAACATTTCTTCAAGAGAAAACAATCCTAATGAATGGAAGAAGATGGAATGTTTCTATAAATAAATAGGAAAAAAAACCGGGTAAAACAGAAAGAAAAAAAAACAGGCCACAGAATCTTTACCAGATGATGATGATGATTCTTCAATTTATTCGATTTATCATTTTATATAACGTACGTACACACACACACACACAGAAAAAACTTTGGTGATCTATAAATATCAAATGAAGCGATTGAATACGGCCGCATTCACATAGAAGAATGAATGAATGAAAAAAAAATTCATTTTTATTGTTGTTGTTAAAATGGTTTTATTTTTATCATCATCATCACCATCAACATCATCAATTCTTCGTCACAGAATTTATTCTATGCACTTGATAATACTGTAAACTTTTACGATTCATCTTATTTTATAATTCAGCAGCCAATAATAGCTACTTATCCATATCGTGTAATGTTTTTTTCTGCAAGTGGAATGTAGAAATGTAGAAAATTGAAAAAATTGAATTCTTTGTGAATTTTTTTTTTAGAAAAAAAAACGAAAACAAATTGTGGTCGATACAAACATTGAGAACAATGGAAAAAGATAAATTTTTTTTTCGTTATCAAATTCCGCGTGAACAAATGTGTTTATGTGTGTGTAGGATTTTTCTAGGTATTATATTGGATATCGACAAAAAATCGATTCGTTGAAACAAACTTTAAATCAC